TCGCCTGTTCTCGGCCGCTGGCCGCCATGTTTCATAAGGAACACGCTCGAAACGGTTTTGCGGAAGGCAGACACGGTGTGGCGTGTTAAGTTTACACAGCACCTCATGTGTAGACGAAAAACACAGATGGCCTCGTGTAAAACGAACACGTTTCGACGTGTCCGCTATGGGACAACGGTTTACACGTCTGGGCGTGTTATTTTTGCTAACAGTGTAGCTGGATATGGATTCCCCGGGTTGTTGGTCTCTTCTTTGAAACTTCGCTCGGCTGAACAGCTCTGACAGCCGCGGGTCGAACTGTTTCTGGAGTTGTGCCATGAGCTCGTCAAAACTGACGTTTGCAGGAGTTCTTGGTGCCACGAGTGCTCGTACGACCTCATAGGTCTTGGGTCCGCAAAGTGTAAGCAGTAGTGCTCGTTTCTTTGACGGCTCTTCAACTGCCTTGGCCTCGCAGTAAAAGCTTAGGCGTTCGGCCCAAGATGTCCAAGCTGTTCCGTCGAACTCCTCCAGCTTGCCTTGAGAAGCCATCCTGCCCGCTGAAGTTCTTGACTGTTGACCTACCTCGTCGCCAATTGTTATGTATCCCAGGCAAGGACTCAAGCTCGGCGTAGACAAGCGTCCGGACGTTACTTTAATGGCGCCTAGAATCCTCGTCTCGAGGCCCAGAAAACCCGTGCAGCACTAGTCCCGTGCTCTTGAAAGCGCGGGAGTCCGCTCACGCCCTGTCCTGGCCACCGGCCGGTACATTACAATAGTACTATCGATAGTTTTTCGATAGTCGACTATCGATGGTTTTTACTATACTGGTGACTAACGATACTATCGCTAGTGCTATCGATAGTCTTGCACCACTATAGTCCGTTACAACTCAAGAAGTCGAGGGTAAGATGGGCCGGGGAGGAGGAAGCAGACGGAACGCTAAAGAGAGGAGGTTTCCCCCTCTCTTCTCCAGCGGTTCGTCTGCTTCCTCCTCCCCGGCCCGTCTTGCCCTCGCCCTACCGCTCGCCTCCCCCTTCCTCTTTTTTCGCCCAAACCCCCATCTTCGTCATCACTGAAAGCTGAACCAAAGTTGGGATGGTAAGTGCCTGGGCTAGTTGGTGCCCCGTTTGAAAAAAAAAAAAAATTAAAGCGATAAATAGACAAGAGGGAGCGACGCAAACTACTAGTGTCGCAAAACTATCCATAGTAAACTGTCGACAATACTATTGATAGGTTTACGATAGTCAACTATCGATAGTTTTCCGATAGTCGATTAACAATAGTTTTCTGATAGTAGACTATCGATAGTTTTTCGATAGTCGACTATCAGTACTATCGATAGTTTTTCGATAGTCGACTATCGATAGTACTATCGAAAGTTTTTCGATAGTCGACTATCGATAGTACTATTGATAGTTTTTCGACAGTCGACTATCGATAGTACTATCGATAGTTTTTTTTCACTATCGATAGTCAGATTTCTGGCGACTATCGATACTATCGATAGTACTATCGATAGTTTTGCACCACTACTAGGCCCTCTTGTAATGTATGTTCTTGTGCTGGGGAGCCGCTGCAGCACCATAGTGCGATGCCATCCGCATATACTGTTGATTGAAGGTCCGTGGTATCGTGAAGTTTGTGAGGTAGGTCTTTCATGGCAATGTTTAAAAGCGTGGGTGATAGTATGGCGCCTTGTGGTACCCCGGTGGTAATTTCTCTCTCTTCACTTTTATATTCTCCAATTTTTATCCGTATGGTGCGGTTGGAAAGAAAGTTTCTGATGTAGGCTTCTAATCGTTTGCTTGGGCTGATTTTAGCGATTTTGTCAAAAATGACTTGGTGACTGACGTTGTCAAATGCTTTGCGGACGTCTATGTCAATTATCGTGCGAGTTTGAGCTGTGCTTGGGTAGTCGTAAACGTCTTGTTTGATTCGTAAACGTCTTGTTTGATTCGTAGCGTCGTTTCTTGTCTAGACGCGTGTCTACGGAATCCGGTCATGGTCTGGTGGAAGGTTTCCTGATTGTGCAGGTGCCACTCCAGTCGTCGGAGGACCATCTTTTCCATGAGTTTTCTGACGCAAGATGTGAGAGAGATGGGCTCTAGGTTCGTGATTTCGGTGGGTGCCCTGCCTGGTTTGGAGATGGGGATGACTTCAGCGGTCATCCATTCATGAGGAATGTTGCCGCTTTCCCAAGCTTGGTTAATCTGATTAACCGATGTAGTTTCAGGCAAGTTCCTAATATACGTTATGCTATCTCGTCCGGGGGTGGTGTTTTGTTTGATGGAGTAGAGGGCTGTCGACAGCTCGTTTTTGCTAAAGGGGCTGTCTGATCCTACCTACGTTTCGGTTATTCGCGTGTCATCACTGAGGGTAGCTTGAGCGGCGTCGCCGTTGCCGTCAGCGTAACCGCGCGTTGCATGCAACGGGCAAGCAAGGGTTGCATGCAACGCGTTGCACGCAAGCGGTGTATCCGCGCGCTGCATGCGCGTTGTATGCAACCCGCGCGTTCCATGCAACGCGCATGCAAGCGGCGTAACCTCGCGTTGCATGCAACGGCGTAACCGCGCGTTGTATTATGGGTAGTTTCAAATAATGACGTCACGAGGGTTACGAGGGTTAGTCTCACGAGGTTTACGAGGGTTACCGTCACCAGGATCACGAGGGTTACCCTCACGAGGATTGCGAGGGTTAGTTACCCTTAAAAGAATTACCCTCATGAGGGTCAAGGGGGTAACTTTCACGAGGGTTACCCTCAAGAGGGTCACGAGGGTTATGAGAGTTACCCTCCGTACCCCCCCCCCCCCCCCCGGCCTAAGGTCATATGACCCGTGCTGATTGCTGGGCAAGTTGGTATGGTACACTGATCTCTATGACAATTGCTGGATCGCGCTTCCCCGCTTGTTCGCTGCAGCGCAAATGAAGCCACCGGACTTCACTCGCTTGGGATACGATTTGCCGTTTTTGCTAGCCTTTGCTGCGGTTTTCCAGCGTGCTGTAGACACGTTTTCTACTCGCTCGTCGTCATTCGCCGAGGAAGTTTTTTGAGACTCTGTGTATTGTTGAGACTTGCCGTTGTGAACACGTGGAAAATTTTACGAAAGTGCAGTGTCGCAGGAAAAAGTCACAACGCGTCGAAAGGAAAGGCTGGCGGCGTGTTCAAAGCTTCCTTGGCACGCCGAAGTGCCGTGTCTCTGTGCCTTCGCACGCTTGGATACCGACCAAGAGCCGACGCCGTGTGTATGTGTTTAGCGAGTGCAATGTGCGTGAAGCTGTTCGTGCCTCTGGATCAGCGTCTTTTCCCCTCGCGGTTTAGGAACGAGCTTAATCCAGCGTCCACTAGCGACGGAAGATGGGGGGAAGGTACGTCTTTTTTTCGTCCTTAGACGATTTACACAATACCGTGCACAACAGCTCCTCATCACTGATCAGTGCTGGCTTATTATCAACCTACTTAATTGCACTTGACGTTTGAGCGCGGCTCGCCTAATTGTAATTGGTCAACAGATTGCACACGACCATATCGGCCGCGCTTCAAAGATTTTCATTCTCGCCGTCTTGTACTTTTGCTTTCGAAAACCCCCCTGGCTCCACAACGTTGCCCTATTTGTGCTCCCACGGAATCTATTAGAGTAGATTTGGGACATAGCCATGGTTAATATAGTACATAAGAACACGTACAGATCTCCCCCTTTTATTGATATCAACTCACCGGAACAGCTGGACGATCCAGAAAACCGTGTCTACTTCCTCGGCGAATGACGACGAGCGAGTAGAAAACGTGTCTACAGCACGCTGGAAAACAGCAGCAAAGGCTAGCAAAAACGGCAAATCGTATCCCAAGCGAGTGAAGTCCGGTGGCTTCACTTGCGGGAGCGGCAAGCGCGATCCAGCAATTGTCATTGAGATCAGTGGTATGGTACGTTAGAAAACATGATTGCGCTTTTAAGACGGGGACATAGAAAGGACAGACCCCGCAATCATGTTTTCTAACATATGACCCCTCCCTAAGGTCGCGTGACCCCCTGAGGTCACGTGACCTCAGGGAGTCACTTATCCCCTCAGTACCCCATCCTCCACCCCAAGAGCTGCGCCCCAATCCGGCTTTACAAGGAGTTGTAGACGGCTTTCATTTTTTCCTCTGAATTTATTAAGAAATTTTTTCCCCTAAAGTTAGCGTGAAATTTTTCTGCTAAATCTAGCAGAGAATTTTATGCGCAAAATTGTGTGGAAAATTCCTTCCTTTCCTCCTCCTCTTCCCTTGTGACCCTCGTAACGTCAATCGTGACCCTCGTAAAAGCACACGTGACGTCACATATGACGTCATTATCGGAAACGTCCCATAATGCAAAGCGCGGTTCGCCTACGGCGACGCCGACACAGACGGTGACGCCGCTCAAGCCGGAAACGGGCGCCTGAGAGCTGCGCTCGAAAAGTTGAGTTATTAATTTTTCTGAATGGACCCCTTGGCAGAAACGAACACATTAATATTATTATTATTATTATTATTACTGTTCTTTGTTTTGTTTAGTTTTGTTTTGCGCTGCCTACTTCGATTTGGTCGGCGCGTGAATACCAATCTGGGAAATTCAGTCACCCAAGCTTTTTTTTTTTTTCCACACCCCGCAGCGCTTGGTAGAAAAAGCTAAACAAAAACCTACTGAAATATTAGTCGTTGCGCACATAAAAATATGCATAGTAAGTATAATAAATTTAATTGGTGTTCTCAGCCTTGAGCTCAAAGAAAAGCTCTTCGTTTTGTGGTCCTTTAGAAAATGTCCTCATGAAGGTCGATACGAACAGCCTTATTATTTTATAATATGTATACTGTACAGTACATCCTGCGACATCATTTTGACGAAAGCAACAATGCAGTAAATGTACAATTTTATTTGTTTTTAGTACATCTTAGTTGGTAAACCTCTCTTCTCTAATAAACGTCGAAACCCGGAGAGCACCAGGACGGGAAAGACGTTAAAATATGCCGTTTGGCGGTTTCGCGGTTTCGGTTTTCGCACGATTGAAACAGCGCGATCGCCGGCGGCATCAACAATCTGGCGTACCAACTCGTCAGTGAGGCCCCCGAAAACATATTTTTCTCCAAAGGAATTTCTCTCCGTGCGACATGCGATGCATTGCTGTAGGATGCAAGACCGGCAGGAAGAGCGGGCTGCGCATTCACTCGTTCCCTAGAGACCCCAAACGACGACTGGAGTGGGCCGTGAAAGTCAACTTGGCAGAGAACGGCAAACTTTGGGTACCTCCCAAGGAAAGTAGCTGCTACGGAATCTGCGAGGTACCGCTTTTTGCATTACTTCATCACTAGCGTTTGTCCTGCAAAGGGGCCGGGACTTGAGTGCATTACCTGGTGTTGGAATTGCATGTTGCGTGCGCTTGGCTGCTGCGTTTGATCGACGCTAAATGCGGTGCTCGGTTCCGGCGGAAGCCATCTTGTTTCGCGCGTTTCGCCGTGTCGTCGGTTTACAGGGCTGCGTGTGATCGCTCTGTACCGCGAGACGCGGGATTAGCAAGGATCGAGTCTTCGAATTTGAAACTTCGGACACTTGATTCTGGTAGCTGGCAAAAGCGTAGTATGATCAATCACGGAGAACGGCCACGGAGTCACAGGGCGTCCGTCGCTTGTGATCATGCATCCATCGTTCTCTAGTGCGCGAATATTTCCCGATTTGGAATGTTGTGTCGGGTCTGACCATGGTTTCAAACTCACAGGGGCGTCTTTCTTATCCCTTTGATTCGGAACGTCCAAATTTTCCTTTTTTGCTTATATGCCAAGGGAGCTTATCACAATTTTCTTATCGTTATGCAAGTTGTGCTATTTGCAACTTGCGTCCTATCCACAATGTAATAAAGGAGTTTTCTCACACCGTTTGTAACATTCTAAGCAAAAAATAGGAAATGTCTGTTTGTTGTTTGTGCTTTGGCCCGAGTATGGTGCCTGGAACGAGTCTCCGACTGGTGTGTTTAGCGCGCCCAAAAAAATGGTCCCGCGATTTCCGCCTGATGACGTCGTTCAAGTGTCATGCTGTCACCGGTCGCGATCCTGGCGGCGCCCCAATATCGGTGGTGTTTGTAGCAGATGCCTGATCTGCTCCAAGTCGCTCTCAATTGTGGCGGTCTACGGAAGTTTTGGCAGCCAGAAGTTGGGACGCCATGACGACATTGACACTTGTGTTCAGTTGTGCTACTCGCAGCCTTCTCGTTAGCATTTCTACGACCAGCCACCAGGATCGCGACATGCAACAGCATGACACTTCGGCTTGTGTGACGTCATTTGTTGCCACTTGGGGACTACTTTTGATGTATGGGCGGCATAGGACGCTAAACACGCCAGTCAAAGACGCGCTTTCGGCGCCATAGCCTGAGGAAACGAGCGCATAGGTTAATTTAACAAAATGAGGAAATGATAGGAGCCGGGCACGATAGAACAATACCCTCGAAAGCGGAAAAGGAGGAATTTGAGATGATCTAGATCACAAATGTTCCACGTTTTCGGTTTCTATTTTTTTCAAAATTTGGCGTACTTTTTTCGGTGTTTATTTTAAAATTCAATTTTCGTTTTTTTTGTTTTTTTTTTTCGATAAACATTTATGCTTACAAAAGTTTATTGGCTTTTTTTGGTGCATGTAAAATAAACACCAATGGACACCGGTCAGATTATCCTTGTAGCTCTGATATTTGTGATCACTCAAAGAATAACTGCACAGATACATTGAAAAAGAAGAGACACTTTATTTGACAAGTGTGCGCAACTCTAAAAGAAATAAGAAAAAAACACAGAAGTACAAACAAGTCAGATATGAAGCCTATGCCCAAAATCATGGAACTTCACCTTCTGTATATCAGGATTACGTGATCTTATTATAGTACATACACAGATGTACTTTCCCAGGTTCTCCTTGTTCATCCGCACTCTTTCTTTTTCGTTAATATGACACTGAGCTTCGAGAATGCCCTCTCAACGCTTACACTGAACACTAACAGGCTGAGGAGATGAAGCGCTGCCGGAGCGAAGATCGGCCGATCAACCAATTGTAACCGCCAAAATAGCCATGGTGCGACGTTTTGAAGCACAACACAACATGCAGAGCTTGCATCAAGTCAGTCTTCCTCCAACGAGTTTGAAAACACGCTCGTACATGGCAAAGTCATGGGGCATTTCAGACTCCACGTTCCGATCTATGATGCACACATTAAACCAAAACGTCGTGATGGGACCCGTCTAACCCATACTTTCGGACACATTTCGATAGACACTGCCGTTCCACTTTTTCGCTGCGGCTCTGCAGTGTGACTGGAAGGTCAAAGTGACCTTTTTCGGTTAAAACTAAATTTTAGAAAATGGATTCGGCGTACTTTTATCGGATTTTATCGGTTTAAACCGCAAAATCCGAACCCTATTTATATGTCGGCCTGCAAAGAAAGGTATGCAGAACTTCTGACCCTTTTGCTCTTTTCAAAGGAACACACCGGTGTTTCTTGAAGGCAGTTGTTCGCCAATGCAGCAAGCATAGAGTAGCGGAAACCTGCGAAATGAAAAGTTAGGAGAATCTGAGACGTAGGAAATGACCTATCTTCATGCCTCTCAATGCTGTAAACTGGTGTGACTGAGTGCATTGCCTTCTTACCTCGCTGTGGCACATGGTGGCACCATTGATGCAGTCAGTTTGTTTTTCAATAAAATGCACTTGACAAAAAACGATCAGTTATGATTTGAACATGAGTCATTGATGCCTGAGATACCTCTACCACCTACCACCTATCTGTCTCTTTAAATAGGCTGCCTTCCAACGGAAAAAATTTGGAGTCATCAAGGATATATAGAAATCTGGGCAAAGAATTGTGAGAGTGGGCGAGGTTTCTCCATAAACATTACTGTAGTGCATGCTTTTGTTGACACACTTTTGGTGGAGACCCAAACATGAGCTTCTGTCTTATTGGTGGATCTATATCAATAATGAGTTATGGTACAGATACTAATTAAAGCCCCAAGATATGGCTGTTCCCAATCCATGGTGTGAAAAGCAAATTAGACGTTAATTGTTTAGACAGCGAGATGTCGGTCTGCCTTTATGATGTGGCGACACTGGTTCAGTGCTGTCGATGAACAATTCAGCCTATAGAGTAGTACTGCTAATATGGGGGTCTTTAACGTGCATCACACAGTTGTGATCACTAAACCACATGCTGCTGGTACGATGCCCGTATAGATCTAAGCTGCTGGTACGATGCCCGTATAGATCTAAATTGGCAGAGTGGATCAAACCCAGGAATAACCCCTGCGTTCTGTGATGCGAACGGTCGCTGCACAAACTCCAGTTTCCTGGCACACTCGGCCACCCATCCTCTAATTTCCAGCAGATCACTAATGCTGTTACTATTAATGACTTTAGACCAGAGGTCTCCAAACCCTGGCCCGCAGGCCAGATCTGACTTGTGGAGGCCTTCCCACTGGCCCATAGCTGGCCGCAGTCCTTGCAGTGACCCGTAGCCCATTTCACCCAGCCCAATGCCACTAGCGCAAAAATAAGCTGGCGTAAAAAAAATAGTGCTTCAACATTCACCGAACATTACTTACTGTTCTTATTGTTATCGCGCTGAAAGTTGTGTGCCATATTTATTGCACATTGTCACCGCCGGCATCCTCATTCTTGGTCCTCTGTTTCATGTCTGCGTAACTGAGTTAAAAGTATTTTGCGTTCTTATGTATATTGTGCTTAGTGCCCTGTGTCATACATAGCAGTGTTATGGAATGGGCACCCCCATTCCATTCCAATTCCATTCCGGGGAATTAGAGTCTTCGATAATTCAATTCCTTTCAACTCCTAGGAATGGGGACACTAGGCCCATTCCCACTCCTGGAATGGCTGAATCGTTCCTTTCCATTCCTCTAATTCCTAAACGCAAAAATTGGCACTTTACAGCTGCATTGCTTTGCAGGGTTGGGCAGAAATAGTCAAAAATGTATTTGAAAATACAAATGCTGGGATAGATAAAAATAGTAGCTAAAATACTGATACTCAAATATATCTGTAAAAATGTATCGCGATACGTATCGGAGATACATTTTCAAAAAAGTCAAAAAGTCTTTGGAAAATCAAATACAGGAATACATTTTAGGGAGGGCAGAAATATAAATACTGATAATGCAATACATTTTCCAAATTTCTTTGGAACGTCAACTGAGATGAGGCTTTAAGTTTGAAGTGGAAGTTTTTTTTTATACCGAAATTACTTTCCCGCAGGCTTGACGCTTCGCCTTAAAGGTAGTGGTTCCAGACGAAGAGGAGTCTTCAATGGGTTCAAAAAACGTTCCATCAAGGACTGACCGCGGTCCCTTTCCTGGCATCCTGTCTGTCTAACCAGTGATGCGAAGTCCAATAAGGGCGCCCCTGTCAACACTGATAAAATGACGTCACGGCGGAATGAACTAGTATTCTTGTATCTGTAGGTGTTGCCTTGAACACGAAACTTTACCCACACTGCTGTATGAAAGGACAATACATACTTTCGTTGTAGGTGACCTCGTTGAAGAACATGCAGGGAGTTGCATTTGGAATTTTCGAGAATAGGGTGGACAATTTGAAGCATCCTGGAGCACATGTCTTATCTTCTGTTATGGCTGAAAAATCGATACGGTGGCATCCCTGTTGTGACGGTCCTACCTGCCGACCTCCCGCCTCCAACACATGAATGGCAGTCCTCAAGTTTCGGCTAGCATCTTTCAAACAGAGAGAGACCTGTGGATTGCGACCTGAGATGGCCGGCACAGGTGTGAGCTCTTCGAGAAACAGCGCGCTCGAGACGAGTCGCAGGAGTACGAAGTCTGGGTCGGCACAGCGAGGCCAAGTCTGGCCTCCTTCCTGGGTATTGGATCAATAGAGCAGCGGGTCAGGTTGACGTCGACTGATGACGTACCCTTGAGCCGTGCAGCAGGCGCAGACGCATTCTGATTTGTGTTGAACTTCATAGGTGAAAGGCACCACCGCCACCCCCCTTCTTTCCCCCCTTTGGCTTTGCTTTGACGCTTGTTTTTGTATTATATATATATATTTTCTTTTTTTGCGTATAAGTCTGTTAGGGCTCCATGCGGGTTTGCAGCTTCCTGCTCATTTAATTTCTGAACAACTGACTCGCTGACTAACTAGGTAAAGCTAACCTTAAAAAAAAATTAAATTAATAAAAAAATATTAAGAACCGGGCCCATTCCATTCCCATTCCATTCAGGGCAAAAGTCATCTAATTCCATTCCCATTCCATTCCCCTCAATGTTGCCGCCATTCCATTCCCCCATTCCATTCCGGGGTCACGAAAATGTGGAATGATTCCGGAATCATTTCAACTCCGGAGTGGCAACTCCGCAACACTGATGTGTATTGTCATCACCAGTCCTACCATTTTCATCAGTCTTCTGCCCTGTGCAAATATGCCAACGTTCATATTCACTTTGACTCATGCCTGGTAAATTTGTCTAGGCCACAATTATTGTGTTGTATATATATATATATATATATATATATATATATTTATTCACCTATATCACTCGGAAGTGTTGTTATTTGAACCTAGGCTTTTTATGAATGCACCTTTGATTCTTTTTTAATTTTACTTCACTTTAAATTTCTGTATTTAAATTATATGTCTTTTTCTTTTTTTATACATAATCAATTGTTTATTTTTTTGCCCTCGAGGCAACGACCATCTGGCCCCTTAGCCATAAAGTTTGGAGGCCCCTGCTTTAGGCCTTTCTTTTTTTGGGTTAGTCGGAGAATTTTCTTGAACTGGGTGTCTGGGGAAAAAGTAGCAGTGCTCTTTTTTCATCGCAAAAACAGGCTGTGCATGGCCAAACACTCAGTCGCCACCAAAAGGTAGCAATTGCGGCCTGAACCAGGTGCCAAAGTTGTAGAACTTGCCATTATCGGATAAAAAATGATATAAGCGATTTTCAGAAATTTTAATTAAGAAAATGGGGTCCGGGGTCCATATATTTGTGGGCTGGGTGGATTGCAATTATCTTATTAAAAATTTCAGAAAAACACTTCTAACTTTTTACATTTGTGTTATGTGTAATGTAAGTCATCCAAAATAGTGAAACAAAAATACATGCAGTTCAAACCCGGAAATGTTTTCTGTATGGTGGGGTACCCATATATTAACAGGGTTCATATTAAAGAGACGTGACTGTAATCGGATAACGGAAATGTCTGAATCTTTGGCATCTGGATGGAGACTGAGCATTGGGGATGCATAGTGTACTTTTCCACTGAAAGAACTGGCTAACGTTTTTCCCAAACATCCAGTAGTTGAAGGAATTCAGGAGCACAACTATGGTAGGCATCCTATTGAAGGTTCCATTCTAGTGTTGCACTGCACTGGCCAATATTGTTACATATCCAAAGAGAGGCAAAAGAGTTTTTAAATAGTGTAAAGACCCTTGTGTACAACGCATGCAAGCTCTCGGCGGTGTGCTGCGAAGTGTGCCAGACTAGCACTTTTAGTACAGCGCAACGCAAACGCATGCACAAGCAGTTGCAGCATCATCTATATATGCCCATGCAAACCGCTCCAAACAGTCCAAGGCCAGTATTCAGTCAAGCCAATCCGATACCGCTAATCCCATTGCTACCCAAAGGTCGAAAATCATTTTCCGGGTGCCGGCTGTAAACATACTTTTACTTTTATAAACATGCGGCCAGCAGTTTGCTTTTTTCTATCTGCGGAAGTGTCACAGTGTCTTGCCAGTGATGGCAGCTAGAAAAAGGGCACGCAGAGGGCTGCTGTGTGTGCACGCTTAAATTAATAGCACACATACATACGCATAATTCGCTGTGTCGCATGCGTATGACGTATACGCAGTGTGGAGCATGTAGCACTAATGCAAATGCACGGTGCTTACATTTGCTCTTATACGCAATACTAAAACTTTCTACTGTCTTCGATGTCATACCGTCGTCCGATTACAAACGCCTTGCTCTGCCATCATCACGCCTGCAGGCCCACTTTGAGGAGGACCAATACGAGCCCAGGAGGACGGACCGCAAGCTGAAGGCCTTTGCGGTGCCCACATTGTTCGAGCACAGGCGGCCTCCCAGGAGGCGCCGCCAGCTGAGGCGCTCCACGCCGCCACCGGCCCCCGTCAAGGAACCCGAACCCAAGAAAGATGCACGGCTCACTGCGGCCTCCATCGCAGCATCCAACGACCACACGTACCTCGCACCCCGAGACCAGCCCCCTTTGGTAGGCATTGAGACTGAGAAAATTGTCGTATTTACGCTAATCTACCGTAACGTCCCGAGGGATAACCCGCCGATCACGGAGCTCCAAAAAGGTACAAAAATGGTGGTCGGTGACAGGGTAAGAGTGCACAACAAGCTTCTTCCACAGAGCTTTCCACTCAATGAACGTTGGAGGAGGCTGGTCTCTTTGCTTCCTCTCCAGCCTTCACTCTGTTGATGTGGAAAGACTGGAAGGCTTTGTGGGTGGAACTCGTTCCGCTTTTCTTATCCTGCAACAGGCTATTTTCAACTCCAACGTCTTATAGATGGTGGGGTGGTAGTTCCAAGGAGGTGGAAGAGACCGGGTTAGATTTCCCAGGATTTTTCGAGCGCCTGTTCGCTGACTCTGGCCGGTGAGGTTAGATTAATTTGTTTGGATACAAATGCAAAGCAGTCGCCATAGGAGAATATCGCAGGTGGCGGAGATGTTGATGTGCATCAGTAAAAAGAGCATGTGGATTTTTTAAAGTTGCGGAAACCTTTGCAGAACTTACGAAGTTTTCTGGAGGGTGAGCTAGTTTTGGGCACTGTCCACGTCTCTGTGCGTGCCAAAAGATTTTTGAGGGTGACGAAGATATGGTGGTGTTTCCAGTGCGCTTAACCATCAGTGCTCCAAAAAGTGAGCTGCGCAGGGTGACCGTTAAGCTCCGGAAGAGCACCGTTCGCAGTATCAATGTCTCTGAGGCTCACAACTCGCTGCATACTGTGGTGGTTTTTGCTGCATTGCAACGCGTGATCAACCTGCCGCTTGGTTACTAATGAGCAGGTTTAGCATGGCGTGACAGCAGGCAAACATGCTGTGTGGCATCGCAACCAGAAGCACACGCTGTACCTTTAAAGCATGATCTTCAATGTGTGCCAGGAGCGTTGCCGTGCCCACGGCAGCCTGCGGTAACGCTATGTTAAAACTGCCTGTTAATGCCATCGGTGTATTGGGATGTTTTATTTATTGCTCTATCAAAAACAAACGTTTGATTATTATGCTATGCTACACCTGCCCATTTGCAGCATCGCAACCCGCCTCACGAAAGTACCGCATTCCAAGCACTCGTCAGAAATGGCTAGCTAATGCACTTTTTTTTCCTTCTCGATTTACCTAAAAGCAAGCATGCATAATCAACCTTTTGGAGGTGCGTGGATTAAATGGTCATCTTCCTTTTCATGGCCTTTCAACTCATAAAATGCTGACCCCTTCCCGATGTCTACCGCTCGACACATCGTTGCACGAACAGTTCTCTCCTACTTTTGGAAAAGTATGGAACATTTGTGGATTGTACATGAGAGATTAGCACTACTAGAGGGAGCTTTTGCCGTCACGTCGAGCACAGATCGAGCTGGTAACCGCAGGACTCGAAATCTGCAGCGCATGCGAGCTACGAAATGCCCCGAATGAAATGAGACATCCCAGTCCCTTCGTGCAACGCTGTTGCTGAGTGGAATGCCACGATTCCTATTTTAATGTTCTCGCTTTTTCCCTTAGAACTGCATGATGCGCAAACACGCCGACGAGAACCGTGCTGTAATAGCAGTACCAAAACTGACAGTCCCTGCTCACCGTTTCCACCGCAGTTCTTCATTCCTCTGCTAAATTGGGAGCGACGAGCTGGAGTTGGCGAACAGTTCCTTTTCCACTCGTGCCTTCATTAATTGCATTAGACCACACCACGCACGCCATATCGAGGCTGTTTCATAGATTTACACGTCTGAGTGGTGTGCTGGAGTGTGCCGTGCTCGCTTCTAGCCGCTTATGACGAGAGAGCACACCGGCATCTGGCACCATCTGTTGGGTAACGCCGGAACACCTCCGATCGCATATAACTACCGTATTTTCCGGGCTGTAGTCCGCGGCGAACTACACATGTTAAAAGTTGAAATTTTAGGGTGTGCAGACCATCTACGCTTGGGGACTATACAGGAATTTTGTTCTTCAAGGTCGTTCATTATGACCAGACGTGACGAATTTTGCGAATGGAAGAGTGTGTTAATGATGATATATGTATAATACAAGCTTCTTTTTGAGCTAAAAAAGCAGACATTTGTCAAAGTGTGCCGTGTATGAGAAGATTTTCGTGTCAACAAAGCACCAAATGCGGACTATGCAAAGCGTGCGGACTATGCACCGTGTGCGGACTATCTAAGCAAAAACTTTTATTTTTGACCCCAGTTTTGTTTCTGCGGACTATATGCAAAAAAATATGGTATACGTAAGGTTTTACAGTGTTTGCGAGATCAAATCTGCACACTACCTGTGAGAAATAGTTGCTTATAACTATAATTCCGTGTTTTTGAATAAATCCAAGAAACTTTGAAAAACTGAATCTCATTGTCACGATGTCAGAAGGAAAAGCAAAATAGACGGTATTTTACAAGTAGGGTCCGTCAGAGCATGGGGTTAGTAGTCTTAAAAAAAGACCACTTTCTTTTTTTTTTAGTTTAAGATTATTGGCAAGAGGGAGCTTCCTGTTTATATTGTCAGGGTTTGTTCAGCACAGGGGGTCGATCTACTTCTGGGCAACGACAAAAGCACACGGTGTTCAGTTTAGACCTGTTGTGCTTCTTAGGTAAAGGAGGGTCTGTGTTCTTATAACAGTGAAATATATGAACCTGTAGGTTTCATGGGAGGGGCGAGGGCAGCTGGAGTGTTCATGCTTCTCAGCGACTACGTCTAGGTGTTTGACTCTCAAAGTACCGACGTTTATTGAAGCAACACTTGTTTGCAAGATTTGTCATGGGGCAGTTAGTACTGCCAATCGCAAGCAAGGGCACCAACATCAAATGCAGCTGCGGAAATAAGTTTCACTACCAGGCAGTATTTATAGATTTAGTTTTGGCCGAACATTCATTTTTATTTCGAATTTTGAGAAACTGGAACATGGTAAAATTAAGCTCCAAATTTCGGGGAATTTGGGATCTAACAAAAATGAACTCCGACAAACACAGAATTTCCGGCGAAAACTGAACTCCGAAAAACACCCACCGAATTTCACGAAAAATGAACTCGGTAAACTTGGAACCCTGCTTATAACATTCACAGAATTATTCCGAGCCTCACGTGAAAGAATGATGCGCAAAAAATAATGAAAGCATCATCCTAGCAATATAAACACAGATTAGAACTATTTGAGGCTCATCTGATAGATTGTGCCTGTGTGCTCTTTAGTCGTAAGTGCACACAAGCACAGTCCAAATTTGTGAAGCAGCTTTTAGTCGAAGGAAGAACAGTTCTGTTGCCTTCTCGCTATTTCACCTACTTCACCGCAGCATGCGCTACTTCACCGTTACTTCACCGCAGCGTGCGAACTATGTGGATAACTTTCTTTTTTGTTGGGGGGGGGGGAAGGTAAGGTTTGTTTACAGCAGAGATATACCATATTAACTTGAGTAGTAGGCGCACTGTTTATGAATAAATCCCGTAGGCTCATTCTGCCCGTGAGCATGTTGGATAGCGAATCACCGCAGTCGACGGAAAGATGCCAGCAATTTATGGGACGGAGATGACGTCCTTGCGCAGAAATGCCATCTACACAGTTAAAATTCTTGCATAAATAGCATTCTAGACTTGTCTTTCGCTACTTTTTCGGGTCCAGAATGCAACAATCGGCTGTACGTCTACTCTGCGGGAAGGTAGGCACAAGGACCTGAACCACAAGTGGTGCGTGTATTCGCAAGTCTAACGCCCTATAGGTGGCAGGGCGGTAGTTCCAAGATGACGGAAGAGACGGGAATAGATTTGCCAGGATTTTTTGTGCGCCCGCTTGCTGACGCTGGTCAGTGTGCTTAAATTAATTTATTTAGATACAAACGCAAAGCGGTTAGGGCAGGGGCGTATCAAAGGTGACAGAGATGTTGACGTGCTTTAGGAAAACGAGCATATTAATTTTTATAAGGTGCAGAAACCTCAGTGTCATGTTCATTGTTAAAAGTTGCTGAGTGTGTTTTGGGCGCCAGCCACATACATGTGCGTGGCAAAATATTCTTGAGGGTGGTGAGGGTATTGTGGTGTTTGCTTTGTGCCTGGCCACCTGTGCTGGAAAGAGTGAGCAGTGCAGGGCCAAGCTTCTGTAGGGTAGTGCTCACATTGATGTCTCGGTGTTGGAGGCTCAGAAGTCAGTGCACACCGTTGCGGTTTTGGTGCACTGCAACACGTTTTCAACCTTCGCCACGGTTACTAATGGTTTGTTTTAGCATAGCGTGAGTGCAGGGTACTGTCCAGTGTGGCACATTGCAACCGGCAGGTCGCGCTGCACCTCTGAAGCATTATTTTCAGCTCGTGCTGAGGTTGTTGCCGTGCCCATGGTAATCTGCGATAACAATATGCTAAAACTGCATGTTACTGCCATCGGCATAAGTAAAAGTTTTATTTATTGCTCATTAAAAGGGTATTACAGCATAACAGTATATTTTATTATATTAACAGTATAACAGTACAGTATAACAGTTATACATTATATTTAGGCTTCCACGTTTTCAGCTTTTATTTTTTTTTTCAAATTCAGCGTACATTTTTCGGTGTTTATTTTAACATTCAATTTTCGTGTTTTTTTTCGGTGTATATTTGTGCCCACAAAAGTTTACCGGTTTCTTCCTGTGAATATGAAGGAAACACCATCGAACACCGGATCAGATGATCCTTCTAGCTCTGATATTTCTGATCACTCAAAGAATAATGGCACAGATACATTGAGAAAAAAACATGGACACTTTATTTAACAAATGTGTGCAACCGTGAAAAAAAGAAAAAGTCTGTGCCCAAAAAACATGGAACTTCACCTTCTGTATATCAGGATTACGTGATCTTATTATAGTAAACAAACATGTACTTTCCCAGGATCTCCACATTGATCCACGCTCATTCTTTCCTGTTAAAAAACCTCTGACACACTGACACGGCAAAAAAAAAATTTATTTTTTTTCATGCTAGGCGTTGAAATGGCATGTCAGGACATTACAAAAAAATTGTTTCCCTAAAGAGTTGCATAGTTTTTTTTATAAAAATAGAAATAGGAGGCCGAATTCAAAGTTCCCGCCAGTGCACTGTGACGTAACGGTGTACTGCAAGGTGTCGGGGTGGTCAGAAGGGAGGCGTCGACCTACGTTACTAAAAGTGGGTTCGCAGGAAGTCACGTGAAATTTCACTCCTCGTGCTCTCTGCGACCGTGCCTAAGACTTTTTTTTTCTGCTCTTTGTACGAGCGATTGTAGAAAACAAAGTTTCAGTTCGACAAGCTCTTTATCGCTGCACCGTTGATTAGTTTGCGTGCTGTAAAAGTTGAGGACGAAGAGTCAGTGCATCGGAGTGATGGAGGTCAATGATGAAAGCGTTGCGAGTACAAGCCAGTGTACGAGTGCATGCGATCAGTCCGATGATACAGAGGTATACTGGGCGCAAAGGAAGCTATCAAGTCTTGAAAAAAAAATTTTAGAATGCTCGCAGAAATTAGGAGTGCTTGCGTACGACATGCCCAATTGCATTGCTGAAGGTTCGAACACCGAGGTCGTCGAATCATTGTATACTCTCCAGGCTGAAGATGCCTGCCGTCCCTCGGAAATGCATGCAGTGTGATCTCGTCTTCAGTTGCTGAAATACTGGGACAGTCCCTCACACAGCACCTTCTAGGCATTGTAGTTGATCACGTCAATTCACTGACTCCTCTCTTCAACCTTTACAGCAACATTAAGCGATGAAAAGCAAATAAAACAAACCTTGTCTGCTTGGATCGCTTGTGGAGGTGCGGAGAACAACAAAAATATTTAAAAAATATTACACGCGTTCGCAGTAAGCATGAGGAGGGATGCAACTCACGTGACTTCCGCCGATGCCTCCCTTCTGACCTCCTTGACACCTTGCGGTACACTGTTACGTCACAGTGCACGGCAAGAACTTTGAATTGGGCCTCGTATTTCTATTTTCATAAAAAAAACAACGCACCTCTATAGTGAAACACTTTTTTTGTAATGTCCTGAGATGCCATTTCAACGCCTAGCATGGAAAAAAAAAATTTTCTTTGGCGGTTCAGAGGCCCTTTAATGACCCTGGGCTTCGAGAATGCCCCCTCAACGTTAACACTGTACACTGGCAGGCTGAGGAGGTGAAGCGCTGCCTGATCCGAAATCGTCCAATCAACCAAATGTGACTACCAAAAGAGACACGGTGCGACGTTTTGAAGCACAACATATTTCGTGTTCTCACTAGGCTCTGGCTGCACATCTTGCATCAAGCGAAAGACTTTATTACTACTAGCCGACATTCAAACTTTTTTGTTTAGGACCGGGAACTTGACACACTAAGCCCGATCACAGAAAGGACACAGATGTCCCGCGAAGGGCAACCCAAGACTTCTTTTGTTGCATGTTGAACCTTGGAAGGGGGCAATTACGAAGGTGTCACACAATGTCGAACCTAACAATGCCCTCTCTCCCCCTCCCCCACCCTCTTCCCGCCTATCCCGGCGCGACCCTAAAAGACTGGCCATTTGCGGTTAAAACAGAATTTTAGAAAATGAATTCAGGGTATTTTATCGGTTTAAACCGAAAACGCCGAACCTAAAAACTGACCTTTTTTTGGTTAAAACCGAATTTCCGAAAATGGATTTAGCATACTTTTATCGGTTTTTATCGGTTTAAACCGAAAACTTCGAACCCTAAGTATAATATATCCCTGTACTGTATTATTTGCAGCGCCACGACCCGCCTCACCAAAACTGCCCGTTCTAAGCACTCATCGTGAATTGCTTGCTTCCACAAACATTCTTAAGAATGCTAAAAGCATTTTTTTTTTTGCCTTTATAATTACCTAATCTGCAAGTATGCATAGTCTGTCTTTTGGAAGCATTTGGAGCAAATGGTCACGTTCTTTGTCACGGCCGTTCAGCACGTAAAATACTAACCCGTTCCCGATGTCAATTGCTCGACACACTGCTGAGCGAAGAGCTGTCTTTTACTTTTGGGAGTGTTTTCATAGATCAAACACAAGACATTTGCACTATTAACGGTAGCTTTGGCCATCATGGTGAGCACAGATTGAGCTGGCGACCGCAGGACCCCAAACCCACGGCATATGCGATCTACGAAAAGTCTCCTATTAAATGAGAGATGTTTATCCGTTCATCCTACACTGTAGGGAAGCGGAACACAACAATTCCTATTTTAATGCACTCTGTTTTTTTTCGTTAAATTTGCATGATGTACGAACAGGCTGACCAAAATCATGCGGTAACAGCAGCACCAAGGCTGCCAGCCCGTCAGTCCGTGCCGCCGTCTCCACCGTCGTCCCCGCTCCTCTGGTTCTTCCTTCGTCCAAGAGAGGGCGAGCAGTGGGCTGGAGTTGCGAATTACTCGAGTAAACAGGGTAGTTAGTTAAATACTTTTAATGCATTAGCATTAGTGCCCCGGCACATGCACTGACCTTGGACGGGTTTGGAGCAGTAGCATATAAAGTTTGCAACATCGCCACGGGATGGCGTCCCCACCGGCGATAGGACGCAGAGCAACGGAGGCTACACTGGATTGATGCCGTGACAAAACAGCTAGCAATCGAAGATCGCCAGCAATGTCCCCCTTCGCCAATTTCGGTGCCTCACAGTGGGGGACGGCAGGTTTGTCACTGGGACATGTGTTACCCCACTCCGGCCCCTCCCTCCCCCATTCACGCCACTTGGTGGCGACAGTCTACGGGTGACTCATTACAGAATATTAATCAACCTTGGCCCACCAGTGCACGCCCTAGCCCCGCTGTCCCCCACTGCACCTTGGTTGTTAGGTGTTACGTCACACCATCGCTCTCTGCAACCAGCCAGTTCTGTGTGACTGCTGTCCTTCGTGCACACGCCAGGTGACCCGATCCACTTGCACCAGGGAGGAGGGGGGTTTCGAGAATGTCCACCCTGCGGAAAAGTGCTGAGAGGCTGCATTCACCATGCTTTCTTATATATAACCTGCGCAAAATGCTAACGCATTTCTTCGGGAAACAGCGTAATGGCAGAGCTGTTTTTTTTTTGTTTTTTTTGTAAAGAGGTAATTGTAATTTTCTTCTCATTCTTTCCGTTTGTGTCTGCAAGACTGTACGAAACCAGGGCCCACCGAAGCCGCAGCCCCCTAGCGTGACGGTCACCTTCGCGATGCCCAACTCACTGTCGTCGTCCCCCATGATGTTCACGGCGTCGGGCACCTCCCCATTCTGTTCCCTGGTTCCCGCGACCTCGGTGTGCACCGGCGGCGTCAGCAGCGCGCCCACCGACGCCACTTCTCCCATGCTGCTGCTCCAGACTGGGGGCACCACGTCGTCGGCGCTGCCCGTGACAACGAGCGGTGCCCCCACCTCGGTTTCTAACAACGTCGTAATCCAAGGCGTCCCCGCTGCCGCAACAAGTAAGTACATATTTGTTGTCTGTTTTAACGCAAAATCTGTTATACAAAGTATTTTTTTGCTTTTTTGCTTTACAGATTTGTTTTAAAAAGCCACAAAAGCTACATTAACGCTGCCTGTGTCGGGGAGCTGTAATGCAGGGAGGCGTAGTGTAGGGGGCTGGTCGTCGCCGCAAGTCGAATAATTAACCAAGACTCGCTAATACACTTTTTGATTAATGGAAATAAACATGCGTTTTCAAGCTATGACAAAGATCGAGAAGTGAAACGTTTCCCTAAGGGCGAAGTGAAAATGCAGGCCTTTGTTAGGCAGTCATTGATTTCGATACCATTTGCCCATTTGGCCTGACGCACGAGCAGAGGAACAAGGCTGCCAAAGCACGAGCTGTGTTTTATTTTATATTTCTTTCCTCCTGATCTTGTGTATGTGTGTGGGAGGAAGGGTTGGGGTTGGAAGCTACGCTTAGAGAGCCGCAAGCCACACTTGGACCTGCGAAGGGCCGCAGTTTGGTCACCCCTGGTGTACAGTATGCGCATTTCTGCCGGCTTCCCTGCACTACACGCAAGCAAGATCTGCTTTCATAGGCTAGCATCATTTGTATCGGTTATTGTTTGTATCTGAATGCACTTTGTTCCATGGGCTCCTGGAAACCCCGGTGTTCCCCGAGCTCTCAAATTTCGTCAGCCGTACCTTCCTCCGAGTAAAGTCTTCTTTCAGTTTAAGCACTAGTGTCTTAAAAGCTGCAAGTCATTCATTGATGCATAATTTGGTGCCACACATACCCTAGTGTCAGGACCATTGTTTACAAAGTCTGTAGGAGATCTGCACTGCCTTATATTGATCCCTAGACCGGGAGCTTGGCTATCAGTGAAGACAGGTGGGTGCTTCTTGAGTTTAGAAAGACTGAGAGCTCCCGTTCTATTCATGAGAGTGAGATTCGAACTTTGCGTTCCACTCTCGCTCGAGCGCTAGCTTTGGCAAGGCTTTCACTCGGAGCCTCTAGCTACGCACAACGAAGTTTGCGTCGTTGATGCACGAAAGTCAAGGCAGAAATTGATCTGTGTGACATCGCCACGAGGCAGCGCACAATATTTTCAGTGTTTCCGCCATCTTCACCGCGGCAATGCGGGAAAGGTGCAAATTTTTCTGTGTAGAGCGACTCTTTGGCTGATTTTCCTGGAGATGATGTGCGACAGCTTGGAGCTTAGCTGCGACTGAGTCGTAGACCTGGCAAATGTGATTTGTCCACAATTTGATACGATTGCATCATTTTAGGAAACAACGTGAGTTTGTGAAGAAAGTAGCAACTAGAAACTTAGCTATCTTGAGGGGCGTCTGAGGAATTGCTCCCACCTCTCGAGTCTTGCAATGAAAACGCTCAGTAGCATGCGAGCCTTCTTAACAAATCTAAATATACAAGAAAGATAGATGAAACTGTTTGCTCGTGGCTATGCATTAGTGTCTCGCTCGGCTATGCTTAAATTTAAGCTCATCGCTTACGGCAATAAGAATTCAGGTCCTCGAAGGATGTCATGGACATACTCGAGGGGAAGCTTTGGGTATCCTTGCACAGGATGAAGCCTGTTTCGTCAAAATAAAGTTTAAGTTTTGTAAAGAAGAGACTGTTTGAGAGGGGCAGTGTTTTAGTGTCATCTTCACTCGTCTTTTTGTCTGGTCTTCGAGCTTTTGTGTGTGTGTGTGCAATGTCTAGAAAAGGGGGAAATATGGCACTAATGCGTCGGATGGCCCTTTGGATTCTTAAAAACCTTATGTTATTGCCAAGGGGCTACAGTGCCACATTTCAATCGTGAGTAAGTACATTGCAGTTCATCGACGTTGTGCGCTGATGGCTGGTTTGCGCAGTTACACTTGAGTGTGATCGATTGCATTAGGACCGCTTGCATCCCGCTGCTCGGAGTTGAAATGGAGTGGCGCCAGCATGGAAATAGCCCTGGACCGTTTCCGGTCCAGAACTAATGTTTCTGCAGTGTTTGCGAGATTAAATCTGCACACTATTTATGAGAACTGATCGCTTATAGCTAGGGTTCTGCGTTTTCGGTTACTATTTTTTCAAAATTCAGCATACTTTTTTTGTTGTTTATATTAAAATTAAATTTTTTTTTCATGTATATTTACGCCCACAAAAGTTTATCGGCTTTTTTCAGTGAATATAAAATAAACACCAACGGACACCGGATCAGATGATCCTTGTAGCTCTGATATTTGTGGTCACTCAAAGAATAACGGCACAGATACGTTGAAAAAGAAATGTACACTTTATTTGGCAAATGTGTGCAACTGTAAAAGAAACAAGAAAAAAAAGCACAGAAGTACAAACAAGTCAAATATGAAGCCTATGGCCAAAAAACATGGAACTTCACCTTCTGTACATCAGGATTACGTGATCTTATTATAGTACACACACAGATGTACTTTCCCAGGTTCTCCTCGTTGATCCGCACTATTTCTTTCCTGTTAATATGGCCCTGAGCTTTGAGAATGCCTTCTCAACCCCAACACTGGACAGAGGCAGGCTGAGGAGATGAAGCGCTGCCTGAGCCAAAATCGGCCAATCAATTAATTGTGACCGTCAAAAGAGATACGGTGCGACGTTTTGAAGCACAACGCAACATGCGGAGCTTGCATCAAGTCAGTCTTTCTTACAAAGAGTTTGAAAACGTGCTCGTACATGGCGAAGTCATGGGGCATTTCGGACTTCGCGTTCCGATCGATGGTGCACACATTTAACCAAAACGTCGTGATGGCACCCGTGTATCCCGTACATTCGGACACGTTTCGATAGACACTGTCATTCCACTTTTTCGCCACGGCTCTGCGGTATGACTGGAAGGTCAACGTGACCTTTTCTGGTTAATACTGAACTTTAGGAAATGGATTCGACATACTTTTATCGGTTTTTATCGGTATAAATCGAAAGTGCCGAACCTAAAAACTGGCCTATTTCGGTTACAACCGAATTTCCGAAAATGGATTCAGTGTACTTTTATCGGTTTAAACCGAAAACTCCGAACTCACTTATAGCATTGGCAGACGTATTTCATGCTCATGATGAAAAAATATTGTGTAAAAAATTGGGTACTTTGTATACATGGAGTGTCCCAAGTGGACCTTCCATTGTAAAACAAGCCATAAAATCGGCGTCCAGACATAGAAAGCTCAAACTTCTACCAAATGTGCATCTTGCATGTCAGTTTTACCATGTGAAATTTCGAGGCCAAGTTCTCTATCTTTGAAAAATGAGAGCAAAATACTTGCGAAGTCAATGTTAGATGCGTTTGCAGACGGCTGAGTTAGCGACGCTATTCACTTGTGGTGCCATCTCCCGATAGGCACAGCAAGGAGACAGCTGAGTGCGTCGTCTGTTCGCTGCGCCTATCGGGAGATGGCGCCACAAGTAAATTGGCGTCGCTAACTCTGTTGTCTGCGAATGCATTCAACCTTGACTTTGGCAAATTTTTTTGCTTTCATTTTTTTTTTTTTACAGAAATAGAACTACACCATGAAATTTCACAGGATAAGATTGACCTGCTTGGTGCACATTCGGTAAAAATTGGAGCTTTCTATGTGCAGACGCCGATCTCTTTGACTCGTTGTACAGTGAAGGTCCTCTTGGGATACCCTGTATATACGGAGGCTGAAAGAGGGCCAGACCTACCCTTACCTTCCTGCACGCAGAACAGGTGGACAGTTGTGGTACTATCATAAAAGCAAAGTAGATCTTTAGAGAAGGGAGCCTCTCATCTGAGACAACATTTTCTATGCTGCGTGTGCCAGACTCGCACGGCACGAGGCCGCTGGTGTCCATTGCCCCAGCTGGGAGTGCAGTCCGGGTCTCTGCTCCCAGCAGCGTCACGGTTCAAGCGGCGTCCTCTACCGGCACGAGTAAGTTTGTCCTCCGAATCACTTTTCCCCAGAGTTCACATAGCCTGGAGAGAAAGAACCCGTGCATTTCGGCCGCTTTGGGATGGTGAGGCATAGACGCGGACATCTGTGGTCCCATGTTGCTGGCAATGCTTTCATATACACAAAGAAGCAGGAAAGCATCACCTGCCAGGTCTGTATTTAGTGTCTTTCTAGCAATGTTTTGTATGAAAACATTGGCATCGCCCATTGTATAACGACATATATAAGGTTGCCTATACCTACTTTGCTTCACCTTAAAGCAGTACGTACGGAAACGAAATTCTAGCGCTCATTTTTTAGCTTTAATGTGTTGCATGTTGCAGCATAACCTTAAGAAACACCAGTCTTTCATTGAAAGGCACAAGAAAACTAAATTTAAAGCTAATTAAACAATTTTTCAATATGCACCTGGCAAATGCCCGTGACGCCTACTTGGGAGGTAATCTAGCAACGTTGGGAATCTTGCTACGTAGTCACGACATAGCAAGAACCGTTACATAGCCGCACTAACCATCGGAGCAGCGCCGCTCTTTGGAAGTATGCTCAACTGTTTAAAGCAGTCATGAAACAATTTTTAAACTTTTTCCTTCTTAGCTTTCCTCCTCAACTCACAAATCACGCATTGTACCAAACAGTTCAAGAAGACGGAAAGGAGGGACTTCCCTCTTGCTCGGACTCTCGTTTGTGCATTCGGACACAGCCATTATCCCCCTAAGTGATTAGCCCGTCGCTCAAAACTCGGACAAAAATTGCTTTCCCCATCCCATTCACCCCAAAGCTGACAGTGCTGTGGAAGCTATGTGCTCGTTGGGCCAGCTACACTTTTGCCACGTGATCACACTCCCTAGCGCATACCCACGCACAAAGAATGCGGTCAGGTGATGAGAGGAAAGTTTTGTGTAATGAGTGGCCACGAACTGACTTATAAAAAGGACTTGGTTTAATACTTACATGACCGCGGTAAAATTCATCCTGACAATTTCCCTGCTTCCTCGTCGTTCAAAAACCAAAATGTCTCTTCTCGCGCCGCCAACACTTCTCCTTCGTCCTCAGTCCCAGACACAATCTCGTTCACCAAAAAAATGCCCCAGCCACGAGACAGGGTCGCCCTCCACTAGTCATTTTCCAACAGAAGGTGGCTGATTGGTCCGGCAAGCGTATAGCTTCCACCACACTGTCAGCTTAGAGGTGAACAGGGTAAGGGAAGCAATTTTTGTGTGAGTTTTGGGCGATGGGCTAATCTTCTAGGGGGAGAATGGGCCACACAAACACGACACTCGTCACCCCACGGGTACTTTTAACGGCTCGGTTGTAACGCATAACACCACCACAACGCCACCATCAGCAAAGCTCATAACCACGCCAGCCTTGCTACGTCACAAATGCTGTGAATTTGTTTTTTTTTTTGTCGGATATTCCATGACATTTTGCACTCCCTGTTCGCTTCTCTTCGAGCGCTTGCTTGAGTGCACTGTTTGGAACAAAAAATATAGCCAGTCGTTCAAAACACAAATGTGCAATTATAATTTACGTTTATTATCCATCATGCTTTACTCATTGCTGAACGAAATTAGTATAGTTCAATTTTCGTTTCCGTACCCCTTTAAGTCCAGACGCAGCTGACGTTATGGCTCGAGGGAACCAATCAGACAGCCTCAAAAGCGCACCATCATGATTGTGTGCCTCCACGGCACTTCATCTACTAACTTTACGAGAAATGTCTATTTTCCCCAGTATGATACTCTGCTCCAGAGCCACATGCTGGCTCTGAAATATGTGGTTGCCATTGATTTTTGGCCTTACAGCAACTGCTCTAAATCAGGTAGGCAGCACACAGTATTGACTGGTGCTCCAAATTTGAGATCAGATTAATATCAGCATAAAGGAAGTCAGAGATCGGCACAAAAGTCTTTAATTTGTTTGAGCCTCTTTCACTGCAAGTAAATAGCACAGTACAGTGATGTCTCGTTAATATGGACACCTCCGTTCCCTCAGGGAAGCGTTCATAATGTGAGTTGTCCATAATAACGACTCAAAAATGTGCGTATTTACCCAGATTGTTCCATAGATGTCTCGATAACTCACTGTAGTCTCTCGAAGTAAGTCTCCGTGCCATGGTCAAAAATTACATTGGAAATAGGCCTTACGTTACTTCATAATTTACAGTTGACTTGTTAATTCAAACTTGGAAAATTTATACTTTTGGCTAATTCAATCAAATTCTAAATATGTGGGTGGCTGACTACTGGGTGGGTTCTCGCAGATGCTGGTCTTGCTGTTGAACCAATCAAACCAGGTTGGTGGTACTACAAATGAGCAATACCTAATTAGCAAGCGTGCTGTTCTCAAAGAAATCGGAGAATTTACTTAGCCATTCCAATATAAAGGAATTGCCACCTCTGTGTCAGGATTGGGATGTATACATAAGCATAATTTAGTTTTTTGCATACACTTTTTTTTTTTTGTTTTTTTTTGGGGGGGACAAGTTCCTTTTTGTAATTAAGCGCGAAACACATGTACGACGAAACCGTCCGATCCGACGTCCGACCGCGCAATACGACGGTCGGAGGCGAGGGTTTTCAACGCTCTCCGATGCTACGAAAACCCTCTCCCCTCAAGGTCATTCCGGCAGTCCGCACGTCGGATCGGACGGTTTCGTCGTACATGTGTTTCGCGCTTTACTTAGGAATATTTCTCTTTTCTCAATAATTAAAACTTATGTTAACTGCGTGTGTGTGGTTTCACTGGTAACATTTTAGTACTTGCCTGTATTTTTATAAGGTCTGCCAACCTGTTTTGGCCTTATGGCTGGCAGTACATCAAAAATAAAAACAAATAAAATTTAGCAATAACTTGCACAGAATTGACTGGTTCCTTAAAGTTTGAATTAATGTGCCTACTGTATGCGACTTTCAGGTTTGTTTTCTCAGTTAACTCATTTTTCACAAACATTTTTAACAGTAACACATATAACTACACCAACTTAGGTTATCTAGGATGTAATAATTTTGTTGTGTGCATTTCAGGTGCTTTGATGTTTTCAGCTTCGCTTGATATCTTGCTTTTCAGGCACTTTTACGACCACAGCACCTATTACTCCGCAAAACATAGGTTTGTATGCTTTGGTATTTGGGTTGCATGTATTTATAGTTCTTGGGTTTTTAGTCTTTTTATGTAGCAGAGTTCTGGCATATTGTAATAACGAAGTAGGTAGTAATGCCTCCGATACCATTCTTTTATTAAAGAGCATGTTTATGGCCTGGACGTTGCTAGTTTGCATAACGTGTTATGGAACGACGCGCTATATACTCAACCTTTGACCTTTATTCTGTTCAATTTAGCAGAAAACTTGCAAAGTTAGCAATGGTTGTAACTTGTTGCATCATCCCCCAGTAGGCACGGTGAGCGGACCCAGAGTGCGTCGCTTGCTTGCAGTGCCTATCAGGAGATGGCAGCACAAGTTACAGCCATTTCTAACTCAGTCTTCTGCGAGCATGTCCGCTATTGGGAGACCCTGTCAAGTATATCGGTGTCATTTCTCGCAGGAAGGGGACTATGTCTTGAAGTTTCATCAGGTAAAATGCACAAGTGAAGCACACTTCCGGTGAAGGTTTTCACTTTCTAATGTGCAGATGCCTACTTTTCCGGTCTGTTATATGCAGTACTAAGTTCTACTGCAGACATTGTATTTAGTATATAACCAAATTATGGCAAATAATATACAACCTTCTAAGCACAGTGCTTTGCACCTTTTTTCTGTTCATTTACTCTGTTTGTTTTTTTTATTTGGATGTGTTTTGCCTTTGCTTATAGTGTCTCCCATAACTGATTTCTTTGGGGCCCTTGGGATCCGTAAATTGCTCTTAATTGGGTGCCCCCCTCCTCTTCGCCAGTACTGCCTCCCTTCAACTGCCTCCCCGGTGGAGGCCCCATCATACTAGTCCCCGTGAACAGCCTGTCCCAGCGGCCTCCCGGCTCAACGCCCATCCAGGGGAACCAGGTGCCCATCATCATGTCGGTGGAATCTCTCCGGCGAAACACGGGCCACACGCCCATCCTCAAGAGGCCCCCCACCTACGAGGAGCTCCAGGCAGAGCTCTCCAAGCTCCAGAGCCAGGCGGCCTCCAACTGCCAGGAGATGGGGGAGTGCAACAAGAAGCTCATCAAGGTCAAGGCGTCCCTGGCCAAGCAGACGGAACAGCTGGGCAAGTTCCTCAACATGGACCAGGTGGAGTGTGTTCAAAGGCTCCCAGGGGAGAAAGTGAAGTGGACACAAAAGACGCTGGCATTTGCGCTCGAGGTGTACTCGTGCTCGCCGCCAGTGTACAAGAAGTTGTTGGACAGTCACTACCCACTGCCGCCGGAGTTGGCCTTGAAGAAGTACTGCTTGGACAGTGGGGTTAAGGAAGGGGTGCCCACAGAACTGTTCAGTCTGGAAGAGGTTGTTACAGAAGATGAGGATGCGAATATTGTGTGGCTTTAGCTGCGCTTGTTTTATTAAAATTGAGAAAGAATGAGACATAAAACAATAATCTGTGTGTAATGCAATGGTGGTGGATAGTCACCACTCAGCATCCTACTGCATAAAAGAAGGTAAATAGTTGGCCCAAAGTAGGCTGGTTTGCTTGCACCAGTTTGTGAGTGCTTACCGCAGTCTAAGCAATAATGCAAGATATAGTTGCAAGTAAACTTGATTAAAAAAAGTGGTTCATATAAATACATGCCCTGCATGTGACGTCATATGGCACCATAGCAGCCACCATTTATCATGCTCCTGAGCCCGTACCTTCTGCAGTGTACATTTCGCAATATTGAATTTGTTTTTGGCAAGCCTTGTGGAGAAGAACAGGTTCGATGATGCCAAATGTATGCTGCTAAAGGTATGGGCACAGGAGCATGGTGGCTGACGGGACGTGACGTCAATGCAAACCATGTGTTTGTTTTAGTTCTATGGCACTGTGTGTAAAGTTGTTTTTTTTTTTTTTTGGGGGGGGGGGATTGGGGTAAAGGGGACCCTTTGTTTTTCTGGTACCATTGCTGGTTTTATTCGGGTTGTCATCGCCAGCTTTTAGTGACTCCGTGTCTCTAGTATCCGTGACAAGGAGGTTAGAAGTGCTAGGAGAGGGCACGTTGCAATATTGGTGAAGCCTAGTCATATAAAGTTTAAACGATGTGGCCAACGTGACCGTAGAGCTCTCTGGCTATTGGTGCGCGTGACATGTCACGTGTGAGATGGATGGTTGATTGTAGAAGGACTCCTTGCAGGCTTGCGCGCGCTTCGTCCGGTAGGTTTTATCAGATCGAAGGCTAGCCTGTGGTGTATTCTAGTACCCCATAGCTAGACGAAGGCTAGCTACGGTCACGTGATGTGGTCACGTTGGCGTGGTAAGTGAGGAGAGTAAGGAGGAAAATAAGAAAGAGGCGAGGCGTCAAGGGAGCATGGCTTGTGGAGGCTACATGGCTGTCGTCATGCCCTCTCCTACGCTTCTATCCTCCTTGATCAGTGAAGAGTGCCGAATGCACTGAACAAAATCTATGGTGCCATGTTGCTGAAGAATGCATTTTCTGCTAGACAAGACAAACAAAACTGGAGGAGAGGAAGGTGAAGCACCACCCCTAACCCATTAAAGGGATACTTCAACGAAATTTGAAATATTTCCGTCGTGTTCAAAAATAGGTTGAATATGATCCACGATACCCGTAAAAGACAATCACACGTTTGTATTTTGAGCCTGGTGGCTATAGTTTTCGTTATAAATGGCCACTCTGGCAAGCGCTCAGAGGTGGCCCAGCGGAGACCAAGTGACATCCAACGCAATCGTGACGTAGGTCGTCTCGGGACGAGCAAAGCTATGGTGAGGCTGACGTTGAGAGGATGGCCTAGTCGTTCCAGCCACTGAAGCGGCTGCTTTTCAACGAATTTTGGGTGACCGGTTAATCTTCTATAATCTTGTAGGGGGACAATAGCGACTTCTGCAACACACAAAAGGCATTCTCGGGAAGAGGGGAGTTCCTCCTTTCCCTCTTCTTTCGTCGTGGCCGGAGGTGAGACAACCTCCGTCACTAGCTGTCAAGGTTCCTAGACAAGCATTACAAACGAGGCGTTGGCGACATCCACCACGTGCTCTTTGCTAATCGTTTAATTTGTTTTAAAATTCTTTTTCAAGACTTTTTTTGACAAGATATTGGTATGTTTGTTGTGATACTGCTCCTTTGAACACATATAGACCAAAAAATGAGCGCCGAAATTTCGTTGTAGTATCCCTTTAAAAGCTCCATTTTATTTCTATATTTTAATCAATCTCTTTCTGAACTCAAGCAATAACGAGCTGACTAAAATATAACCGGTAATTATTCGCCTTTGCATCGCCGAATTTGGCAGCAAACGAATTTCGTCTGGCATGAGACCTAGGCGCCATCTACTACTTCTCTCGCGTACTAACCTCTCGGACTAGCCGGTTGGTGCTTCTGGGGCATGTAGGTCACTTTCGTCGCGTTTTCGTCAATATTTTACTCCTCCAGCCACCTTATGTTCTTGTAACACCGAGTGCCTGACAGCCTTGTCTGTGTGTAGTGAGAAACCCAGCGACCCGTTCTAATCAAAACCGCAACGCCAAGCACCGCAGACTCAAGTCCACGTCAACGGAAGTGACATATGTTTACACCACAGCTTCCCGCTAAGCCTAAGACAAATTCGATCAACTGGCCAAATGTAAAAGTGTGTATCGATCACTTCGAGGCAAATGAATGACACCGTATGTTGCGGGCAGCGAACGGAGCAGCGCAGCAGCCCAAAGACACCCTGTAGATCTTGCGAAATGGTAAGTCTGCCTGCGGAACCTGCCCCCTACTACTTACTACTGCTACTCATCTCGGAAACTCTTATTTTCCGGCAAATATTTCCTGCTCGCAATGAAAATCTCGCTTTCGTCGGAGTGTAATAACTCTGCAGTGCTTTCTTAGTAGGATGTTCCATAGGCGGTGCACAAAAGGCATTGCTTTCGGGTACGTCAGCGAGTGTGTTGTGCCGTATCGGTTCATCGACTGCTTTGCCTGCTTGCTCGTCGTCGTTCGCGTGGATAGATTGTATCTCGACTTTTGTCGCAATCCGTTCGCGACTTCGCTACCACGGTGCGGATTGCCGAAACGCTGCCCGACCTACATTTCTTTTCTAGAGCACCTGACAAGTTTCGAGATGAGCAAACGCATGTTACAGCAGCGGTACCCCAAAGGTAAGGCCCTCAAGTTTTTTTGTTGCAACTCGAGTGTGGACCTCGCTGTAAAAAGTTGGAGCTGGCGGATGCGGTCGTCGTTATTTTCTAGAATAAAAGAAATGTATGTGGAGTTGTGGCGGTATGCGTAAAAGGATTCGTTTTCGGCAGGATTCAGCGGTCGCGGTTAACCTTGAAATCGTGCTCTACTGTCGCGTCGACTTGGCGGCCACGGCGGTGCTTTGCTGTCGTGGCCAAGTTTCTGACCTGTCCCGTTTGGGAAAGCGCCTGCTTCTGAAGACCTCAGAAAAGAAGCTCGTGTGACGAAGCTTGATAGAAGCCCGTATGTACTGAGGCAACATAACCTAATAATATTGATTCCTGAGAAGCAACAAATACAAACAACTTTTTTTTTTCGTTTTCTGTTTTTGATAATTTTCCTTTTGTTTGGTATTTCCTTAGAAGGAAAGCTTGTCTCTGTTTTTAAAGCAGCAACCTGAGCTGCGTAAACGGGCTTCCTTGTGCTGCACTTAATTAAAAAAAAAACATGAACCTTGAATGGTTAGAATGACTTGTTAGCAGTATAGTTGAACGGTGGGAACAAGACAAGTACACAGTAAGGCACACAGGCAACGAGACCTTTGTTTGCCCCTGTCATGTTTTTGCTGTTAAGCTCTGTTGTCGAATAATGAATACAGTGGCTGAAGCCAAAGTTTGACCCAGTAGCACTTAAAGGGGTACGGAAACAAAAATTTAAATATTCAAATTTCGTTCGGAAATGAGTCAAGCATGATGGATAATAACCGTAAATGATAATCACACGTTTGTATTTTGAACGACTTGATATATTTTTCGTTCCAAACAGTGCACTCGAGCAAGCGCTCGAAGAGAAGCGAAGGGAGAGCGCGATGCGTCATGGGATATTCGGAGCAAAGAAAAACAGAAAGAAAAGATTCCCCGCATTCGTGACGTACCAAGGCTGGCGTGGTTATGAGCTTTGCTCTTGGTGGCGTTGTCAGTGTTGTGATGGTGTCAACAGCGTCAGCGCGTTACAACCAAGCCGTTCGAAGTACCCATGGGTTGATGAGTCCATGGGCTGGCCCAAGGAGCACATAGCTTCCGCAACACTGTCAGCTTAGGGCTGAATGGGGTGGGGAAAGCAACTTTTGTTCGAGTTTTGAGCGACGGGCTAATCTTCTAATGGGAGAGTGGCTGTGTCCGGTTGCACGATTGAGGGTTCGAGAAAGAGGGGAGTCTCTCCTTTCCATCTTGGACCGTTTGGTACAATACGTGACTTGTGAGTTGAGGAGGAAAGCTAAGAGGGAAAATGTTGAAATGCCAAAGAGCAGCACTGTTCGAAGAAACCTGCTACGTCACGACTACGTAGCAGATTCCACAATGTTGCTAGACTACCTCCCAAATAGGCTCCGCATGCATCCACCAGGTGTACATTGAAAGATTGTTTATTTAGCTTTAAAATTAGTTGTCTTGTGCCGTTCAACGGAAGACTGTTGTTTTTGAGGTTAGGGTGCAACATGCAACACATTCAAGCTAGAAAATGAGCGCTGGAATTTCGTTTCCCTACCCTTTTAAAGCACCTTCGTGAGCTGTAGTGTTCCCAGTGATGCTGATGCTGCACTTTCTCTTTCTACTGCTACTCTATCGGTTCTTTTTTTCTGTCTTTCATCAGCCACGAGCTTCAATGTTACTTTTCCAGGCTTCAGTATGTCATTTGCACGTTTCATCTATTTTTTCTCAACTACGTTGGGGCTGAGTGAAACCCTGCTGTTTGATTAATAACACTCGTGGGCTGTAGACTGCAAGAGCATATAACACAAATTAACCCTTAAACGGTCAAGCTTTTTCCCCGAAAAGTTGTTTCCCAGTGGTCGGGTTTTGTTTTAAAAGGAGTAGTATAAAAAAAATTTTGATGCACACTTTTTTTTATTTATAGTGGGAGCACATACAACGTTTTCAAGCTGTTTAGGGTTAGGAGCATTAAATGAAAATATTGAAGGCGAAAAAGTTATCTCCTTCCTTCCATTCAGTTTCATTTTGGCACATCCACTTCTGCATTCCAGTGGCTTCAGATTCCTAACCGGAGGGTACTTTGCGCAGCTTCGTCGGATGACGAGCACTCTTTTGAATTTAATTTTTAAAAGCGTAAGAAGTCTGAATCAGAAGAGCCAGTGCTCCTGCTACCGCCAGAGTGGCCGGCACGCGAAGTGGGCGTAGCGTGCGAAAAGCTTCTAATTTGAAAACTATAAATTGCCCAGCAAAGCAAAACAACAAGCGAATATACATTTATAGTTTGTCAAAAACATAACACAATGCAACATCTCCCGCGGTGCGTGCAGTTTCACATTAGGCGGGCTTTTTCAAATGTGTAATTACCGCCGTACATGTACGTGGACAACCATCAAAGGATTAAATGATAAAAATGGGGACTGTTTTAAGCTGTAGGTTGTGGTCTGTGCTTTGAAATAAGCTGCATAATTGCTTGCATTAACTGTTCTTTGCACACTTTTTTATAATCCCTCACCATAGCACATTTTTACTAACATAGTTTGACATTGCCATTTGAGGCTGCTGAATGTTTGCTAAGAGTGAAGTTTCATTATATTTTTGTGTGATCAAACTACCCCTTTTCACCAGACAAAAAGTCAGAAAAACTACATGGTCTCCAACAATATTGCAAGTCAATGCCTTTTAAAACCAGCCTGTTTTCCTTTGAGGCCACCCATTTAGTGCAGTCGCATCAAGGTAAATCTTAAGAGCGACGAGCAAATAGTGGGTAGGGCAAATGTCTGAAATGGACAATATGTTATAGTTTCATTTAGTATTTTCTGGAAGTCTTGGAACTTTGAATGCCTGTCTTCATTCAAATCTGTTACGAGGCAGTTGCCTTTGTAACATGTTCCGTGTCAAATTGACAAACCTTGGACAAGTGAGTAAGTTCCTTATTTATTACTGTCTCAACGTCCTTTTTCATTGCATCTGCATTCACGTTGCAGTATTGTTGAAGCCATTTCCTGCACAGTTATAACACGGAGTGAAGAAGATAACTGTTTTGTAACAGCCCTGTGTTTTTTTACAGAGACAACCAAGTCTGGTGCTGATTCTTTGTCTGTTCTTTCTGTTTCTGATTTCTGCAGGCAAAACAGTTGCCCAACCGGCTCCAGCACAACCTCCTGAGGGAGTGTAAGAAATGTTTCTTTTTTCTTTTTTCATGATTGTGTGTTGGTGCCGATGTCAGGGTTGCAAAAGCTAAAACTGGCAGGGGCCAAAGCAAATATCTGGAATCACTCGGGTCATTTGTCAGGCCAAACGTTGCATGCTCTTTTGCCAACAGACAAGCAATATTTTTTCTTGCGGCACTCGGTGTTGTCTTCAGGATATCTCTGAGTATGTGCTAACGGTTTTTGTTGAAAGAAACAAAACAGAAAGTAAATGTGCTGTTAAAATTGTGCCGAAATAGAGGTGTGTCTCAAGTCATGGAGTCCTAGCTTTTGTAGTCGAATGTTTGTCCAATTCAAACAGCATATATTCCCAAGGAAAATATTTCAGTTTTTGTGTCCACTGGGGATTAGTAGGTTGGATAACTTGTCGCATGCCAGGCTTTCCTTGGCACCTTTATCGTCTCCCGGTTTGAATGTCCGTCGAGGCAATATCGTCTGCCACGTCACAAAACATGCGCAAGTAGCTGAAGTTGGATCAAATCTTGATGGGCTTGTTCAGTGAAGTATAAATTTCATCAGTGAAGTATAAATTTCATTGTAAATTGTGTGGTTCTGTCTTGGCAGTGGTGAAATAGGGTGATTTAGGTGCTTAATAACAAAATAAAGAAGCCATGGCCTGCAGTTGCCTACCTGGTTCAGGCACTCCTTTGACTTCCTTGCCAACACAGCGGAGAAATTAGCAAAACACAAACTAAATGTGACGTATGGGGAAATGTCCAACTAGGGTGCAGTGCCTAAAAAACATGGGAAGGAAAAAAAAAAATTTTTTTTCAACTATTTTGATGGGAAAAGGTTGCCATAAATAAATTTACGACGAATGAACGAAATTTGTAGAGCTATATTTCCGGCGCGAAACGAGTTCGTAGTTGGTACCCGTGGGAGCTGCCACTAATCACGTGGTAGACCTGTGCTCCGCCGCCGCAAGTTATGCTGGAGCCGTTCAGCGCTATCGCTGAAGTCCTCGGAACCCTCACGCCGCCGCTGTACGCTGAGTGTGGCGCGCTGCCACTGTCGCTGCCACCGAAAGGAAGCACTCCGGTGCGACTCCATTGTCAATTTCTGACCAGCACACAAGTCTATAACGAGGTGCTTGCGCTCTTTCTAGAGCTTCCTTTGGGCTTTAAAAGTTACTTATTAATCTTTGTTTTTGTTGCACTTCAAACAAAGATGAATAAGTAACTTTCAGAGACCATAGGAAGCTTCCGAAAGAGCGCAAGCACCACGTGACCATAGTGGCCAGTCACGTGACCATATTGGCCACTTGTCCGTAGGTTCCTGCAGGCGCCAACTACAAATTCGTTTCGCGCCGTAAATATGGCTCTAAAAAATTTTCTTTTCGTTGTAAATTCATTTTATGACATCCTCTTCCGAAAACATCTAGGCTGTTTAAAAAATACCTTTTTCATTTTGCATATGTTCTTTAAAGTGAGGAGTTTGTGGTGGGACCCTCCCCTAGCCAAAACTTCAACATTGGTGAAATCGCAGTCATAGATCTTGTTGTAGGATAGGATCAGTGTTTCGGTGATTAATGTCATATAGTGATGTTAAGCGAGAAAGAGAAAAAACTTCAGATTTTATTTTTTAATGAAAACTATTCTTAATTAACAAAAAGTGTATTTGGAGGCCTTGTATCAGGCTAGCATTACTCTCCCCCAATTCAAAGTTTGTAGAGGCCTCCCTCAACTCACGGGAGACTTTAAGCACTGCCTGGGACGTTTTGTTGCGTACGGCTTCATGAGCACTTGCCTCTAGTGTCCTGCATAAGAAACCATCGCCGGTGATTACTGTTCACCCCAGTCGTCGCACTCACCCGCGGTTTTGTCCCTCCCCCTGTAGGATGCCGCAGTGGCAGGGAAGCACGGCGGCTTTTCAGGCAACCGCAGTCCCTGGCGGCCCCGGCGCTTTTCCCGACACTCAACCTCAGCTGCAGCAACAGGAGAACAGTCAGGTAGGGTCTCTCCCCTTCTTGCTGCCTCTCTGAAATTACTTTTGAAAGTACATTGTTGTTACGGGTATTGAGCCAAAAATTCTGTTAGGGTTGTCTTCGACGGACATTAACCTAACAGACTTTTTGATATCCAGGAATGGCGATCACTCTTTATTGACAGCCGACGACCCCTTCCCGGTGTCGGCACCGGTTCAGTAAAGGAGTTTAGAAGACCACAGACCTTGTAAAGAATAATAACATACTAGGGAGCTTCTTGCCTATAGTTATCTGTCAGTGGGTGGCTGAGGTCTGTTAAAATAAAACTTAAATTAGAAAAGCACTTTCTTTTGAGGAGGGGGAGGTGGCGGGGACGGGGGCGGGCAGGGACGGTGGGGGAATTCGGAAGATTGGGGTGCTCTGGGGTACCTTTGGTTTACTGAAACCAACAGATCCCATCTCGTAAGGTACCTCATGACATTTGTTTCTTAAGGTTATCCTGCAGCGTCAAAAGGGCGCTATCGTGGGACTTGTTGGATCGCTTTCGATTGTCTCTTTTGGACGGAAAAGATTCGGCCATCCCCTTGCAGAGGGTCTGTCTACTAAACTGAAAAACCGGGAATCGTCAAGGAATTTGGTGGGTCTGGAAAACTGGGAATTTCTACCCTAATCAGCATCAGTCAGGGAAATTGAGATTTGCTTTCTTTGAGCGATAGCAAAAGACGCAAGACTTGTGGGACACACAATGCTGGCGACTCGGCCGACATGCTGATTGAAATCTCTGCCAGGAAACTAGAGCCTTGTGAGAAATAGAAGATTCACCTTGAATCACCTAGTCTGAAATTGCGTGCACCAAAACAAAGTTCTTGCTATCTTTGAATCTATCAATGGACTGTTCTTTTGTCAGCCTATTTGCCGAATGCTTGACGATGGAGAGCTGGTCTTTAGAGCTTCGCCACTTGCTCCTAAGTGGACTGTTTCTATGTGCTGTCGCAGGCTGACGGTAGAGTTAATTTCTGCTACTCAGGCGAGAACATATCAAAGTTCAAACTGGAAAGAACTTGGACACATTCTGTTTCTTTGGGAGTTTCAGGGGACTTTAATAAAATACTCGAGGGAAAACCTGGAAAAGTCCAGAAATTGGATAACACAATTTTGGTAGAAACTCTGCCTTGTTTTTTTTTTATTTTCACCCAAAAGTTTTATTTCATTTGGAAATCAAGGTGACCTGTTCCACACTGGCCATCCAGAAGATCATTGGCAGATTCCTTTCTAGGGCCTTTATTTATAAATTTTTTCCCCCCAAAATTCTGGCTGAAGCTGACCGTGGCAAGCTATGCCATCACTTTTCTCCACCTTCCATCATTGACTTGTGTCTGATCATTGGCTGCTGGTGCACATTTTATTTTTTGGTTTCTTTTTTTGCTCTTAACCTTTATCCAAGATATACAGTCATTTGGAACACTATTGCCACAGTTGTATTTTTGTCCCAAAAATTTTATGGCACTACTACTGTTAGCTAATATCAGTGTTAGAAACAACATGACTAAGTTCAGGGAGGCATCACCGGGGGAGACTTTGATTTGAGGCGAGTCATTCGAATGCTGTAATATTTACGCCATTCGAGATAGGAGAATGTGTGTTAAGGTTTATGTGTTTGGATGCAGAGTGGTTGGGACGCCACGGCCTACGGCGCTAGGCCTGCAGTCTCGAATGCTGGAGGGGTTGAGACAGACTGGGCATGGGGAACTCCCATCAACGTCCAGGTGATTGTAGAGTGTTAGTGCACATTGTCTCAGAAGGAGGATGTTCTTTATCAAACATTGTGAGGGTGATTGCACACTTCGTTGTGGCACCCTGGAGAAAAGGACGTCCATTTTCTGTCTTTCCGTTTCCCTTCGCTCTTGTCCCCGCGCTCTGGTGCACAGGCGACTTTAGGTTTCAAAAGGGGAAACCAATGACCAAATGAACAGGGTGCTGTTACCCTCAGACTGGTGTAGTTCCATTTTTTAGTGAACTAATGCCACTAGTTAGCGCACTAGCATAAATATACCGTAGAATACCGTGCATCCGCCCATACCAGATTAAGCGCCCATTCCCAAATTAGTCAAATCTGAGAACATTTGCACAGTACATTGATATGTAGAATTGATGACCGGACAAGCGCCCATCCCCCATTTTCTCATGATTATCTCAAAATTTTGAGTGAGCGCTTGCCCGGTATTTTACGGTATGTTCTGCGTTGTGAATTCGACGAGGTGCTTACTGCAGTGACCAAAAAATAAGACAACCTTTTGATTGGCAAAGTTTTCTCGACGAGCGTCGACTTGCGTGTGCCTCATTAGTCTGGCTCATCCTGCAGAGTGTGCGGGCTGAAAGTGAATGAGAGGAAAAGATGAGGGTGCACTGAGACGTCGGAACGGCAAGCTCTGGTTGGAATGATTTGTGGGTAGACGTCAAGCGAGCTGCCCTTGTCTCCGCTGCACTCGTCGAATGCGTTGGACTGCAAAAGCTGGACGCCGGCGTTCCACGTTCTAACGTGTTTGACGAGTGCCTTGGAGACAAAAGCAGCTACCCAAACAGCACAGAGTTGGCCAATTGCTGGCAATGGTCCTTGGCCAAGTGGCCAGACAGTGGCCAGAGACTGGCCAATGACTGGCCTTTATCTGGCCATCAGCCCTCGGCCAAGCATTAGCCAATGAATGACCGCTCTCTGGCCACTGGCCAAAAGACCATCGCCAGACATTGGCCATTGCTTGGCCAAATTCGTACTGCTTGGGTAGCTTTACGTCTACCCACTATGCATTGCCACCAGAGCTCTGCGTTCTGACGTTCCTGCGCGCTCTTGTCTCCTCCTCTCCCTCAGTTTCTGCCCACACATTTTGATAAAAAATCTGGGAAGGGCACGAGCAGATGAGTCTTGCTTCGGAATACGTCTCAACTAAACAGTGGGAGAACCTCTCCGGAAGCATGTACCAATAGCCTTCGTTCCACTGCTAGTACACTACTTCAAATGCAACGAGGAAATGCGCTCCCTCCACGCGAGTGTGCTCACTAAAATTTTCCTTCAGAGCTACTAGCTTGAGCTGGTGGCTTTGTTAAATAGGCTACAAGCAATCGACTCAACTTTTTTGGGGAACCAGAGGACTAATTGCTGCACTATTTGAGATGTGCATGTGCGCTCGTCACCACGAGCTGTAGATAGAGCATTTTATTGTTTGCCAAGGTCAACAATTTTGACCATGTGAAAATGGCCTCGCAAACGCTTGCTGTGAACACGCTCATAACTACACAGCACACTTTTAAGGCCACCACTAATTACTTCCCACGCATTCCAATTGCTTGAACACAAAGCCGCTTCGGCGGCTCCAGGTTAAAGTGCCAGCTTACGGATCCCCATTTGGCGGGGCCGAATTGCAGCCTAGGTGCCCACATTCTGAGAGAAGATTATCGCGGAGAAGGCACCGTGTTACCGAGATTTCGGTTGCTCGTCCAAAAATCCCTGAGCGGTCAAAATTAATCCTCGGTCATCCGCTATAGTCCGTTGCAACTCAAGAAGGTAGGGCGAGGGTAAGACGGGCCGGAGAGGAGGAAGCCGACGGAATGTTAAAGAGAGAAGGAAGCTTCCCCCTCTCTTCTCAAACGTTCCGTCTGCTTCCTCCTCCCCGGCCCGTCTTGCCCTCGCCCTACCTTCTCGAGTTGCAGTGGACTATAGGGCGTGTCGAACGCGGTTCGTTGGCTCGGCACGTAGGATTCTAAAATTCGAGTCTGCCGTTCGTAACGCCCGACTCTCGCGTGCTATCCGTTATTCCAGGACCCCGCCAGCGTGGCTGCGCCGGCACACCCCTGGAGCTGGGGCGGAGGAGAGGCGACAGCCCCGACCCCTTCGTGGCCCCAGCAGCCGGCCACCGACGGCTATCCCTCCGGCGACTACAGCTCCGGAAACTACGCCCCTCAAGGCTACCCTTCTGATGGCTACACCCTCGAGAGCTACCCTTCCGGAACGTACCCTCCCGAAACCTGCCCTCCCGGGGGCTACCCCTCTGGGAACTACTCTGCCGGCGGCTACAACCCCGAGAGCTACACCACCGGGGACTACCAGTCGGGAGACTACGCCTCGATGGCGCCAGCAAGTGCTGCCCAGTTTTCCGCCGCCGCCGCAGTGGCCCCCCAGTCCTTTGCACCCCCGGATCAGGCCCCGCAAGAAGGCTGGATGGCACCACAGTGGAATGACCCTCAGTGGGGTGCTGGTGTTGTGGACCCCGCGGCGCAAGGGAGCCTGCAGGCACAGCCTTGGGTGAGCGTTGAGAAGCGGCGAGCATTTCTCGAAGCGCTTTTTTCATACCGCTTGTTTTGTTCCGGCACATTTTCTTGGAAGGATCTTCTACTTGAAGTTGCTTTTGTCCTGAAATGTCTAGGGAAAATATACGTTGTTATACCATCAATAGTACTATCGATAATGAAAGCTGGATCTAACTATTGATAGTAATAAAACTATTGATAGTACCGTGTTTGCACGATTCAAATCCACAGGCAGATTTAGCTTTGAGATATTCAAAAAGTAAATTGCTGCCAATTGTTTTGTGCAGGTAAAACAATTAAAGTTGAACACATACCCACCTCAAAGAACAGATTTCGTGAAACGCACTCCAACACAAAAATAAATACCGTGCACTAGTCACCGTTCTCGGAGTTCGACGATGTTCCTTCACTGGCCACAGGGGCAACCCTTGCTTTCGCCTAAAGCGTTTTAGGTGCCGCGCTTCTTGCACTTGTACGAGTGCACGACCGTCGAGACCGGTTATAACGAAGTCAACAAGAAACTGAAATCACTTCGCTATATCCGCTATTTCGTTATAACCGACTTCGGTTAGAACGAAGTGCAAAAGAGAATGGGAAATCGTGATCGCTTCGCTGTAGACGCTATTTCGTTATAACCGATTTCGTTATAACTGGTCTCGACAGTACCGTTGCCTCTGGGAGGCTCATCTTCCAAAACAACTTTGCGAGCTCATCGGGGTGCTGGGATTGGGAGGCCACGCAGTGCTACTCTATTGTTATCGTTTCCCGCCAGCATGTTGGCCCTTCGCTTAAATAAAACTTCCTAGGGGAATTTTCTTTTCTTTTTTTTACATTTTAACGGCAGACACGAGCGACATTGGACGCGAGTTCATAATCGCGAGAGAATGCGCATGGTACAGATACCAAAATGGCGGATGTGAACAAACGGTCATGATGGCGATAGGGCTGGCCACCTTATACCAAGTATTGCGTTTTCCCTTTTGAGTTTCGGTTTTTTGTTTTGATTGCAACGCACATGTATTTTTGGGCACCGATTTTGAAAAAAAAGTGTGCTTTAGAATCATGCAAACACAAGTCGACTATTGTAAAACTATTGATAGCCCACTTGCTAGTGATAGTTTGATAGGACTATTGTAAATTTATCTGCAGTATACTATCCATAGTGGACTATTATAAAAATCAATCAATAGCGTACTATCGATAATTTGATACTACCATATTTATTCGAATATAAGTCAACCTTTTTTTTTTTTTTTTTCAGAAATGTTGTTAAAAATTAAGGGTCGACCTATAATCGTGACCAAAGAATTTCAACCTACACTCGTGACCAAATTTTGCAACCCTACCCGGAGCATGGAGCTATCGAGTCACCGATCCCGCGTTCTCGAGCCTGCGTCCCCTTAGAGCCGCGCCTCTTCTTGTTTCAAAAAGCTTTTGGTGCACGAACACAACCGAAACAGCAGCAGCCGACCGCCCGCCCGCAGTGGCGGCCGCTGCCGCTCTTATCCCTCGGGCGTCGGGTTTCGCCATCGTGCATGTAGCATTCCCCTGGGGGAAGGGGAGGGGGAGGAACGCGATGCGCCATGCACTTTGCCCTCCATTCCTCCAAACACGCACAAAAAAAAGAAAAAGGACTGAGGTTATTTTTGTTTGTTGCTTGAGGCGGCTCCCATCTCCACCTTCTTTCGTTTCTTGTTTTCATTTTACAACGGTGTGTCAGTGAGGTATTGTTGCGAATTTGCGAAGATGTTTACCAAGCTGACGAAGCTTCGAACGACGATGACATGTACAAAAGTTCTGTCGATGATTAAGTTTTTGGCATCGCCCTGCGATTTAGCTGAGAGTGCTGTAAATAAAGATTTGTTTCTTTCTTTTGCCCAAACTTTCACCTGTTCTTAAAAATAAAAAAAGATTGACCTATTTTTTAATTATTTTTTTTTCATTCTCGGTGGGTTCAATACATAGGGGTCGACCTATTTTCGAGTAAATACGGTAGTATCGATGCCATCAATAAAAGCATAAATGTCATAGTCAACGCTCACAGATATGCTCATACACGTTCGTCGCTCTCCTCTTATGTGTTCTACATTCATTTTCTTGACATCGAAGGGTTTTCTGAGGGTTGACTATAGAAAATGTCGATAGTCAATCGAGACCCAACGATCTTATAGTCAACTATCGGTGGTTGCCCACTGACAGTTGACTATTCATAGTACTATGGACAGTTCACTGTTTATAGTTTTTCGGCACTATCGATAGTGGGAAATTCTTTCGATAGTATTGATAGTTTTGCATTGCTAATTGTAGGTATTTTTGTGTAATGTCAAGATGACTCAATCAATATTTTCGGAAAACAAGGAATGTATCTCTTTCAGTTCTGTAAGAAATGAAGATGATGATGAGCTTAAGCTTGCACAAAGTTGCCTACGAACTATGTGACAACTTAAAAAAAAAAAAAGCTGTGTCATTTTACATTAAGGCACCAAGGGGCGGCTTGTCTTTCTCGCATCGTTACAAAAATAAAGATTCTATAGTTGAAGTTTTTTGCGGGTACCTTACCAATTTTTACAAATGTCCTCATAAAGACTTGTAGTTCTAAGTTGATTGATAAGGTGTTATGAACCCTGGGGCCGACTCTTAAATGGTTCAGAAAATTTGGTGCCTGCGCGTAGCAATCTAATTTTTTTTATCAAAGACATATTTTAGTGGTGTACTTTATCTTGTAAAAATTTTAAGACTTAGCTCTCTTCCTGCGAGAAATGAAAATAAGACAAAAAAGAAACCACCATTGACATGATTAACAGTGAATGCCGATGCAGACGCTTGAATTGACTGAGGGCCCGTGGCCCCTATCTCCCGACGTGCAAAGCGAGCAGACGACTCACTCGGTCGAAAGCAGACAACAGTTCCTCGCAAGTTCAAAACCCTCGGATTTCCTCCTCCTAACCCGTTTTCTTTTGTACTGGTTCCCAGGTCACACAGCAGTGGGATGCCACAACTCTGCAGCAAGACCAACAGTGGTCCAGAGCACCGGACGAACAATGGCAGGACGGCACAATGCAGCAGTCGTCGCAGGAGCAGTTCGACGCCACTCACGCTCCTTCGAGTTACGCAAGCTCGGCAGAAGTCATTCCGGAAGGAGAGGCTGGCCACGGAGATGTTGGAGTGCCCCCTGAGCAGCGGACCTTTGCACCCGTGGAACTGCCCTCACTAGTCTCTTCACCCGGCGAGGCAGGGACGCCGGCAGACCGGGGTCTCCCCACAGGAATGGACGCTTCTGAGAGGGGTGGAGAAGGTGAGAGCGGTTCTTTTAATGCAGAATGTTTCTAAGGGTTGGGTTTCGTGAGAAAAGCGACATGTTTCAGTCAAGTGCTACGCTCGACCCACACGCAGGTAGAGGTCATACGGTAAACCCTCGTTAACTCGAAGTCATAAAAACTAGGAAAAAAGTTAGAGATGAGCAGAGTTTCGAGGCAAGTACCATAAATTTTATTGCACCAGTCACGCGTCGTGCAAATGGAACCCTTCTAACAGTCGCGCCAATGGACTTGACACTTGCTCACACGGTGCCATGGGGAGAACGACTACAACAAAATGTTCAGCAAGTAATACTCATGCGATGAGACAGTAAAACCTGAAAGTAAAACAAAGAAAAAGACAGTGCAGAAGGTGACATTGAGTGCAAGTGAAAGAAAAACGGTGCTACTGAATGTCAAAACAAGATTTGAGGATGAAAAAAAAAGTAAGACGACATACGTCTTTAAAGGGGCGGTGCAATGATTTTAACACTGAACGAATGTGCAGCTTGTATTTTTTATATTGTTTACTTCGGCATAAGTAAGAGAAAAAGTGCCATCATACCCAGAAATACCTCTATTTCGCTGCATAATCGCAAAATAAAAAACACTTTTTTTCACAACCTGCGGCCACATGGTGGCCGCAAATGGAACCTGTGGTGTGACGTCATTCGGAGTGGTTTTTGTAAGTGACAGTGTTAAACAATTGTAAGCTTGATTTAAGGTTAAGTTTAAAAAATCTTGTTGTTTAGGCACGCAGAAACGCTTCAAAAGCCTAATATTGCCGCTAAAAGATTTGTGGCGCCATCTATTGCAAGTCAACCAAACTTGCCGTCGCCGTCATCCGTCGATGCCCGAGGCGCCTACGGTGGTTACACAAGCAACCCGGACGTTTTGTCTTTCCCTCGCTCGACGGAGTGTGTTGGTCGTGGTCCGTAGTATCGTGGTATCGTTATTGTTCCTAGTGTCTCGACCTCGACTACGACTGCTTGCCGCACAAGTCCAACCGACTTACTATACGCAAGCATCTTGCGCTCGACGTCGCTCAGGCCGTCCGCCCATGCCGCCATGTTGGTCGGAAATCGACAGGAGAGCGGCGAGCCTGGCGAGCCGGCGAGCGCTGGAGAAACGGAAGCCAGAAGCACCCAACCGGAAACCAACGCCACTCCGAATGACATCACAGGCGTCATTTGAGTCGAGGGGTGCCAGAGATACCAATTTCTTTTATTTTTTTAATAAAAACTAGGGCAAGCAGGAAAGAATAGTTTTCGGTCCTTCGTTTTATATGGGGCCGGGATCAATTCCCGCAATTAATTAGCCAAAGTCCACAAATTGTTGCACCGCCCCTTTCAAAGGGCCCTGCAATTACTTTTTTACCAATTTTTAATTTTCACCGAACCTGAGCGCACTGAACGTAGTAACTTAATGAAACTTTTCTTTTCTTGAATTTTGCTTTATTTTAAAAGTTACAGACAAATTAAAATTATAAAAACAAGCGAAAAATAACCTCCTTCATGACGTCCTTGGTTGCTTGAGTGGCCGAGAACTAGAGGAGGGGTAGTGAGCTACGCGAGCGCTCACGGCTGCCGCACTCCGTGTCGACGGCGCGAGAGGGCGCCACTAAAGCATATTCTGGATAGGCTCTATGCAGCGGGCAGCCGGGGCGGCTCACATTGCATTTGCTGCGCGATTAAACACTAATTCGGCATGACACTTCATTGGCCACAAACGACAGCAAACGTGGGGTAAAGATCAGTTCAGAATGGAAGCCACTTCTCGCTGCCATACCGCGAAACGGCCAAACCGCCAGACAAAGCTGCTCACAGAAGGCCTTCGGAACGCTCGGAGCCGGTCGGATCCTCCAGTCCCTACAACCGCAGCGCCACCGCGTACATCCGGTACCTTTCCGTGTCGGCGCCTGATCTCACTACTCCTTTCTAGTATGCTCCGCCTTTTCCACCACTTGGTGGCGGTTATGTCGACGGGTCATTTCTTGTTTCCGTACTTTATAAACTGCATTTGTTTCTTTTTTGACCTAAAATATTGAACAAAAACTACTTTTATGCATAATTGAAACGGTTTGCGCCACTTATATTTTGTATTTCGACTAAAAAAAAGCTTTTAGCGGCTTTGACCAGTAGTAAGCCCAGGACCAAAGACGTCACATATCGCGCGCTTTCGGTACCGCGGGTCGCCCCCGTCGTTGGAGGAGGTTTCCGCGTCGTTCGGTTAAAATATGACGCACTGTTATTTAGTTACTCCCTCCGTGCCCGCTGGCTTGCCCGAACCCCAAGAGATGTGGAAACCGCAAAAAAGGTAGACGCTTAAATATGATTGCAGGGCCCCTTTAAGGTGCATGCTGCTTCGCGCGTAGCCGCGCACATGATTACACAACTTTTTTTTTTTAATGCGATGGCATTCTTTTTTTCAGGAGGGGTTGTTAATGTTTCTAAGCAAAGTGGCGCAAGCTACCGCCTGATACAAAGGATACAGCCAATACCATTCGTCAATTCATCCATGCTATTATGGAAAACATACACTTGCTGGAAGTGTTCTGATTGTTTTCAGTGTCTCAGAAGAGAAAGGTTGTCTTCACAACACCTTGAAGAAAAACAGTGTTTGGCTAGGTACAAGGTTTGCTCGTTCTGCTACACCCAAGGGCTATACAGTAGGGTTGAAATAATTGAAACTTTGCAATTTCATACTTCTGGTTAATTCAAACAAATTTCAAAATTTTGGTTGTCCCACAATGTTTTCAATGAGTTCATAAGCCACTTAGAGGGGCCATGAAACAAGTTTTCAACTTCTTCCTTCTTAGCTTTAATCCTCAACTCAAAAGCGAATTGAGAAATCACATGTTCGTGACATGCTTGGGCATCGGTGAAATGACTGGAAGCTTCCACCGTGCCGATGACGAGCACACACGTCCAAGTGACGCCGTTCTCATGTCCAATGCGTGAGCTAGGGTCGGCTGAGATGTTTTGGGGTCGGCTGACGTGTTTTGGGTATCGCGGATGTATCATAGTGAAAAGCTTTCGAGGGAAAGGAGGTAGCAAAAATAGTCTGCTATATTTTCAGATGTTTTTACCAAAAAGCCGGCCTTTTACTTTCTACCCTCTTTGTTTCAGCCCACTAAAGAATATGTGATTAGTAAATTCCCAATCTGAAATCATTTATCCCAGCCCAAAATTCACTTCATGACCCCTTTAATTCAAACAGCGTTTTCGCGTAATTCACACTTTTTTTTTGTTCTCGTGGCCCCATTGAGTGCGCTTCTCTCCGAGCACCGGTGCACTGCAGGGAGGCAACACTTGCGGAGCTGGTTTCCGCAGGTGTTGCTTCTCCGCAGTGCACCGGGGCTGGGTGAGAAGCACACTCAACGGGGCTGAAGCAGGGTGCGCAAGCCATGAAAACGGGCACCACATGGAAATTTCCATGGCAACTTGTAGAACGTTGTGATGTGACACGGCAGTATGGCATAGGTCCACGTCGCAGCGTCCGCACAAGTTGCTATGAAAACTGCCGTGCGGTGCCCGTTTTCATCGCTCATGCGTCCTCTGCTTAATAATCCACATCAGACAACATCTTGGCCCGATGAACAAACTTAATTTTGTTTTGAGTTGTAATGTGCTGCCTGAACAGTGCACGATAAACAACATTTTTGAGGGATAAATAAGCTTATGTCACACATTTCACAAATGTTTCATGTGTGGCATACCTGCTAATGATCAGTAGGCCTACTGTAAAACACCACTGAAGTGCATACTTCGTTCAAGTGTCCACTATTAATATTTTCCAAACTTGAAAATTCTCCAGAATATACGATAAGTGCATGATTTGAGCGGACAAACGCCCACGTCTAGGTTAACCCAGTTTTCACTGAAAGTGGGGTGTGCGCTTCTCGGGTATTTTACAGTATGTAGAAATCATCAAATATCTGCTTTTTTTTTTATCTGTAGTGATTCATATAGCAAATCATAATTTTATATCTTGCATCATATTGAGATAAATTTCTAATAATTCGAACCAAACTTATGGCTTCCTGGAGTTTGAATTAATGAGAGTTCACTGTAGAAGGGGACAAGATTTGCTCAATTAAATTTGCAGAACATGGCCTTCATGGAAAAAAATTCAAAATGCTATTGCGTTTTAATGTCGTCTTCAGCAAAGCACCGCAGAAACAGTTCCATCTTTTTTTCTTGTGTTTTGCACGTTGTTGCATGCACAATGGTGCAAAACCTTTTTACAGCGGAGCTGCTAAGGGCTAGGTTCCCAGGATCGTGTCCGTGTATGTCGCCACCGCCATCTATAAGCGATGGCGGCAAGCACACAATCATTGTGGTTTTCGCCGTCGCTCGTATAGGGCGGCAACCTCTCCAGTTATAATAGAAGAATGGATAGTTGGGCGCATTGGTGGGAATTCATCGTAGGAAGCAGTGCGAAAAACAGACGGCGACGAAGAAGCACACAGTGTATCGAGTACAGCTCCGCTGGTCTTCCTTCCTCACGAAAGTGGAAAGGCTGAACGTTTATTTTTTATTTTTTTGTGTTTCATTTTTTATTGCTGTTTCTTTGTCATTGTTTGGGCCACTGCATTTATGGTTCTGTGGGCTGCCCCGCCCATTCTTTTCTTTTGTAATTTTTATTAACAAGATTTTCAGATTTTCGATGCCCCTCCTAAAAACTCGTCGAGATAAGCAATTAGCAAATGCATTGTGCCTGTAGGAGTTTATGACAAGGAAATCTTTCTACTTGACCGTCATTTCAAGGCAGCCAAGTTCGAGTTATTGCTGTGTTGTACATCCCCATGCGGCTATATTGACACAGCACGTCACAACATCACACGGTGCTGTAATGTCTCACGGCGCTATGACGTACCATGACATAGCGTGATGCCAGAGTCTCACAACCTCGTGACGTCCCACACACACACTTCATGTGCCCAGCTCATTCTTAACACATTCTGCATGTCTCCGAGCTTGTCAGATCTGATCAATGCAGCTGAAATATCGAGAGAAGAGGCAGGGTTACGACCCCCTTTTGTCGCTCATTGTCACGCTTCAAAAAGGGGGTAGTTGGCCCTCTTGCTTATAACTAGAGGTGTGGGAACATGAAACTTTTGATTGCAAAACGAAAATTAATGTTAAAAATTGTTTGCGAGTCAAATACAAATTCATATTCCACATTTAATGTGAATTGAGCGTGGGTATGTTCGAGAAATTGCAGCTAGAAATCTTTTCTAGAAAGGATGCCTATAAGAAACGGTCTTACGTGAGAAACACTTCTCATATTTGCATTAGGAAAAGAATATTTGAGAAAGGAAAGGCACTGATGTGATGAGTGATTAAGACTTGATGCAACACGGCATGACTACCTCACTTATTTGAATATAGCGTGAGGTTTCCTCTTCGAGCACTGTCCCTTAGGATCGGGGGTCGATTTCCAATTTTAACCAAAGAAGGTAGACCTACGATAGCCGAATTTGCAAGGCGATAGAGCCATCTGGGGTGGTTCGACACGGTGGCTGTTCTCCTAGCACGCCGGTGCAAGGCAGTGGACCTTGGCACGCGTGCACCGGTTTGAAGCCGCGAAGCTTTATGCAGGAAATCTGAGAATTCCGAACTCTCAGATACTGCAACAGGGCATGTAGTTGGGCTAGTTAGTGGTGCATACTTGTTTGGTCGGAACAGCGCTAAAAGAAGTAGGACCAGGACGAGAAAACACGGACAGGGCGCCACCCCGTCTGTGTTTTTTCTCGTCCATTTGAAAAGCTCAAACACAGTGGACTTTCGATAATTCCAATTTAGATATTTTGTACTTCTGGTTAATTTGAAGGAAGAAAAAAAATTTTGCTTGTCCCTTTTGTTTTCAATGCATTTATAAGCTGCTTAATTCAAAAAGCATTTTCGCTTAATTCATACTATTTGTTCATCGCAGCAGGTTAGCCCCATTGAGCGCGCTTTTTACCGAACACCTGTGTACTGTGGGAAAGCAATACCCACGAAGCTCGCGATCATAGCTTTTCCGCGATACACGGGTGCCCAGTGAGAAGCGCACTCGATGGGGCTAACCCCCTGTGATAGTGTAAGCAGAACTGTTCTGACAAACTGCTTTCATTATTCGTGCTTATTTTCTTTATTTTTCTGAGGGGGTTCATTTTGAGATTAAAGAAAGAGTATTTGTATGTAGCAAGCAGGTTTATGGACTCCCTCGATTAGGAAAGCTGGGTGTCTATTTAGGTTTAATTTTATGTCAAATCTGTAATTTACATGCCACCACAATGGAGGCATTGGGCTTTTATGCTTCATAGATATAGTGGTATTAAAACTAACTGAGCTTAGAGGTGGACAAGTGGAAGGTTGGCAACAACTTTCACGAGTTCAGCTGAATTTTCGTTGAAGCATGGTACAATGGTAGTACAAGGCTTGGATCAACTATTTGATTAGAAAATGCTCGGCCAAAACCACTATTTGCTTCAAACTTCACCAATGTTTTACGTGTGCCTCCTTATAAATGGGCGTGTGTAGAGGAAAGTGTAAAAAACCTGCTTGGTACGTGTTGGTATTCCTGTAGCAAATAGCTACTTTGCCTCACATTATATTTAGATGAATTTCTGATAACTCAAACTTCTGGTGTTTCGAACTAAAATCTGTGGCTTCCTAGAGTTTGAATTCATGAGAGTTGACTGTATTTCAAACAGTAAAGGGGTACTACAAATTGAATTGACTAGCAAACACTACGCTCAAATCATTAGAAATTTCTAGTATTTGCGCGCATCTACCTACAACCCCGCAGCGCACGAATTTGTGCGGTAGCCTAATGGTGAAAATGGCGCGACAGATTCGACCCGGGAGGAGCGGGCGGCGGACGGAGGCACCGTGTCCGTGTTTTTCCGAGACTCGGACGACGCGGTCGCGTGCCCCGAGAGCGGAGCGGTTCCGGGTTCGGACTGTGCGGACCACTCGCAGTCGGAGCTGCACCATGAGCACCTGCAAGCAGACGGCGACTACGACCGCCTGCAAATGGAAGGCCACTGCGAAGCGTCGGCTGGCTCGCAGGCATCCCTTTCCGTCGAAGGTGAGTGTGCAGGGCACATCTGCCGTCACAGATGGTCCCCATTCGTCTTATTTATCGATGCAGGACACATTTTAACGCAGTCGAAGTAGAGATTTGTGTCGGTTTGCCATGGCCGTACTCCACCGTCGTCGGTTAAATTTAGCGGGCTGGCGTCCCGTTAGGTTTAATGGGATGCCGCTACGGGTCGAGTGTTCGTTTGGCTGGGGCCACCACGGTTCGTGGATGTTGCACGATTCACGGTGCAAAGTCACGGTGTCACCGTGTCAATGACATCATTAGATTTAAACGACGACGGGCATCGAGTCGTGGTATAACGGGATGCACATTACGGGATCGCGTCTCATGATGTCTGGTCACATTGCGTCGCCTTGCACTGCGTCGCGGGAAGTGTCGTCGCGCTGCTATGACTCGACACCGTGACATCACGCCGCTCGTCTGCACTTGTCGCTAAAGGCCTGACCACACTAGCGTCACGGAGGCTTGCTGCGCGCCGCTGGCCGTCGTGGGCTGACGGCCAAAACCAGTTTTCACCCTCAGCTGCTTGCCTCTCGGCGCCGTCAAGGCAACCTGCCCTTGTGCGGTTGAGGGCTCGCCGTTTCTAACCGCAGGAGGGAGGGGCCAGTGTGAGGTGGCGTAGAGAGTGACGTTGCAATGCCATGGCAACGCGCGAGCCACTTCCCCGCGCGTCTTTCATGTTGCAAAGGAGCGTAGCATTGTTTTGTTTCGTCTGCTATGCCTATTTCCCCCAATGCCTTTTCCAACGAAGTGGTTCCTCGAAACTGTGCGACTGTTTCTCTTCGTATATGACAAGACGTAGCCAGACTACCTAGTTCTTTTTTTGTGAACCGCCATTGTTACTGTTAACAAATCATTTGCATCTGATGCATAAGTGAGTTAAGGTGTCTGCTGTAATTGTAAAACGGTTGGAAAGTGCCAGTGTAAAGTTCGCAATTAATGGTGGGAATGAAGGAAACTAAAAGCGAATTCATCCTCGGTCCTGTTCTAAAAAGGGACCAGTGTTGTAAGCTTTGTATTAACATTGCATATGTGCTGTCATCATAGTCAAACCCTCGTAAATTAATGCCAACAATTTTTTTATTTCTTTGTGCAGAACCGGTGAATCAAGAAGTGCCTGAACCTGTGCCTGTGCTTAGTCAGCAGGAGGTGGGTGATGTGTATATATTTTTCATTGTTATTTTAACACTTTAACAGTACAGGGCAGGCAAATTGAATAGGTAGGATTCAGGTGTGACATTTGTAAATTTCATTAGAGAAGCACCGCTCTTCTAATTTAGAAGAGGAATGTCAAAAGACGACCTCATCCATGTTTAAAGCTTTGCATTTGTTTACTCGGCTGACAAATACTGCAAAGTCGTACAGTTACAATCTACCATCAGGATGATGCTCACTTTTAACGACCGCCAATAGGACCTGCTTTCAGTTAGAACCATTCTGTAAAAACTGGAGAGCTGGCAGTCTTGGATGGCATACGAAATTATCCACTTCTACCTTGTTTCATACGTAACTAGCCAAATACAACTCATATTTACAGTAATACCTAGTTTTGCTTTTGGGCTGTTTTTATACGTTGGCAGGTACCATGTTGCCGTTTAGCCTCAGTGGTGCAAGCCATTTGAAGCAATGCCTTTTTTTTTTTTTTCGGCTAATGATTGCCTAATACAACGGTGCATTTGATACTGTAACCCAAAAGCGCATGAACTAGCACTTACCCGGACTTCTACATCAGGAAGCAGCAATTAACCGTATTAGGCGATTTATCGAAACGCTTGCACAACCAGTCTACTTCGTTTCGGCAAACTATTTGGTCAGTCAGACTTGGAGCGTTTTGAGCATGATTCACGTCCGACCAAGAGCATTAGAATAAAGTGGAAAGTTATTCGGTTTGAGCGCACTTTGTTCTCAGTCGCAACTTTTTAACACAACCAAACATGGTCTGTTGACCGTCTAGCAACACGCGGAGCACGATTGCATCGTGACGCCAGGAATGCATCTCCAACCGGCGCATTGATTGCACCTTCGCCCGCATCACGCCGTGTATGATCCCGGAAATTGTGCAGTAGGGGAAGCAGACGCGGCAGACGCCGCAACGTCAGCGACACCTTGCGTCCACTCGCATATTTCGCCGGCGTTCCTACGCCAGCTCTCGTAACGTCGTCTGCTGCCACTTTCGAGATAGCTTTCGACGTGCAGGCAGCGCGGTAAACGCACCAGTCGAAGGCGGATTCGACGTGCCATAGTTACGCTCCCAGAAACTCTTCTCCTTCCCAACACAGCATGGCCTTGCCTCGGCGCAGGCTTCCCAGGAGGTGGGGTTTGAGGTGGCCCACCGGGAAGGGGCAGAGCTTGCCCAGAGCCCCTCTGCGGCCAAGAAGGCGGTGATCAAGGCCAGGCAGGGCAGCCCCTTCAGGCCCCCCGTTGCCAGGCAGGGCTCGGAGAAAGGTAAGTCGGCGACCGGCTAGGACTCGTGCCACGCGTCGTCAAAAATGCGCCTCTTTGAGCTAACGGCGCCGTCGGAATTTACTCCCGGAAAGTAGTCGAGCTGCGGTAACTCGAGCCGGGACGTGGCTGGCTTTGGAGTGCGGTTGTTTTGTTTACCCAAATCTAAGATGACCCGTTTTGCAGACAACTAGAAGCTCTATTTGAAGCGGTTGTCTTGAAATCGGGACAAGAGGGTGCTCTGCATACAAAATCAGGGGGATGGGGACGAGTCGAGGCGGAGGTACCGGGGAAGTGTGAAGACTACGGAATGTAACGTAACTAAGGCTTTGTGTTTTCAATGTTTAATTTTTCCCACAAATTCAGTGTTTTTCACTGTCAATTTTCGGTGTTGGACCAAAAAGTTGCAATTTGTCAAAGCTTATGCCAAAAGAAATCCAGATAGGGATGTAAGATTGCCCATCTTCCAATGAACGTGCATGTGAATTAAATGCTTGGAAATTGTCTCGTTACCGGCAACAGAAGGAAGCAAGATCGGAGGTGTGGTTCGTTTAAAGTCTACATCCTTGCGAACAGCTCAGTGCGGGTGTGTTTTGGGTCAACACAAAATACTGTCGAAACAGGTTATAACGAAGTCAACGGGAATCGGAAATTACTTCGCTATATCCGCTATTTCGTTATAACCGACTTCGGTTAACGAAGTGCAAAATGGAATGGGAAATCGTGATCGCTTCGCCATAGCCGCTATTTCGTTATAACCAGTCTCGACAGTAGAGCTGTAGCTTTACAATTTTTTGCACAAAACGAGGGTTCAAAAAAAGAAAAAAAATTTAAAACAGCCTCGATGAAAAAAGGATGTTGTAAAAAAAGATATCTCAACGAAAAAAAAACATTTTTATGGTATATTTCTGGTACGAAACGAATTTGTAGTTGGCGCCTGTGGAATCCCAAGGAAAAGTGGCAACTAGCAGTCACATGACTGGCCCCTAGTCACGTGGTGCTTGTGCTCTTTCGGGAGTTTCCTCTGGGCTCTAAAAGTTAGTTATTAATCTTCTGTTTTTTTTTAGCACTTCTTTTTTTAACAAAATATTTTGATGTTTGAGAGACAACAAGTGTAAGGAAATCGTCAGTTCCGTTTTGGCTCGTACGATAACAAACAAGAGCTTTGCCATTTTCTGTTTTTGTCGAGCGGCGATTCCCCTGCTCCACGATCACGAGGACTGCAGCCCTTCGTCGAGCAGCGGCGTCGCTTTTGGGGTACCGACGTGTTACAAACTAAAGCCTGTGACACCGTGCCCTTTGATCAGAAAATGACAAAGCTTTTGTTTGTTACTGTACGAGTCAAAGCGGAAGTGATGATTTTGTTATAGTATAGTCAAACCCACTTATAACGAACGCTATAGTTTTACGAAGAGTGTTTTTTTATCAGTAGTTAGTTTTTCTGGACTTACTTTTAAAACACATTATAAATAAGGATAATGAAGCTGGTGTTGGTAGTTTCACTCTTCCAGCTCTTTATTTAAGGAAACTGTTTGCACGATTCTAACGCGCCCAATTCTAACGCGCAGGCAGGTTTAGCTTTCCGATAATAATCAAAAAGTAAATTTCTACCAATTCTACCGGACAGGTGAAATAATCAAAATCGACCGCAAGCCTTATAAAGCAGATTTTATGAACCGCACGCCAACACAAAAATAAATGCCGTGCACAAATCCGACGATGGTTCTTTAGTGTCCACAGAGGTAATTAATGCTTACTTTGGTCTAAAGCGTTCCAAGTGCCGCGCTTCCTGTGCTTGTACGAGTGCACGGCCGTCGCCTCTGGCAAAGTCGTCTTTCAAATACTTTGCGAGCTCGTCGGGTGGCTGGGATTGCGAGGCCACGCAGTGCTGCTCCGTTATCCTTTTTTGCCAGTGTGATGCTCTTTCGTTTAAATAAAGCGTACTAGATTTTCTTTTTTTCCCCCCATTTTAGAACGACAGACACGTAGACGAGAGAGGGAATGTGCAGGATACGGACGCAAATGGCGAACGTAAACACACGGCGTTTTGAGTATGCAAACATAGAAGGAACGAACGCAGCACGGTGCGAGTGTCCACGTTTCCCTTCTCCTTCCCGCGCACGTACAATCAGCGTTTTTGCTTTTTTAGTCTTGTTTCCTCCCCGGGAAAGTATGCCGTGCAGCCGTGGAAATGACCTTGGGCGTCTCCCGGAGCACTGCGTCAGAGATGTAGCTCTTTATCTTTTTTCTTTTTCTTGTAGCGCGCGAGAGTTTTGGACTTTGAGTGTTTGTTGTTACAGTATGATGCTTTGAAAAACAGTTCTTTTATCTGGACCAATATTTTTAATTCCTATATTTTCCGAAAGCTGGTCGTTATAACCAGTAGGTCGTTATACGTGGGATGGTTATAAGTGGGTTTGACTGTACTTGTTACTTCTCCAACATCAAAATATTTGGTTAAAAAAGGAAGTGCAACAAAATAACAAAGATTAAACTGAAGTCATTTTTAAAAAAGGTCGTTTTTGATCTTATATTGTTTAAAAGGTGTTAACTCCCGCATATACCAAGTCCTATATAACAAAACTGCCTATTCATCTCGGGGCAAGAGAAAAACATGTGGACTCTTTTTTTCTCGCAGACTGCAATGTGTGGACCAATCAAAGCCCTACAATACTCAGATTCTGAATGATTTTATTATACCGTAAAATACCGCGCCCATATCCAAATTTTTAAGATATGAAAAAATATGCACAGTACATTTATATGTAAAATTGATGACCGGACAAGCGCCCATCCCCCATTTTTTCGCGATTATCTCTAAAATTTTGAGTGGGCACTTGCCCGGTATTTTACGATAACTCGTTTCAAAGAGAGTCGATAGGTACACATTCAGATTAGACTCCTTTTTTTTTTCCGCGGGCGAAGCCATCGCTTGCAACTCACCGACAAGCGCCTTTCAAGCGCCCTTCGTCGACCACTTCACTCGAAAGGATATTCCTTCCAATAAGGGTGTGTTGCATCTTTGAACATGCTTTTAACGAGCAAATAAGCTTCGCACGATTGTGATTTCGGCTTTGTTTGGATGCTTAGAGCGTCTAGATTGACTTGTCACCACAAATTACGATCTCAGAACCGACTTCAGTGCCCTTTTAAGTAACTCTTAGAGCCCATTAGGGAGCTCCCAAAAGAGTGTGAGCACCATGTGACTGGTGGCTAGTAACGTAACTGCTAGTTGTCTGCCACCTTTCCACAGGCTCCCGCGGGCATGAACTACAAATGTGTTTCATGCCATAAAACTAATTCTTAAAAAAAAAATCTTTTTTTTTTCGTTGTAAATTTATTTTTTGACATCCTTTTCCCATCCAGGCTGTTTAAGAATAAAAATTTTGTTCCTCTGCATATGTGCTTTAAGCATTGTGCAACGATCCAAGGCTTAGAAAAACTATTCAATCTTCGATTCGAAAATATTCGGCCAAATCCACTATTCACTTCAAACTCAAAATATGCTATTTGCTTGTGACTGGTGTTAATATAAAACTAAAAATGTGTTTTCAAAACAAAACTAAACCAAGGAAATGCACCCCTTTGTTTGCCAGCTCCTTCCTGGTTAGGCACACCAGCCACGTCTCTCTTTGCTTCCTCTCGTTTTTTTGTTGTTGTTTTTGTTTGTCGGCAAGACTGTTGCAGTGCGGACTGCAACCTTTTGCGTCTCCCTCCCCTTCCTGGTCTTAGGAGTAGATAAAAATGAGAAGGGCTTTTGAAAAAAGAGTGAACCCCCTCAACCTTCATGCTGAGCCTACCTATGGGATGGGAGAAAAAGGCAAGATTTTGGTAACTTGATCATTGCATGCCTTGGTCTAAGGAAAGCTTGATCTTCTGTGCAATTGTAAACAAAAGCATAATCTTCTCCTTTCGGTTTTGGTTGCTTTTACTTGGGGGAGAAGGGGAAGGGGGGTTCTGGAAGAAACGTCCCCGGAAAAAACGTCCCCGGGAAAAAAGGCCCCAAGTGGAAAGTAGGCAAAAATGTCCCCAAAGGGTTCTTTATCACTGGGTTTTTTCCCAATTCTCTTGGCCTTCAAGCGGTCGTGTCATTATCAGGTCACAAATGACCTGACCCACCTAGAGGCAGAAAGGGAGACTGGAAGTCACACAAAGCAACCGAAGTAATCTATTGTGGGGTATTTTGGAAGCCAAATTATGGTTTGCCAAAACCAAATTATTGTTTTTTTTTTGTTTTTTTGTTTTTTTTATGTGAAATAAACAATTATAACAATTCTAGCTAAAGCCAAATTATTGTGTTTGGGGAAATTTGAGAGGTACTTGCGTACCATTTCCAAAAAGGTAAAAAGTGCGATACTGTTAGCACGAACAGGCGATCGCTAGTTTTTTTTGTTTTGTTTGTTCGTAGAAACGAAAGGTTGTCATTAAAGTTATCATAGGTACTGAAAATGCTCATTCAGGGATATAATGCATGCAGACGGTAAAATTTCGTTCCCACTAATACTGTAAGCAAAATGTGAAAGTGCGCCGATGTCGTGTTCACGATATTAGGGACTCAATGTGTATCTCGGCGAATTGAATATTTCTTTATTTTTTGTAGCCGTTTTTTCCTACTTGCCACAAGGTGCCTTTTTTCTCTAGGACATATGACCGGACCGCCCAAAGGCCATGAGGATCAGGGAAACCCAGAGATGGTGAATCCTTTGGGGACATTTTTTCCTACTTCCCACTTGGTACCTTTTTGTCTGGGGACATTTTGTCCCGAGACTTTTTTCCTGGGGACGTTTTTCCTGGGGACGTTTTTCCTGGGGACGTTTTTTCCTACACCGGGGGAAGGGGCCTTATTTTGGATTTGATGGCTCTTTAGGTTTGGGTAAATAGGAAACACGCTTACAAGTGCATCTATGTAGTATGGATACTCATTTTTAAAGCACAGTTAGAGTGAAAAAAAGATTTCCCCCTATTTTATACACCAAGATATAAAAGGGAGATCATTTTTGGATATTAACTCTTTTAATGCCCAAGACTGGCCTGTCACTTCTAGCCAAGTACATTTTACCAGCAGTTCTGGGATAGCAGTGTGCGCAGGGTCGTAGCCTCCTGTACTTCGTTTTACCTTATCATGGACAGTCTCAACCGCGGCTGTAAGAGATACTGCCGATGCTGCAAGCATGCACCCAAGCCTTGTTTCTCTTACTGTGCATTGTTGCGGGGGAGCTGAACTTGTTCTTAATTTACTAGACGGTTACCCCCAAAAGAATCTGCCCCTGGGATTCAGGATTTGACAAGTTTATAGTCCATGTTGCCTCACAGTTATTTTTGTCTGCGCATTTGTTCTTGTTTGATCCGAACAAGGCATGGTCTCGCCTTCTATTCTGCGCAAATTATGGCCAAGGTGTTTGTGTTCTGCATTTATCTTCTTCCTGACACCCGTGTTGCGAGAGTTGTTTCTGCAAAGTTTGGCAGTATAGTATGTAGTACCAGTGCTATAATGTTTTACGACTTGGCACCACTGCACATTTACCCTTTGTTGACCGGATTGCTTCACGAGGCAGTTTGGTCAATACTGTGTCATGCATTAGTGTTGCTCGTTTACCTGACGGGATGTAGCATATTCGTTAGTTTAGGAGCATGCTTTATAAACAGGCACTCACTTAGTGTTTTTTGGTATGGGCTGTTGTGACATTTGCCTCGCATCCTACGAACCCTGTTATATGCACCACGAATGCAGGAGCTATCACGTTTGCCTAGCTCTGAGTGAGATTTAATTGTGAGTTAAAACGAGAGGAATAAATGTAGTACCTGCCAGACATTTAGTTTTAGGCCTTTTGGTTAGTAACTTAAAACTTAAACCCTAACCACATTTTATGATATGAAACATATTGTCAAATAAAGCGAAGTGTTGTTGAGACAAGTGTTAAAAAAACAGTTAGTCCCTTTTTTTACCCTCTGGAAACACTTCCCAAGGCATGAGCGCATATCCCCCAATTTACAAGCGTGTGTTGTGGCTGATTGAAAAAAAAAAAAACTTTTTTTTCGGAGCTTTAGTGACTTGCTGTGTTTCTCCTGCAGATTACCTACGGGTTATCTACCAATTGTTATGGTATTTTTGGCATGGTACGTTTATTTCTTTTCCAGTGAAGGATGGTGTGCCCATTGAATTGTCTTGCTGTCCCCAATTTTTCTTCTTTCTTGTTCCGTACTGCTCCGCACGAATTTGCAGCCTCCTTAGCATGCAGACTCTAAATTGTCATTGCTTTTTTTGTATCTTCTATAAAAATATTACGATATATGCAATTCAATCTCTTACGATTGTTATCTATGGTTCCAATTGCACTTGTCCCTTCCCACCTGTCCTCTTTTCCCCCCTAACTTTGAACCAGTCTAAGCTTGACACAGGCAACCACTGCATGTTCAGACTCGTGAATCGCAGCACGTGGTACTACAGCCCATGCCTTAAAACATGCGAATAGCATTTGTATGCAAACATTGACTTTGACGATGCGACACAGGCAATGTTTTGGCAAGCTCCCTGTTCGGGCATCTGTGCATCGTGTACTAACACTGGGGATCTCAAACTTCTTAACTTCGAAGGGGACCCTAGCTACATTCAGGGACTGTGATGGAAGTGTTTGGAGGCTCACAAAATTTTTTGACTTGGTATTTATTCTTGCTAGGGAGAAAGAGGGGGTGCCCAGCTCATAGTCTTGTGCGAGAACAGAACACAGCCTTGCTTACCGTAAGATACCAAGTGTGTACCCCTGTCACGACAAGCGCCCACCCGCTACTTTTGAAAATTTTGAAGAATAAGCAAAGGGCATATCAAGTGCCATACTCAGACTTCTGAGCACACTTGGCTTGGGGAGATGGTCCCGTGCGTTAGCCGCTTCTCCAGGCACGTCGTTGCAATGTAATAAAACTTGACACAGATAACCCGTCATTGGTAAAGCCCACCCTGCCTTGTGCCCAGGTTTTCTTTTGGACCTAACAAATGGCTATCCCTCAGATTTTCAATTATATTTCTTATTTTTGGGTGGGCGCTTGTTTGGTATTATAAGGTAAATTGCGCTTGGATGGGAGGAGCGCTCGACTTGGGCTTAGGTATGATCGAGTGCTTATGGAACTGCCTATGGTACTCAAGGAAATTCTGGGTTCCTAATAACTGTTTAAGAACTTGAACATTTAAAATGTTTAGCTCATTGACAAGGTGTTGAGTGCTTGCTCAAACAAAAATTCGGCATTCTGGTTTCAGCCGATGTGGCGTGTCAGTTCAATATCTAGACTCTTTCTACAACTCCTCTCTTTTACCAGACTGGAGTGCGAGCTTCAGGCATGAATTGGTGGCTTTGGAGCTTGCGCTTACAGCTTTTGCTTCAGTATGATCAGGAAGGTCAATGGAATAGAGTTCCCCACATCACACCACCGAAGAAACAATTGGGAATGTCTCGGGCAAAAGCCTGTTGGTTTATGGGAGGTCCGAACGTCCAGCCAACAAGAAGATAAATAGGAAGAAACATTCGCTGGGCTACATTTTATCACCCTACAGCGGTGGTCTTGTAAGAACTACTTACCTATGGTCTGGGATAGGCTAAAGCCCGACGAGCTGCCAGAAACGGGACAGCCACCCCCCGATTCCTCTTTTTTATCTGAGAAAGGAGTAGACCCTCCACTGTTCTGCGGGGGAGTATTTGAGAGGCCACATTCTTTCAGGAGAGGAGAGAAGAGTACAAGGAGGAATGGGAAGAATGACACTGGGAAAGGGTTTTCTGCATGGCATTAGGCGATCCTGTAGGTCGGCCTTTGAGGTCGCAGTCCAAGCACCATTTGCAGCACGCACTGGTCGCCTTTTGTCATTCTTTGACTGTGCATGCTCGGGAGACAGCAAGGTGTCATCGAGGACACAAAGCTGGTGCTGGAGGCGGAGTTCTTGTGGACTGTTGTAATCTTTGCGCTACTTACACCCATTGTAATCCTTGCAGGCGCCTTTTAAAAGCAAATTTAATTTCCGCCTTTGTAATAATTCTTGCAAATATAGCACTCCTCTAAGAATTGTTGTACAAGGGAGATGAGCCCTAGGAAAAAAACGGCCAAGTCACATCGGCGCACTCTCGCTACCACCTGATCTTGCGTGCATTGAGAAGAGAGCTTGAGAGCACACCGAAACTGCCACCCAAAAATTCTTCAGCAGTGGTTTGGTAAAACAGCATGCTTGATCCTCGACACAGCCTGGTGCAGTTCCTTCTTCTTTTCAATCTTTGGCTTGGCTCCGACTAACAGATCACTTCATCCGTTCAACTTCTCTCCCAGTTCAAGTGCCACCAAACCTTGACCGTTATTTAAGGAATTGCAATTCTTGCTCGTCGATTTTTTTTAGCACTGTTGAAATAGCACGCTAATATCGTCACTCTTGTGCATGTGCTGGTTTCCGTTTTTTCTGATTTTTCAAACTCTTGCATTTGGAAACATTGATCCAACATTCAAAAAAATAAAAAGGGGATCTAAAAAACCTGCCCGAGTCCGACGAATCCTTATCATTGTGCCATTATTACGCTCATTACAGGTTAATGAAATTGAGCTTTAAATCCCCGCACATTTTGTGACATCGCTGCCCCTTCTTCCCGTCTCATTCTAGTTTAAAACATCCGACAACATCATTTGTCTGATACAGGGGTTCTCAAACTCTTTGATCTTGAGGAATCCCACCCCGAATCAACAGAGGAGTCCCTCCTGGCTTTGGCATTGGGGCACTAGAGCAGTACAGGAGGTTATAGGCCTTGTGAACAAAATGCACATACTAAGGAGTGCTGAAACTGGAAGAACGCTACTTAGGGGACAAGGATGATTGAGAAAATTCGAGGGATCGAGGAAACTATGAGCGTGGTCTGGGGAACCTGGGGATTCCTAGGGACCCAGTTTGGCAACCCACAAGAATTGAGGGGTTGGTGTTTTGAGGTTAGGGCGTTCATATGGGATTTCACAGTATAAACCCTGTCTTTGCAATAATTGAATAAGCAGGATCTCAGTGTTGTTCACAGGTAGTGCCCACAAAAACTTGCACTGGTATGTCTTGGTCAGACATAACAGGGGAAAGGGTGCGTGAGAGCATAGCTTTCACTGCATTAATAAGACACCTGTGGCCACCAAAAAGAAAAGAGGACTGACATCACATACGAGCCGTGCATACTCTATTTCAGCGTGAGTCTGAGCAAAGCCGATGCTATGGGCACAAACATATTGTCTTAACAAATGCTCTCGCTTCACGAGCGCACTTACATAGCTGGTCTGCTTAAAGCTTTGCTTCGCTTCTGTAGCTTCTTCACTCTCGTGTATGGCGAAAGGAAACACAATTGTCTCCTGGGGCAGGTGTCACCATTCTCCTTTTGAGGTTGTGGCACTATTTGCCTTTCTGGACCTTACATGATTTGGTAGCCACAATTCGTCGAGTTTCGTAGCTTTTAGTAGAGTGCGCTAAGATACACAAACGGGGAGTAAATTTCCCGATCTGTCTCATCTTCTGCTTTAGCAGTCTCCCAACACTAATGCTTTGCTCATCTGCACTGCATTATTCTTTGTGTAGTAGCTTGGTTACATCTATTCTTCTCTTGTTGTGTTTTCTGGACACTGTTGGCTTCATAAGACAAGTCTCTTTTTGGTTTCCTTTCTACAGAGTGTACCTTCTTTTTTTTTTACTTTCTGGTTTTCTTCCGTACTAGTGTTTTGTGGTTTGTGTGTTCACCTGTGGATGAATGATTTTGGATATAATGCTGTCCTTTTTGGGGCGCTGCAGCTCTTTTGCTCGTGCCTGGCCATAACCTGTTTTGGAGTTGTTTTTTTTTAAATCTATTTTCAAGGGAGCCAAGTACACTGGTTATGGCGTGACAAAACCAGAGATTTGGCGCCCACCGTGTTTGTAAAATTATTAGATATAGTCACCCCTGATTTGGCACCCATTACTAAATCAGTTGATCAGTTACTTCTTTAATCTGTATATGTTTATCTGCTTTAAAAGAAGAGAGCTGGGTAAGACATAATTAGGGCTGGACAGTTTTCAATTTTATATTTCGTGAGGCGAGGATAAATTGGCCCATATTCTTCCGTAAAGATGGGAAGAATGTGGGTCGTAATTCAGCCTCTTTGGATTGTCAAGTAGAGTACTGGCAAACAACCAACAAAAATTGTAAAAAAAAAAACAAAAAAACTGCCTGGCATTGCAACATGGTGGTCATCATATGGTTATGTTACGGTAACATTAAACTCAAAGGGATTAACTTCTCTGATTGTGGACGTAACTTGAGTACTTGGCTTCCCTGTTAGTCCTTACAATGTCACATTTTTTGTGCCCAATATCAACCTCTTTGCAAACGTTTAGAATTCATGAAAAGCCAGTGGATTGTTTTAATGCCGTTGGCACAGGCTGAGTTACTGTTATGGTTGAAGTATTCGTTTATTCTTCTTTTCCACTCTGCGCTCAATATTTGTTTCTCTCAAAAACTTTCAAAACAAGCCGCACAACGTCTTTTTTTTTTTTTTAATGCTCACACGATTAATGAAGCGGGACACAACAAAAGCCAATGTACGGATATCTGACGCAAAGGAAGGTGAAGACGTAATGCCACCGTAGACGTTTGGCACCTCGTCATTTTCTGGCCTCTACGCAGTGCGTGTTAAAATAAACATATAGGTTTCGTTAGCGTAAAAATATTTGCAGCTTTATTTCTATCTATTGATCAAACCGTCCTAGTATACAGCATTGCACTTAATGCGTAATTCAGTCGACACTCGCTTTCAGCATCTGCCTTTCTGGCACGCATTGCCGCATCCTTCCAAGGGGTCTCCTCGTCGCCCTTCCCTATCACTCTTTTCTGTCAACAACACGGAAAATGCAGATTGGGACACGGTGGCATCGTCTGGGGTGGCTCGTGACGTTTTGACACGCAACACCATCAATGCGCGCAGGTGTTAGCCAGTTAACCGATTCTACTACCCTCTACGCTCATGCTACCCGTTCCTCGGATGATCGCGACATTCTAGTTACCTTCCGTCAGAACGCAATTTCGCACTAAAAGGTCACATCCTCGTAAGAATTGGCTCTCTTGGGAATTTCCCAAAGGCAATCTAAACGCGTAGCATTTAGAGCGCTTTTGCTCGAGTTCGCTCGAAACCACGGTCTCTCGCACACATTACATACGGCTTGGCTTGTCCGCAAACTGGCGCTTGAACTGCTGGTCGGCAGCCGCATAATAGCGACGGGCTTAGCTTCGCCATTGCCGCCGGCACCCTCGTTTTGCAGTCACGTCCCTCCTTTCTTCCTCTATGCCCTGCTGCACGCGTCGTCATCATTGCTCCCACACTTCATTTGGCGATGCGCAGAGGCCACGAAAAAGGAGCCTTCGAAGTATGTGCAGTGTACTTTGCCACCACCGAGCCACGCCGAGGAAAGTTTGCTTTGTGCTGCACGCTCTATTGAGACTATGTTCCAGGCGCGGACGAGAAAGTGCCGAGAGCTGGCCCCTTAGATGCCGCGCTATGAAAATTTTAGTCGCTGACAAGGTGAGGACGGTAGGGAGGAGCTTCGGTCATTTTGCCTCCTCTGCGCGAGCTTCCTACCTCTCGAGGTGCATGAGACACTTGGGTGTCTCGTGCATGTCGAGAGCGTGTGCTGGAGGCCAAGCGTCGGAAACACGCGCCCTGCTGTCCTCAATTTTTCGGCGACCTTGGGAAAAGAGATGCTTCTGCTCGCATTGCCGCGCCTGACACGGCGAGCGTGACGGCCCGGCCTCCGCGTGCACGCAGCGCTGCTGCAGCAGAACGCGGCACAGCTCCATCTGCCCCCTCCGGCGCGACTGACCGAGGACGCGGAGTCAGCGCCCGAGAACCTGGAGCTCCCGCCGGACGCCGAAGAGAAGCACGCGTCGCTGCGGCACCCCAAGCACAGGACGGCGCCCCTTCCGCCCCTGGACGGGGCCCCGGGGGCGGCCCTGGGACCGGCCCTCACCCTGCTGGACGCCCCCGAGATGCCCCGCCTGGTGACGCTGGCCCCCGCAGCCCCGCCCGCCGAACGGCCGCCTTCCGGCGCGTCCAACTCGGGGTGAGTAAACTTCCTTCGCCACGGCACTTGCAATGCACGTCCCGACCAGCGCATTTACTGCACTCAGAAAAGTGGTCCCTCGATTTCTGCCCGACAATGTCGCGGAGGTGTCATGCTCACGGTGGTAGGAATATTCCGGGCAGTGTTACGGCCATTTCCAAAGAGCCGTCATGGCGAAGATCGGCACGCGATTCTTTCTTCCGCCGCCACAGCGCACCACTGATGCCGTTTTTTTTGTGAGCAATAGCGGGCGGTTGCGTGCGCCGGGTCGCAATGCTGTGCAGTTTTCTGCTGTTTTCGTTTGGTTTCCGGCCAGTTTCAGCTTCCAGAAGTTGCCGGCAGCGGGGAAGAAGTGCTGCGGTGCTACACGCGCACCGAAACTGTCTTTTTTTTGCTACTCCCAAAGAAGAGGACCGCCAAAACGTATGGCGAGACACGATTTTCTGCAGAAAAGACCGCCGAATGCGCTCGACAGAGTTTGTCAACGAGAGACGTTTTAAAACAAGTTTTGTGAGCAAACCATAGAAAGCCGCCTACAAGGGCCACGTCCTCGTAAGTGCCCCACGGAAAGCTAATCTGGTGAAAGACGTAGTGCCAACAAAGTTTTCGGGCTGCCCCGTCTACCCGATGAACGAGAGAAAAAGAAAAGGACCCGCAAACCGTTGGTGCCCTCCTTGCAGCGAACGGCACTATATTAAATGCATTTAGTTTTACTTCACCTGGAAGTGCGAGACTACTGGGCCATTACTTTTTCTTCGTCAAATGTAGCTCGCCTCTAAAGTAAAGGGTGTTTACTTTCTGAATTACCGTAGAATACCGCGCATCCGCCCATTCCACATTAAGCGTCCATTACCAAATTTGTAAGATGTGAGAAAATACGCACAGTACATTTATATGTAAAATTGATGACCGGACATGCTCTCATTCCCCATTTTTTTGCGATTATCTTCGAAGTTTGAGTGGGCGCTTGCCCAGTATTTTACGATATATTAACAAATCAGTTCTCTGTTCAATAAACATAATGCATAGATCGAAGCATATTTCTGTAGTGTCTTTGCCTCTTACGTTTGTGCACTGGAACTAACATTCAATGAGTCTTGTCAGGAGGTCAACCTCATATAGAGAGTTTTAGTGGACATTTGGGCTTAGTGATGCGATATAAGAAAAAGTAGCACGAAACCCAAAACCACCTTTCAAGCATTTGTGTGTATGCGTGGTCCATGAATGTATACTATTTATGCTGTGAAAAATATGCCAATAACTCATCATTTATAATTTTTATTTATACTAGAGTAGTCACATTTGTGCAAACGAGGGAAGCATTTTGCCTGCTGCGGAACTGGAGTGTGCCTAGCTGGGCAAATAGGATACCGTTGCCGCAACGGGACTTTGTTGTGGCGAAGTCCCGTTGTGGAAATGCGGACGAGAGTGGGACACCTCCGGAGACGGTATCACTCCACCCGAGCCTTCTTACAACCGCAGTCACGACGCCATCTCCGACCGCGATTCTGGCGGCATTGCGGCAGCGGACGTGGCAGACTCAGAGTTCTGCCGCAGGTTGCCCTCCGGTTCAACAGTCCATGGAAGCCTCGGCAGCCGGGAGTCGGAAGGCCGTGATGACGATCGCATTCGCTCATGCTTTCTGCTGGAACTTCTACGATAGTCCGCCGAGATCGTGACGTCCGACGGCGCGACACCCCGGCTTTTCCAACGACGTTTGTTGCCACTTCGGGATCGCTTTCGACGCATGGGCAGAATGGGACTTTAAAAACTTAAGCTGGAGACGCGTTCCAAACAGCATACCTTTGCCGGAGGCATGGAGGTAGGAAACTTCGGGAGGCGACACGATGCCACCAGAGTTGAAGCCAGAAGTCTGGAGGGACACGCCCTCACGATGACCAAAGCCATGAGACGAAAGCTGACTTGGCACCAACAGATGTTTTGGGATGCCCAAGGGCGACCAAAACAGCTGTCCAATAGCATCCAGAGGCTTCCTACCTCCATGGCCAGAGGCCTCTGCCCCGGATCCACTGTGCAGACGGGAGAGCCGTTTATGAACAAGCGGGATAAATGTGCGCTAGAACGACGTCCACATGGCGAGATCATAGTGCAGGATTAGCCGTGTGGGGGACGCTCAATCCTCTCGTTCTTGGGGGAACCCTCACCTGCCGTCGCTGATGAGGGAGGAACCCTTCCCGAACTCGACGTCGATGCAGTAAAGCTGTTGGGAGCCTCTGAGGATTCCTTGGCTTATAATTACACATCGACGGATGCTTAGGTCTGCTAAATTAGTGCTTAAACTGGGAGTACTCTTCACTTGGAGGCAGGGAAAGTGAAAACATTTGAGAGCTCGAGGAAGTGTTCCTAGGAACCCAGGTTGAGAAATCCACGTTCGATGTCACTTGCCGTAGACCAGTGCGAGGCACAGATTTTACACGTCTGCTGTGTGTTCGGTTGGCAAGGACACGAGTCCCAGCTGGACGTGGCAGTCGTGTCCAATCCTGTGCTGGCCTCGTGTGGGTGACATAAAAAGCCAATGACCTTGTCATCTAAGATGGCTTGAAAGCCTAGACTAAGAGAGCGTCCAACGGTTCGATTAGGGTCTTGCAGCCTGTTGGCGTCGTTAGGTGGCTACTTTTTGACGGTAGTTTGCGGCACCACTCGCAGTTTTAATGCAGAACGTGTTTTATTAGTTGATTTCTATGAGAAGAATGTCAACGAGCTGCATGACGTCATGATACCACACGACGTAATGACATCGTGACGTGACAACTCGCGTCATAATGACGTCCATACAACATCACGGTAACGTAATCATGATGTCAAAGTGATGTCCTTGTTATTCATGACGTTCATGTGACATCGTGACGTTAAGTTGATGTTGTCATCACGTCATGATGTCACATGATGGCATGCGGATGTCTTGACGTCACATGATGATGATGATGTCATGTCATGAGGACGTCGTGGTGTCACGTGACATCATTTTAATGCTACTTGACGTCACTTGACTGAATTAATGTGAGGTTATGTCATGTGACATTGTGACACCGTGTGATGCCGCAGTCATGTGCCCTCATAACATTGTGTGACGTTAAACACTCGTAGCACGTGCCCAGTTAATTCAGAGCACATTCTGTGTTTCTCGATCTCTTGTCAGCATAATCAAGCTATAGTGTAATTCACTTTGAACGCAACATGGATTATAAGAATCCCCGGAGGTGCTTAGATGTTTTAAAAAGAAATGAAAAAACACCCTTCATTTAGCCACCATCTTCGTTCCAATAAGATAGCTTTTTTGTGCTATTTTGCAGTTTGCATTGCAAGTAGGTAGGCACTTTCCTTTAGTCATGTTCTTGGCTCTAAGTTGCTCCAATCTCTGCTGCTTCTTTTTATGTAAGAGCAAGCACTGAACGGGGTATGAGTCGAATTATCTCTAATTCTAGGCTCTAAGGTGAGGACATGTGGTGATCGGTTTTAAAAACAGCAAAGCAAATACAAAGCAAAGGCTTGGGCTGTACACTCTCTTGTTTGTGAAGAGTATGCTGTTCTAAAGGAGGCGGAGAAGTAAGCGCAGCACTCGTGACTTCGAAACGCTGTCCCTCTGACACGCTCATTGATATTTTCGAAGGTTGATAACTAAAGATTTGAATACCATTGTTCTTCCTTAGCGAAAAATTATCATAAAAAACACAATTTTTAAAACTTTGAGTTGCTATAAGTTCCAAGATACTTCCTTTTGCGATACTGCGCAATTCGCTTATTAACAATACCACATATAACAATGTACCGCTTATAATGATCCGTTTCTAGAGTTTCTACAGTAGAAACGATCAGTTTTTTTAGTTCAGATACAACATTAATCGGTTATAACAATTAATATTTTCTCTTTATTGTTATAAGTTTGTTTCACTGTCTTTCCTTCTCCCCTTTGGGCTTTCTTGCTTTTTTTTTTGTTTCATTGTCAGTCTTTTTGTTTTATTCATGTGGGAAGTTATATCAAATTATGACGGTGCCAATAACCAAAATCTCTCATCACACCAGTTTGTTTGGGCCAAGCCTAGAGAGATGCAGTGTGTGACCAGTGTTCTTCACTGCCGCAGTGTTCAGACGTGTCCAGAGCCCGCGGAAAGCTTGAGGGCCCCACTGGAGGGGGAGGGCTCCCCGGCCCCACCAGCGGAGAGGGTCCGTCCCCAGGGGCAGAGGGAGGCCTCGGTGCCCATGACCCGTCAGAGCCCCCTCGGAGGAGAGGAGGGGGACGGGCGGCAGCCAGCCCCACCGCCACCTCAGGACAGGGTGAGCAACTCTGTTTAGTCTTTCGGACAATCTGGGGTCACTCTATTCCCGTTCTGTCTGCCCTCGGTCGGGTTTTTGTCGAGACTGCCGTCCTAAAGCCTCTAGATGGGCTATGCTTAGAGGCGGGCACTTAATTCTACGATTTTATTGCGGACACCGCCAATTCGGTGCCTGGTGTGGAATAGGCGCAGTGGGCGATCGCCGTTATTCGAAAATGCAATTTTCCGAGCTTCGGATGCGATGTCAAGGAGCTCCCGCAACATCAGTTTTACCTGTCACAAACTGTTCTGACATCCTGGAGGACGGGAAACAGTTTCCTGCAATTTCGGACGAGGCTTCAGACGACTGGCAACCGCAATTCTACGCACCAAAACAGCAAAGTGCCATTACCTTGATGCGTAGCTGAATTTAGTGGCTCTGGTCTGCCGCAAAGTCGGTGAACGTTTTCCGAGCTTCGTTCCGTAATTGCGCCATGTCACCGTGACGAGCAGTTTCAAAACGGCAGCCGTTTGTGGTCGGGCGGAGTTGGGGTGGGCCGAGCTTGCATTAGCCCGCCTGCTGGCAAGTGGACGGGCCGGCATTTTCCTCTCGGAGAAATGGTTACGCTCCGCCACGGGCTATTTGGCATAGATGGGCCCGACGGAAACTGACACGCTCGTCGCTCTTCAACTGGCCGTCGTTCGTCGAGCTGCTCCGACGGTCTCGTTTGAGCACTTTAGATATTTCTGTTTTAGGCTGTGCTCTTCTCTTTGGCTCAAGAGATTCCAAGATGGCGTATATCAGCTACCCAGAAAAGCTCGATTGGCTTGTTTCTCCAGCCCGATTCGAGCACCCATTATATGTAATATATTTTCATGTAATATAAAACTAGCAACAAATTTTGTACTCTCATTAAAACGATTTATTTCATCTGAAGTGTACAACTCACCCTGTTAACTCCGTACTAGTAGTTATATTATTTGTGCAGCTATGTATAGATTGTGTGAATGCCTATAGGATTGTTTTAAATGTGAATGTTTTTTTTTTTAATGGATCCATTACTAGCCATGTAGGCTATGGATCCAGATGACTAATCAGACATTTCTTTGTACATCTTTACGTGAATAAACATTGATGATGATGATGATATTTCTTGCGGAACTCTGGGCACATTCTCTGGCTGTAAAGCCAAGGGGGATATGTTGCCACTCGCTCGATTGTCAATTTTCATTGACATGGCCCCGTTTTAAGGGTTTATTTTTCTACAGGGAGATATTTCATGATGAAAAACAGCGCGAAGAACACAAGGACACAGAGGAGAGAATTACAAACAGAACAAGGTGCTGACTATAAACTTTCTTATTTTGAAAGTTGACAGTCAGTGCCTTGTCCTGTGTGTAATTCTCTCCTCTGTATCTTTGTGTTTTTTGCGCTGTTTATCATCATGAATGTATACACGATTGCAAATCCGGCTTTAGGGCACTGCCATCTTGCTTGGCTGGGGTGCGCTTGGGCGAGTCATAACCAGATTACGAAGCCTTGCTAAAGCGTCGTGATCGGATTATGGCCGCGCCCAAGAGCGCATCCCACTGAGGAAGATGGCGGCTCCCTGAGACCTGACTTGCAAACGTGTATATTAGCTAGCCAGGAGTGGGGAGAAATACTCTCAAAAGTATTTGAAAATAAAAATAGTGGGATACATGGTAAAGACAGCGAAAATACTGATACTGAAACACATTTATAAAAATGAATTGCTATACATATCAGAAATACATTTGAAAAAATATAGAAGTATTTAGAGATGCAAATACATGAATACATTTTGGTGCAGCTGAAATACAGACACGGAAATACATTGTTATATAAATATTATTTTGGATGTTGTGGTGCACTCCTTAGTGCAGTGGTTTTTAAATGGGGGTCTGCGGACTCTTTGGTGTCTGCGAAGGCATTGTAAAGGTCCTCAAAGCCCTGCTTCATCAGTCAAGTCCGGCATAACGGTTGTCTTTTTTTTTATTAAAAAGAAACATTCCAATTTTCTGGTAGTCTTCTTGTGTGTATGTCAATGAGAGAACTCTTCTTTACACTAGCCCTTAGTTATATCCATTTAATAAATCGTTATCATAATTAACCTATACCTTTCCCTTCACTTTACTAGGAACGGGGTCCTCTGTCATCCCCGCCGATCCACAAGGGGTCCACGAAACATCAATGGTTGAGAACCACCGCCTTAGGGCTTACAAAGAACAAAAAATAAGCATGATCTGGAACAGTGGTTCTCGACAATGAATGTTTTGCGGACCCTTTGTGAATCGGCAGAGACGACGGAGGACCCAGTTTGTGGTGAGGGGTAGGTAAAAAATGAATATAACTTAGGGCTAGTTTGAAGTATACTTCTCTCATTGACATGCACACAAGAAAACTCACCCGAAAATTCCTACACTTTTGTTCTCAATCTGAAAAAAAAAAAAAAAAAATACAACTTTTATTGCCAGGTTTTACTGATAAGGAACCCTAGAACACCTTCACGGACTCCAATTTGAGAACCACTGATCTATTATACAAGATTTAGTTCTTAACCAGCAGGCGAGTACTCACTGTATGTTGGAGCCTGAATTTAGCTCGAATCAAATTTACCGCAGAATTATCATCTTGTATTTTGGAAAGTAGTAATGGAAGCAACAAATTTTTTTTTTTTTTTTTTTTTTTTCACTTTGGCTTGAGCGCGGTTTTATTTCGGCATCTCTTATGTTTCCAAGACAAAATCCCAGGGACATCTAAATCAGTTTTGTTTCTTCCCGAATAACCTATGTTATGTCTAATCTGGATTATGATAGGACATAATTATGTTTGGACCATGATTATGTCCAATCTGGATGCCTCTTTCAGCAGTAACCTTATAACGTCACCATTGAAAGAAGTTGAGGGAACCCGTACCCCTTTATCTGTTAATTGGGCGCGCTTACAGTGCCTTGGGAATCTGCTGGAATAGTCGATTGCTAAAGTCTGGGAAAACGTTTGTTAACTTTTGCACAACAAAGGGAGTCATGTGCGGTCAGAGACACGAAGCGTCCTGGACGACACTTGGTCTTGACCTTCTTTGTGGAGGAGGTCAACAATTTTTTTTAAATTGTAACGGAATATATCTGTCTTAACCGTATCGCGATACCTAGAGTGCACTCAAAAATCTGTTGAAAAATGGTATCGCAATACAAAAATATAAATACAAAATGTATTTCTAAAATGCTATCGCAATACATTTGTATCACGATGCTGCCCAACCCTGCAGCTAGCCCAACTATCCATCCTAGTAAGGGAGAAAGTGTTTGAATTTTTTAGCTTTCATGGAGCTTTTGTTGTCAATGTAATGTTGACTTAATCTGCGGTAGAATTATGTTTCTGTTAAAATACTGCAACAGTCTCGTCAATATAACAAAATAGTGCAAGTGTGAAAAGAAAGGGGACAGCTCTCTAATTCTTTTTAAGACATTGTGTAGGGATGTTTTGGGCTCGGAGCAGATTCATCAGAGTGTCGAGCGTCATAATCGCCACTTTCATAAACGTGACATTTGTTGGGACTTCCGACGAACCATGAAGAACTCTGGAATTCGGCTAAACGTTCCACTCAGTTTCTTTTCATGCCCACGTTAACAAGGACTGTATTCTACCTATTGCCGAAGTAACGGTTAGTAGAGCAAATACATTCTAAAACTGTTCTTTCCTTTCTTTAATTGGGAGCTTGTCTTCAATGAAGAACAATCGTGTCATTAGAGTAGAAGCAGCCTGTCATGCCTTCTTTCTTCTCCTCCCCGATTAGCCGCAGGCCCATGCAGCACTCGCCGCTAGCCCTCCGCTGGTCGACTCCGCCCTGCCCGAGAGGACAGAGCCCTCTGGAAGCACCGACAGAGACGCTCAGGTGACAGCTCGGTTTTATCTGTAGCCATGCACCTGTAGTCGTTCACAGGACGAGAACAGCAGGGCATTTTAGAGCACAGCTCTTAGGGGCCCGTTTCCGGCTTGAGCGGCGTCGCCGTCGGCGTAACCACGAGGTCACGTGACCCCCCGAGGTCACGTGACACCCCAGGTCACGTGACCCCCTGAGGTCACGTGACTCCCGAGGTCACATGACCTCAAGGAGTCAATTATCCCTCAGTACGCTTCCATCTTCCTCCTCAAGAACTGCGCTCTAACCGGCGTTACAGGGAATTGAAACGGCTTTCATTTTTCGTTCGTGCGCTTTTGCATACGCCATGGCGGGGCATTTCAGCACAACCAGTGACGTCGCGTGGTGCTAGATAATGTCACGTCACGGTGTGACTTGACGTGACATTATGTAATACCAGGATCTTACGACGTGAAGTCACGTGACAAAGTCTCACGAGGTTTTGGCGTGACGTCGTTGTGTTACCTAATACCATCATGTCATTTGTAAAGTGACCTGCCGTCAAGGTTAAAAATATCAAGATATTATTATAAAATAATTAAGTTTTTTTTTCTGGCCTTTAGCACATGCTTGTTGCCTTCTGCTATGACGGCAAAGCGTTGTTGAGAGTAGGAAGCTTGCACTGGAGGCGAGACAAGTGAAGGATCGCCGTGCCATTCTAACCGTGCTGGCAGCTATATACTCTATGACGGCACATTGTCACGTGTCTTGCTCCATTGCACCGATTGGCTCGCTGGGACCTTGGTTTTCGGTGTTTGTCAAATTACGTTGCAACGAAGTGTCTCTTCCCCACTTCAAGGTCAAAGTAGTGGTGCATTTAAAGATGTGCTTTCCTGTTGAAGGGATCATTTTGAAAACTAAAGAAATGAGATCAGAGTTCCACTTTTCGAGGAAGTTCAGCTTCAGAAGTTCTGGTTAATGAAATTCTACCCTATTTCCCCGTAATCTCAGTTAAACTTCTATGTCTAACTTCTACTCTTTCTATTAGTGTGGCATACTTCTACTTTTTATATTAATGTGGCATAATTCTGCAGACTGAAATTATTCTGCTTGGTCGCAAACAGCAACTTCCGTTTGTCTGTTCTCTCAGGTTATCCCCATGGTCACAGCATCATCTCAGAGCCTGACCTCTGGCATCCGACCGAACGCAACCTCGACCCCCACGATCCGTGCGGACCCCTCGACCTCTATGCCTTCTCGCAGTCATCCGGACGACCTCTCCCGTCATGAGGAGCCGAGGAGGGCTATGGACAGCGCTAGGGAACCTCGGGACGGTATGGAGACGAGGGACGCTCTGGACGGCAGGGAGGCCAGCGAAGTCAGGGATGTTAGGGAAGTTAGGGACATTCGAGAAGTCATGGACATTCGAGAAAGCCGGGATGGCAGGGAACCTAGGGATGCTCTGGACGGCAGGGAAGCCAGCGAAGTCCGGGACGTCAGGGATGTTAGGGACATTAGAGAAGTTAGAGACCTGAGGGAAGCGAGGGACGTCAGAGGTGGCAGGGAAGCTAGGGAAAGTAGGGACGGCAGGGATGCTCGAGATACCGGGAGGGACGAGGGGAAGGAAGACCGCACCGATAACTGGAGGAGAGAAGAGAGGAAGAAAGAATGGAGGGATTCGAGGGATGAGCGCAGCCTGAGTGAAAGGGATGATTCTGACGATGACCGAAGGAGAGGCGGATGGGACAGGAAGGGTGCACGTAGAGACGATCGTTGGGACGATCGGAGGGACGACCGTAGGAGCGATCGTAGGGACGATCGTCGAGATGACCACAGGGACGATCGTAGGGACGACAGGAGAGACGAAAGAACAGGCCTTGACAGGAGGGATGACAGAAGAGACAACCGGAGGGACGACAGAAGAGGCGACGAGAGACGCTACGACAGCCGAGACGGTCGACGGGACCCTCGGAACGACATGTGGAAAAGTGAGGGGTCGGACCGCAAATCTGACCGTCATTGGGACTCTAGCAGGTGAGGAGGACTTTGACCTTTAGGAAGTTTGCTATCTCGAGCACCGGGCTTCAGAGGCTGGATTAAGATTCGTGGAGACTGTGGAGTTGTCTCTGTAAAGGTACTCCTTCCAGCCTTTGTATGTGTATATACCTGGGGTGGGCAAATATCTCAAACTTCAACTAATTTTTATTTGCATTTGAAGCATGTAAAAATTACATGCTTCAAAACGCACCTTGCATTAATTCAAAATCTAGTTCAGCCACGAGGCGCGCGGTTCTGGAAATCTATCCCTTCGGATCAATGCAGTTGATGGATGGGAGAAGAAGAGGGGCGGGGAGGGAATCTATTAATGCAAAAGCATTAACTGTCTCACGGAATGAAGCAGGCACGTAGCGACCACCAAATTTAATTAGTCGTGGGTCATTGAAGGCACACAGTCAATACCAAAAATAAGAAACTGACACCCATGTTTTGTGGCTTCCTAAAAGCTGCAAATACGTTGATTGAAAAAACGTTCAGCCTTTCCCCTCTCGTGATGAAAGAAAACCAGCGGAGCTGTACTCGATGCGCTGCTGCAGTGCGCCCGCGCCCGATTTCCGATTCTTTTGTCCGACACGCCGCCGATCGTGGATACGTCTCCGGTGAACCAGAGACGGTCGCACGTGACGCCGAACGGGTTCTCCACGAACTCCCTCCGAAACCTCGCCGTCGTGCTTGCACTTGGCCTTCGTGGCACAATCGTCGTCCGTGGCATTGGCCCGCCGGCGCCCTTTACATCGTTGGTTCTATTCTCGGCAGCGGCTTTGAAGGCGAGCAATGTGGTCTTCTTTGGCAAGGGAATCTGAAGCGGTGGACGCAGTTGAAGTCGAGGTGAACAGCAGCTTTGCGGCGGTTGTGGACCCATTCGCGCTGCTGCGTACGTCGCCGCTCCTTCCGCAGCCTGTCTCCTTTCCCCGAAAGTGCGCACGGCCGACCCGTCCTGAGTCCAAACCGAAACTGATAAGAGCGTAGGAAACAGCGCGCAAAACGGACGAGGGCGAAAAAACACGTGACGAGCGCTGTGCTCGTTACGTGTGCTTCTTCTTTGTCGTCGTCGGTTTTTTGCCCTGTTTCCTACAATAAATTCCCACCAACTCGCCCAACTATCCAGTCTTCTATGATAGCTGCAAAGGTTGCCGCCATCTACCAGCGACAGTGGTAGCTGTCCAGGTAGGTCGACATGCATTTGATACCGGACACGATCCTGGGGAACCTAGCCCTTAACAGCTCCACTGTAAAAAAGGTTGCTCAGACAACCAGAAGCATTCTATCCATTCACTGCATAATTCTCAACATGGCGTCGTTTCGCGTTTCGTGGGACTCGCGGGTGGCAGCGGACGACGGGCGTGGGACCTCTACTTCAGAACTGTCGTTCACGGTACCAGCGAATTCTGTCTTTCTTCGAAAGAGAAATTTTGGACCGGTCAAAAGAAGTGATATTCATCCCGTGCGACATACCCGACTAGCAAGCCGATTGCATGAAGACGTCGTCGAGCTGTCGTCCCTTCTCATGGCTGAAGACGTCGCTCGCTCAAATGTTGAGCACGAAGTGCGTACATCGAGTTGAATACGCACACGTATGGTTTCTTTACTAGGTGCGAATGTGACCAATGCGTGTCGCTGCCCGACTTCAAGCCGGGAGTGCATGTACAGGAGGGAAATCGGCAGCAAACTTTCCGACACACAGTCAACTGGCTGCATTACCGGCATTACTACAAACGAAAGAGTTCCTCCTGTGGCTCAGTGCAAAGACGTCCGCTTCACCAGCAGCGGGCACGGGTTCAATCCCTAGTGGGGGCGTACCATTTTTTTTTTTCCAATCATTTTTTGATGTTTACATTTCTTTTTTTTTTGCAATTGTCAGTGAAAAAAGCAATTGTTGTGGATGATACGTCACTGAACTAAGTGGTATAGGATTCCATTTTTGACACCTTTGCCGCACAACGCCACTTTCAGATGCAGGACATGTGAGGCAGCACTTCATGCAACATCTTGGGAGTATTCTTTTTGGAGCCGATCATGGGAATTCACCACAAGCACTCACTACTAATTGCCAACACTTAAATGTACAAAACAACTCATCTTGAAGTACAGAACAGCGAGCGGAACAAATGTAACTGCAAAGGAATCATACGGCAAACGAATCCCGCAACGCATTTCGTCTGCTGCACCCGAAAAAAGAAGAAAAAAAATCGCACGGTTGAGGGTAGCCACGTGACTTCCGCCACTCACTCTCTCCTCTCCACTTCTCCGTTCGTTGTGGGAGTTTCGGTTTCAGTTTCGAGCAGTTGCGTTTCTTGGCTTTATTAAAAAGATACGTGACTCTGGCAAAATATTAATTGGGTAGTATTCCCACACCATAAAACATTGCCTGGCAAAAAATGAAAAAAAAAAAAATATGGGGGGTGACAGTGTCCCTTTAAACAGTTCATGGATATAAAAAGTGTGTCCTTGATCTGAACATGGGATATTGCAGTTGGTTTTGTTTTGGCTTCAATCCTTCAACTGCAAGCAAAATGGCCATGTAACACCATCTCGGTTTAGCTCGGCCAAACCACGGTTACTAACTGCCGTTTGCCTAACCACGGTTAAAGTGGCCCATGTAACTAGGGTATAGGAGAACCACAAAGCTCTATTGTTTTCACTATCTTTTCCCAGCAGGTCGGTTTACCCAGTACACATTACAAATGTACTGACTAAAAATACTTTTTTTTTTTCGAACATGGGTATTAAATTTGTTTTGACTGTTTTATTCGTATTTGGTGTCAGTGTTGCTAGATGATTTTAAGCTATTCAACCTCGGTTTTTGTATCGGGTTTGAAAGATCCTCATTTTTTTCTCGGTCTCAATTCTGGCGCTTTCGTTTTCTTCCAGTAGGCAGCGGGGCGACTACCGGTACGAAGACCGGTATGAAGATCGCTACGGAGACCGGCACGGCGACCGCGGCCGTCCCTCGAGCCGGTCATCGGTCGACGGCTATGCTGAAACGTCGGACTTGCGCCGGGGCGACCGTAGGCGCCACCTGAAGGACGGTGGCGCAGAGCGGGTGCCGTCGCGCCACAGCGAGTCGGACGGTTCTTCCCCAGAATCGAGGAAGGGCAGGCTCCGGCGCCACCGGGACCGCGAGAACGAGTTTGGGGCGGCATACTACGCCGCTCAGCAGAAGGGTTACGGGACCGGTGAGTGCCTCGGCCTCTCTTTATAGGGTTAGACTGGCAAGATTGCCGGCGCCGCTAGTGATTAAAAGCGACTACTATGTGCTCCTGCCACGAGCCGCACGATGCGGGGACTCATACTGAGAATTGCAGATGCAGAAAACTCGGGTTTCGCGGTGCGATAATTGTGCGAGAAACAAACTGGTACGTTACGGGAACTGACGTCGCACACACGCGGATCGCGGGCATGGCAAACTCTGGTTCCGTGGTGCGAAAGAAGCGCGCGGAAACCCGCTACGAGCTCGTGTGTCGTGGTAACCGATACCGCAGATCAAGGGCTCAGTAGGTTTGCGTTCTGCGGTGCCACGAACGCGCAGGAACCCGCTACAAGCTCGCATGTCGCAAGAGCCGATGTCCCGCATGCAGATTGCGAGCACGGCAAACTTCGATTCTGCAGTGCAAGAACCACGCGAGAACCTGCTATGGACCCGTTGGTTGCGCATACCGATAACGTAGATTGTGCGGTTGATGCGGGAGGATTTTTTGCCTATTCATATTTAGCCAGAAGAATGGGACGGGCGGTCTCTCTTGGGAGGGCGTTCATACGGGATTTTATGGTATAAGTAAACATTATGGCAATTTTCACTTTACAAGTTGTTCTTTTGGCCTGTCCTTTTACTGTGTCCTTGCAACTGGTTTGCCTTACTCCGAAATTTCCCTCTATGCGTAAGTTTTTTTTAGAGGTCTGATCGGAATATGTCATGTTTAGAATAGTTTTGAGAGCTTGCACAAGATGCTTGCTCTTGGAGTGTGCCTTTTTCCCCCCAAAGATAGTGTGTAGCCTGTGTAGCCCGATTATGCCGTCTGATAATAAGTTCCTTTTCTCTTTTTGCAGATCCATACGACTACAGCGCATATCGACGAGACTACTACAACTACTACCAGTATGGCTATGCGCCTCGTTCGGGCTATGGCTATGGCTATTACGACGAGCTGTATAGGACAAATCCTGCGTAAGTGCCCTTAATCAATACGCTTTTGTTGTACCTTTTTTTGTGTGCCCGATTGTTGACTGCTTTTTGGGGATACGTTGCTCCATGGTTTATTGCAAACTTGCCCTTTGGTCAGCTGTTGGAATGCTTATAAATATGATTCCTTTAATGCTTTTCATTTTTAGTGCAGCAACGTTGCTCGCTCACTTTCAAACATTGAACTTCCCAATCCTCTATTTCAAAAACCAGGATTCACTGCCATATGTTACATTGTATGTATGTTTTGTGTGACATGCACTAGGCCTCATTGATATGTTTTTGGGCACATCTTTACAAATCTTGGTTGGAGCAAGTCCAAAGTTCACAGCAAGATCTCTACTCTTCCTCGTTTTTTTAGAGCTATGCACTGCTGTGCAGCAAATGCATTCTTGAGAGGAATGTGGCTTCTCTCACCATACTCTAAGATATAAATGAAAGCTGGCAGGAATGAAAAGCTGGCAGAACTGCAATGAAAGTCCCCAGTCATGCTGGGATGGATGAATGGATGTGTGCATGCAACTGAAACTTAAATTGGGTGGCAGTTTGCACCACCTAGCCAGTGTTTATAATGGACAGCTAGCCTGTACATAGTATACAAAACGTTAAGCTTAAACACTTTATTAGGAATACAGTGCAATCTATTTATAACGATAATGAGAAAACTCGAAATTTCGATCGTTATAAACGATTATCGATGCATCTTGACTAGAAACTCTAAAAACTGGTTGTCATAAGCGGTACATCCTCATATGTGACATCGTTATAAGTGGATTGTACTGTTCTGCAAAAAATTACAATCCGTGTGACGGAAGCATGTCCTCACAACTGGGTGCACACACCCGACAAGTCAACGGGAAAAAAATAAAATCTTGTGTTTCACAGTGTCACCGCAGGGTGGCGCAAGCTGCTGCAAATATTTTAAAAAGACAAATTTATCTATCCAGGCGAGGCAGGTTCTGTTATTGTCGAGGTTCACATTTCAATATTACATAGCTTGCCATACTCTGAATGTAGCACCTGAGAAGCCCCAAAAAATTCATTGGAACGTGCATTTTAATCAATAAAATAGTTTTATGGGACTCGAGGTTGGGACGTAACAATTGAGAAATGCATCACCTGAGAATGTTTTGGTTTTTATCTGTGTACTTAACCTGGCTCACATTTACCTTCTCATTTTGGACTGGGCATTGTCATGCAGAGGATGTGAGCAGCATGCTTTCTTCTTTATTTATTTCTAATTTAAAGTATATGTTAGCACTGCTGCTTCTCGTTATTCTTTTTCGCACACATTGTAAACAAATTCATTCTCGTGTCATGGGGCGTTCTCTCAAAATGCTGGTCGTGAAAGGGCAGCTCATGAGGTGACGTGACATTAGAGTCACACGACACACACAGCGTGTGCACAGCTCGTTTGCAACACATTTCGTGCATATCCCAAGTTTATCAGATATGATCGAGACACGCTTAAATATTTTGGGGGAGAAATCCTCGCCATACGAATTGCTTGTGTGCCTACTACCAGTTTTACGAGCGTACTTCGTATCTGCTTCACTGTATCTTTATGCGAGTAAAGGTGTTACACCGTATCATACTCTACTCACCAGCTACAAGCAGCAGGTGGACGAGCGCTACCGGGAGTACTACGCCCGGCTGGGCTACGACCCGGCTTACCTGGACCGGCTGAGTGTGCACTCTGGCCGGAGCTCGGCCAACGAAGACTCACGCAGGGACGAGAGCTTCTGCAGCAACACGGAGGACGACTGCGACCCCTCCATCCTGGACGGATACACGGAGTCCACACGGCTCCACGAAGGTTTGCTCTGGCTCTTATTTGCTCCGGTCGCTATGGGGATTGTTGCAAACGAGAAACGCGTACAGGCCCGTTTGTACAGTGCTGTCTGCTCGCGTTGTGTTACGTTACGGACCCTTGCTTCTGCTTACATTGAGAGTCATTGGTACACGTGTGCTTTGTACGAAACGTAGCAACTAGTTTGAGGGGCAGCTTTATATGAAACATGGGAAGGTGTCTGTGAGGTTTTGTTGCGAATTTGTGAGGATTTTGACGAAGCTGACATGACAACGACATGTCCAGAAGTTCTGACAATGACTAGGTTTTAAGGCTAAAGCCTTACTTGTCCCATTGAGCGGAAAAGTGTAGAAAAAGCCGATAAAAAGGCGATTGCGCGGTGTGCGTCACTCAATGGGCGACCCTATTTGTCCCATTACCTTGGCGTTGTCCTTGCGGTCATCCTAGAAGTCGTCTTAGACCTCTAGGACGGCCTCACTTGTCGCATTACATAAAAAAACAAGCAGCAGCTGCATTGTGCCCGAAAGATGGTTATAAAAATATGTCGTCAGTTTGACGTCATCAAGCATCATCATACGTCATCAGCGTGATGTCATTGCCGGAGCGCAAAAGGTGCGTTTCAGACTTCATCTCTGCTCATTGCGTGCTTCATGCAATGGACTGTGAGGCGACCGCATCTACATCTACAGGCTCAGCATTGGCAGCGGCGTGTACATCTACAGCGGCTTCCGCAGGCAAACGTGGGTGCCCACGTAAATACGCCACAGCCACCTTAAGTGTCCTCCACCTCTAGTCATCGTTCTCGACGTCCTCTAGGCGTCATTCTTAACGTCGTCCTTAAGGTCGTTCTAGAGGTCATCCTAGACGTCCTCTTTGACATTGTCGCTTAAGTGTACTCGCATAATGTTTTGCCATAGCGCTGCGATTTAGCTGAGTGCTGTAAATAAAGATTTGTTTCTTTTTCCAAAACTTTCTTCTCTTTTTTAAAAAAAAACAATAAAAAAAAAACTTCAATTTTTTTTTTTTTTTTTTTTTAATCTTGACTAGTTTATAATGTAATGACATTGACCTATATCTGTGGTCGACCTATACTCATGTAAAGTACAATTAGATACTTGCTGAACATCATCGAGAATCACTAAATCAGTCAGTTTTGGAGGGACTTCAAGCATGTGGAAAGCACGGGACGCCGAAGTTACAACTCATGCAGCAAGATCTGGATATCTTGACAACGTATAACAGTGGTGCAGCCACTGGCTGACGACACTGAACTCTAACAAATGTTAACTCTCCCCTCTACATCGCCTCCGCAACCCCCATGTCTTCGCTTTTGCTGTCGCCGTCATCCTTGTTGAACTAATGGAATCCTATAAAGAGCTTGGTGTCTCCCCTTGCGGCGATTTATCGTGGCACATGCATATCATAAACATCACCGCATCTGCAAACGGAGCACTCGGATTCCTGGAGTGTCATATGTTCCGCCCCAACACATAAAACTATTGGCCTACAAATCACTCGTGAAATCAAAGCTAGAATATGCATCTTCTATCTGGAGCCCACGTCTGGTCTTATTTGGTAATGCAATCAAAGTTGTACAAAATTGCACCGTCAGGTTCAAGATTTCTTCATAGAATCGTACGAGATCAGCACATGTCATCACTGAAACGTGAATCAGGCCTATCAAATCTTTAGTGTCCTGGCAGAATCACTAGCCTCTGTTTATTCTGCAAGTCTTGCTATTCTCCTCTCCCCCATGCACCGTACATTGTACCTCCTACATGCATGTCGCAGCGCTCTGGCCATGCACTTCAAGTCTTGTTCATGCACCCGCACAACTACCTTCCTCACCTCAGTTTTCCCGTACAGCTTTGAATTGGATGGGCCTTTCCCACCAGATCACTACCATCATCTGCCTATCAATCTTCATGGAAAACGTAACCCATCATCTATTACAATGATCTGTGGCACTAAAGGTGCACTAAAGACATTTTTGAGATTGTCTGTTCTTGGTGATAACTTATCTGACGGGCTCCAAGCATTCTAGAAATCCAAAAATTATGCTTGTGTGACGTCCATTTCCCTAGTAAAAGTATAATTGAAGTTTGTGCCACGCCCCTTTCTGAGCGGAAAAATCTGGAGTGCAGAATCCAGCGGAGGCGCCGGCGGCATGACGACGGGCACACGTCAGCCAGTTGCAAGCCGCCTCTTGGAAAGGCAGCTTGCCATTGGCTAACATGCCCGTTGTCTTACCGCCGGCGTCTTCACTAAATTCTGTGCTCCAGGTCTTTCCGCTTAGAAAGGGGCGTGGCACAAACTTCAGTCACATTTTTAATAGGAAAAAGAACGTCGCACAAGCATAACTTTTTCATTTCTGGGATGCTAGGATCCCATAGAATGAGTTATCACCAAGAACAGACAATCTCAAAAACGTCTTTAGTGCCCCTTTAATGATTCCTCTCTTCTTGTAACCACCCCTTATGTAATACCCCCCTGGGTCTTTAAGCTAATAAAGTGATTGTGATTGTCATTATTATTATTATTATTATTATGAATATGATCATCATCCACATTTTCTCACCGTCAGCTTTGTGCTTGTTGCATAGGTGTTAACTTTTGTGCACACCTGTGCTTCTCATTTGCTCAAAATATTCCTAAAAATTACTGATATACAGTCGACTCCCGTTAAGGCGAACTCGCTTAAGTGGAATTCTCGGATATGCTGAACATAGTAAGAACATGTAACTGGTTTCCCATAGACGCAATGCAAAAAAAAAATTGTTTAACACAAACCGCTTTGCGTGCACATTTTGGTTAACTTTAACTTTCATAGGTCCCCTTCGCAATGGCACTGCACCGACGGCGACGCCGCGCATTGCGCCGGCCGAGGTGTATGTCAGATGTATCTGCATCTGATGAAACTGTACTGTACTACCAGCCTCTTCCCGAGAAAACGCTGTCGTTTGCTGGCGACGTGGGCACCGGAGGCAAGCACAGCAAGCTGCGAATTACCGTGCTTGTTTGTGCTAATATGAGCAGGACTGACAAGCTCCGACTTCTAGTAATGGGCAAGGCCAAGTCTCCATGCTGCTTCAAGAACGGGAAAACTTTGCCGATGAGCTATACGGCCAACTCCAAGTCGTGGATTACCCAAGCACTCTTTGAGCAGTGGCTGCCTGAGGTGAATCGCCGCTTTGTAAAAGAAAAGAGGAAGGCCCTTTTCCTTGTCGATAACTGTCCCGGGCACGGGAAGGTCGGCGGACTTTCAGCTATCCGGCTCGAGTTCTTGCCCTCAAACACTAAGGCAAAACTGCAGCCCATGGACCAAGGGTTAATCAGTTCTCTGAAGAGGCACTATCGACGATCGCTGCTTCAACGAATGCTTCTGTGCTTGGAAAATGTCAAAGGGTACTCGGTGAATCTCTTGAGTGCCCTCCATCTTCTGTCTCATGCCTGGGATCAGGTCGCTGAAGCTACAATTGCAAACTGCTTCCACCATGCGGAAGTTCTAAAGCAGAGCTACTCACTAGAAGCCCCATGTGAAGGTGAGGACTTGTCGGAGAACACTGACCCAGAGGACGCCTGCCTAACTTCCTCATTGAACTGTAGCGTTGTTTCGTTGTACATAGCGGCATACATTGCTTTTGATGACTCTGTGGCTACTTGCAGAGCAGATAGTATCGAAACTTTGATTGAACGAGTGTTTGAGCCGCTAACAAACGCCGATGATGACAAAGACGACAGTGAAGATGTTGCCCCAGAAGCACCACCAGTGACATTTGATGCAGCAGATGCTGCTGTAAGTGTGCTACTGGCAGTTCTTCCAGGAACAGGAAAGTTGTGAAGGTTTTCTCAGGAACATTGGCCACATGTCATCTTTCATTTCTATACACCGATTTGCACAGAGGAGGAGGGGGTCAAAAATCACCGAATAGATCAGTTCCCCCATCAGTGGTCTGTGAAACATTTTTTTTTTCTTCTTTTGGCATGGTAAGCCAAATAAATGTCCCTTTTTAAGTATTTCTTCATTGTAGACCTTTTCATTCTGTGTTTATTGGTTAGCAGCAATTTAGACATGCTCGGCATTATAATTAGGGCACTTCTGTTAAGACAAACATCTGATAAGTCGAACAAATTTTCAGGGTCCCTTCGGGTTCGTCTTAAATGGAGACTACTGTTGCGGTTTTTAATGGTGCTCAGCAAGTTTTTAATTGGAAAGAGTCTGGAGTGTCTTTTAGTTTGTTTTTAAGCCTTGTGTGATTTGCTTCCTCCCCGCAGTGTCTGGCGAAAGGGTGGCCCGTGCGCAGGAGATGAAGAAGTTCTCGCGGCCACACCCCCTGGCCCGCTTCTCCGGGGCCAACGGCCTCCTCAAGCTCATTCCATCCACCAGCACCTCCTTGCCACCCCCCTTGGAGCTGCACGATCTCAGGGTGAGGACCCACCTTTTTGCAAAACCTTCGCTCTACGGGCCTTGTTTGGGACCTTGCCCAAACGCCAAAAAAACTGCTTTCTTCTTAGTTTGGCAGCAAAAATGAAATGTAACAAGCTCTCTTTATTCTGCTCTGTTGCTGCGGGCACTGAAGTTGAAGTGTAGTGTGTTCGTTCTCGATCAAGAGGAGATTCAGACCGGTTTTGTTTACGTTTTGAAGTTGACATCCAGTTATTGCTCAATTTGAATGAGATAAGAAAGTTGTTTAGTAAAGAAGTGGAACTAGTTTCCACATGGTTACCAGTGGGAGATTGCCGCAGAATTTGGCCGAGACTGTCACCACCCTTGGCGGGAGTATCTGAACGATGTACTGTAAGATCCCAGAAGTATGCCGCCCCCTGAGAGATCGCCTACCCCGTTGTTCTGTCTAATTTTCCATAACATAAAATTTCTAAAGCATCGCCCCCGCCCCCCCTATCGGACGTTACGCGATGTTCGATGGGAATCACATCAACCGCGTGACCTGTGGTACTGGTATATCTGACAAGCGAGTTTGTAGCAGGTTCCCGGATTTTTGTCCATGATCTATGTGCACAATATTGGTTTCCGTAACACTTGAGTTCTTCCCACATGTATATTACATTGTGTGATGCGAATCTGCTGCGTCCGCGATCTGCAGTGTCCGTTACCATGACACGCAAGTTTGTAGCGTATTACCGCGTTTTTGTCCTCGATCTGCGCGCGCGATATCGGTTCCCGTGAAAGCAAATTTGTATTGGGTTCCTGCATGTTTCTTTGCGCCGTGAAACTTGAATCTGCTGCGTTAGCGATCTGCAGTATTCATTCCAGTGGGGTGCGAGTTGGCGGCTAATTTTGTGGGTCCTTCACACCATGAAACACGATTTTGCTGTGTCCGGAACGTGAGGTATCTTTACCCACAACACAGGACTTCGTTGCAAATTCTTGTATGTTTATCGCTTCGTGAAATGCGAATTTGCCGTGTTTGAGATCTGCGGTATCGGTTTTCGTGTCCTGTGGTGTAGCAGGTGCCCAGGTGTTTATCACTAATTTTTGATAAAGTTTTCCCGTGGTACACCTAAAGATAGCCCATCCCATATTTTTCACCATTGATCTCCTCATGTTTGGTGAGCGTTCTAGCGGGATTTTGCGGTAGCCTCTTTTCAGTTAAGGGGAGACACTGCCCAGAAAAAAACATTTCTGCAAAAAAAGCTGATTTTGAAAAATTACATCTTTACATCCACCAACATCTAGAGAGTATTCCAAAAAAGTTTCATTAATTTTCACTGTATAGTTAATTGTTTATAAATTATTTTCTGTCCACCAAAGCTATAGAAAAGGTAGGGTTTGGAGCACTTTGAACACATTTTTCTCCGTTCCACTTTTTGGTATAAATTCCATTTTAGTCAATCTATCATTTGATAATGGCAAAGCACGGAAAGCTCATTCTTCCCTTTTCCTGACTGAAATTTAATAACGAGTGCGGCTATGGAACTTTTTTGTCACTTTACGGATGTCTTTTGTAAAAAATGTTGACATTTTGTCGAAGGCACAGAAGACCAAAAAGTTGACCAATTTTGCAGAAGAGAAAATTTATAGAAATGAATTACTTTTTAGAAAACATTTTCCATAGCCGCACCCTCTAGGCATTCTGCTACATATCTAGCAAATAAAAATCTTTAATATCGCAATAGTTTTCTGACGATAGATTAACTAAACAATGTAGGCGTGTTGCTGGTAAAAGCTACTCTAATTTCCTTCTCACCTACCTGAGAGACCTGAAATTTTGTTATACACCCTCTAGCATGACCACCAGCCTACCCTGTAAATTTCATTAATTTTAAGACAAGGGTTCAAAAGTTGACCCCGCTAGGGGGTGTGCCCCCTTAAATGTAAACTTGGCATCTGATGATCATGGTTTCCTAGAGCTGATGAAACTTGTTTGGTCTTTGTTGCCTGCAGCACATTCTTCAGAAGGATCCTCAGTTCAAGGAACTTCAAGCATTTCCTGGACCCCTCATAAGGTAAAACTACTCTCTGCATTGACAACACCGTGCATATTTGTACTAGGGCTATCCTACCTGGGCTCTTTGTTGGCAACCCCCGTGCTCCTGGTGTTTCCACTGAAGTCCAAGGAATGACAAGTGACTTGCAAGTTGTTGGCCCCATCTACTGAGCTATGATGTTGTGTATGTCTTAGCAGAAGACTAGAGGAGACTCTTGGCTTGCTCCTGCGAGCAACTATGAACAAGTCCCATATGTTTCACCTCTAGGAACATATTGCCTGTTTATTAAGACAAAAAGGAAACAGGTATGCCAGCAAAAATGCAATAAAGAAAACACTAAAAAGAAGAAAAATCTTTTTTTTTTTTTTTAAGTTTGAAAAGATTACAAATATTTAGGGGAGTGTGAATATGAAAATTTTCTAATAGAAATTGAATATGAATATAAAAAAAATAGCTTTGAACATTGAATACCTATGTTTCGAATATAAATGTACCACTAAGAAAACAAAGGAAATGCAAATTCCTTTTTATTACCTTTAAGTAAGTGATACTTCCTTTTATTACCTTCAGATTCAAGTAAATGAAACTACCTGACTAGGCAGCGTATAAACAATGCAGCTGGTAACGCAGCTATTATACCTTAGCTAGGTAGTAATTGCATGTCAACTGTACATGAAAGCAGGCAAAAGGTGCAAGTTCTACATATTGACAAAATGAAAAGTACAAAAGTGCACGTGACTAGATAGCATAAAAATGCAACCTGTATAGTTTTCATACACAAACAACTGGTAGTGACCTCTTTTAAGAATACATATAATTGAAGTTGCTCTTGACTAGCCTGCAAGTTAGATATCAGCTGCATGCATTCTTGGAAATTGTCATGCAAGAAAATTAATTGCTCCATTTGTTCAGTATATAAGCGCTCCCTTTCTCCCTTTTCGCAGTGGCAACTGCTCCTGCAGCAGGAAATACCCTAGTTCCTACAGCAGAAATTATTAGGTCGCTAGAAAAGTGGCTCACCGTGCAAGCTTGGCAAAATGAAAACCAAAACTGCTTTTTTGTTTTGAGTTAATACATACCTCCTTGGACGATTCTAATGGTATTTTTTTTTTCCAAAATCGGTGTTCCAAAATACATGCGCGTTATAATCGAAACCAAAAACCAAAACTCAAAAGAAAAACGCAATAAGGTGACTAGCCCCAACGCTATCGTGACTGTTTGTTTACATGTGCCATTTTGGTATCCGTATCGCGCCAATTTTCTCGCGTCTACGAACTCCTGTCTGCCATTAAGATGGAAAAACAAAAAAAATTCCACTAGGAGGTTTTATTTAAACGAATGGCCACCACACTGGTGGGAAAAGATAACGGACTAGCGCTGCATGGCCCTCCAATCTCGGCGACTTGACGAGCTGACAAAGTGGAAGACGACCCTCCCAGGGGCAATGGTCACACACTCATACTAGTGCAAAAAGCGCTGCACTTGAAATGTTCTAGACGAAGCAATGATTGCCTCTGTGGAGAACGAAGAACCATCGTTGAACTCCGACAACGACGACTAGTGCATGCTATTTATTTTTGTGTTGGTGTGTGTTTTATAAAATCTCTTCTATGAGGTGAGGTATGTGTTCAACCTTTATTACCTGCGTAGTAGAATCTGCAGCTTTTTACTTTCGGAATATCTGGGAGCTAAATCTGGCTGCGTGATGGATTTGGGTGTGTCTTAGAATTGTGCAAACATGGTAGTTTTATGTATAACGTAAATAACAAAGGTTTATAGAAAAATGGTTACAATACCTGCGATTTCAGGCGACTAAAGACGGCTTTTCAGAATGCTCTGAATGTTCAGGGCGTGTCCCATGCGTTGATTATTTCTCTATTTGCCCGAATATTCGGCCATAATCGAATATTTCGAAATTTCGGAATACATGATGCTGAAATCGAATACGAATCGAACAAGAAAAATGTTTGATTCTTATTCAAAATCTCGAAAATTCACACACCTCTAAAATATTACAAAATAATTTTTTTGCAAAAAGAGATTTTTTTTTGTAAATTTATTTACAGCACTAGACTTGTTTTAGTTTACAGCTTTCAAATGCAAGCACCAAAAATGGGTACATAATGTCACCACGTGTACATGCCAAGGGTAGTATTCTCATCCTCTCCTTCCCTGTCCTCCACATTGCAAAATCTTGCGCGAGACAGAAAAGTTTTAAAGAGCACTGAGGCACGCTAAAAATAGGTAAGGAGAGGAAAGGTAGCCAACGAGAATGCTGCCTTTGGCATTTACATGTGATGTTATGTAGCATTTTTCGGCACATGCATTTGAAAGCTGTAAACTAAAACAAGTCTAGCGCTGTAAATAATTTTACAAAAACTTTTTTTGTGCAAAATTTATCTTGAAATATTTGTAATTGTTCTAGGTTATTTAAAAAAAAGAAATTTATTTTCAGTATTTTTTTTTAATAGACTGCAGATGTTGCAGACAAAGCCAATAGGAGCAGTTGAATACTCCAGAAGATTTCATGGGTACCAGCACTATTTGTTTTCTCTGGGCATCCACTCCAACTAAGGGGCACAAATCAGGACAGTGAGGATGCCTTCTAACGTCGTAACTCTTTCCTTGTTTTGTGCGTAGAAGTCTCGTTCCATAGGATGTTATTTTTTTACCTGTTGCCTCGCGCGGGTTTTATGCTGCAGGACCGAGACTCACAAGAACGACGTGATCCAGTTCTGCACACAGAAGATCCAGTCATTTGCGGACAACCCCAGTCTCCCGGACAGGTCGTCGCACATCTTGCTCTGGGAGCTCCTCATCCTCATGCTTCGTCAGAACGGGGTGAGCCCGATGCAACATCTCTGCACGTGGCAAGGCTACGGCGCCTGGTCCTCGAGGGGTGTGTTTAGTGTCCTCTAGTGCAGGGGTTCTCAAACTGGGTTTTCCGGAACACAGGGGTTCCGCAAGCTGGCCTCATGGTGTTTCGCAAGCACCCAAATTGCAGTTCCCTTCTTCCCCCCCTCCGCCCTTAGTTTAACCTTCCATGGACTGAGATTGAGTTGGCGTTGCGGAAAAAGCAACCGCACCCTTCGCACTAATGTGTATATATATATTGTATTAGCACGAATATAACGCGACCATGAATATAACGTGAGGGCAAATTTTGATGCCCTTGAAAAAGAAAAAAAAAATCTTTTATAACGCAAGCCAATTTCTCGCACTCGGGGGCATAGCAGAAATGAAAAGTCAATGGAAATGGAAGAAATCAGTTTATGTTTTGACTGCACTCATCCTGACTGTTCAGGTCCTTCCGTTTACAATCCACTTGGCGACTACGCAGATAAACAGCACCATGGCACCGCTTGTCTGGTAGTTCCTTTTTCTTCCGCGTGAGCTCCTCGGCAGCCCACAATCCAAGCAAGGCACGAAGCAGAAGCACCAACACACAAACACCAGACCACTCTGGAGCATTAACTAAAAAATGCGCAGGCAGAAAAATACTGCTGAACCCGATACACGACCACACTTCTTGTTCTGGTCCCGCTGCATAAACAAACACTTCGTGTTGCACAATTGCGGAAACAGAGTTTGTGGTCTTGTCTTGACTTGACTTGGCTTGGCTTGGCTTGGCTTGGCTTGGCTCGGACTGGCCAGTGCCCGCCAACGTTATTAGATTACCTCAGTTGTGGAACTCTTGCGGAGGGGGTGCCCTCCCTCACTCACTTCAATCCGCCAGCCGTTGTTTGAAGCGCCATCTATATTTTCGTTTCGTAACTATGCGTTCCAAAGAGCCCAACTGAAGCGCTAAATGGCGATCACAACGCCGCCATTTATCCTGCAGCGGTCACTCGAGGAACTGCACGTAACATCTATTTTGGCTTCAATCGGCCATTTAGGAGCCGAAACAGATACAGTGGAAAGGGTTACAGGGATGTTACCCCCGCCTCCCCAGCAGACGCGCTGCGAATTAACCCCGAAGTTAAGATGAGCCTAGGTCGGGACGCGCTACCTGAATTCACCGCTGAGGCATGGTTGTATGAAAACAATATTAATTGTGCCACAAAACCTTGCAAACTAAAGATTTTAGAAAACATCACGTGCCCCTCCTTTTGTACTAAACTCCAATAAAAGTTACTACTAAAAGAGCTTTTTCCATTGGTTTTTACGTTTCTAGTAACATTGAAAGGTACATATCCTGATTCAGTTACCAAAGCAGCCGTCTGGCGGCACGTTGAGCGACGCTGGACGAGTTGTGGTGAGTGAGGGGGGGTACTGTTCGTGCATGCAGCGTCTATGAGCAGTTCAGTAACTGAGCTAATCTGATAACGTTGGTGCCCGCATTCCGGCCATAGAGGTCCCCACAGGGCATGGCGCGTGCGCTGAGTTTCTGTGGCTAATAAATTCCCTTCTACGTCCCCACTTCTTTTCCCACCGGATCTCCTGCATTGAGCAGGAAGGATGGCTTTCTCCTCTGGCTTTCTCCAGACTCGCGCGCCTCGTGACTGAACTGGGTTTCGAATATAACGCGAGGTGCGCTTTGGAGCACGTAGTCTCTGCCTTCTTATTCTGTCTGTAGTTCTCCATTTTGTTTTATTCTGTCAGTGCAATGAATTCTTGTTCACTATCTAAACACCTTAATTGCCGAGTATTATCGGTTGGCAACAAGCAGAGGGAGAAAAAACAACTTTTTTGTCAGCTCCGCGCCGACCGCGCGTCTTTGGCCGAATATATTGAATACTCGAGTGACCGAATACCAAGAATTTGATTTGTAGATCGAATTATTCGGGCACTTTCTATTCAATTTGAATTCGACTATTCGCACACCCCTACTTTTTGGCGATGTCCTATTTCTTCAAACCACTTCGGACGTCTTCCAGGATTCTTTCACTTTCAATGACGGGACTCCTCTTTTCGCTGTTGATGGTCCAGGTGAACCGGAGAATGGCATCATCCACAAAATCCGGGGACAGTCACGGTCGGCAGCGGTAGATTCGGTCGGGTAGAGTACATAGTCCTAGGGCGTGGCAAGCAGTCCGCATCTTTGCTGAGAGGTACTCTGGTGTAGTTCCATAGTCCGAGAGAGAAACAAGCGATGTGGTCGAGTCCGGATGGTGTGACGAGCGATTTAAGAGGAATGCATAGTCGGCAAGAAGCAGCAGAGGAATGCGAATATGCGCCCACATCGCCCCCATCACAAGAATGTGGGCAACGAGATGGGAAGACTCGGAACGGAAACGCTGAAAACCCGAAACGTGACGCGTGCAGCTGTGCATGTCTTGCGTGCAGCAGCTGGGAAGGCGAACTTGCCGAGCAGCGCGAGTTCCTCCCTCGCTCGGTCGAAGTGTGGCGGGCGCATTGGTTGCGTCATCGGTGCACAGCCATTTTAGTTTCTAGAAGTATGCACTCGCTGGTCTAGCAGAAAACGGACAGAGGGTCTTGAGTAGCCTCGAGCTTTATTTATTTTCATTTTTAGTGGATGGAGCTCGCAAACCAAGTGGACGGAAAAAAAAAAAAGAAAAAGGAACGCGCGCTGTACACGTTTTGGTTGATTGCAACTTCAGCATGCGACTTTACCAATGGTATAAATTTTTCCACACGCTTTTTCTAAGATTACAGAACTTGTCATTCCAACCGCTTGCATTCGTTTGTTAGCATATCAGTCGCCCTGAATGCAAATGTGTGAACATGCCTTATGGTGTATGAGCTATGTGAATGCGGCTTAAAGCTCTCGTACGAGACACACTTTGTGATGCCAGACCGCTTCTTCCCTCGACCCAGTTTGTCTCTGGGTCGGACATCTCGGAGCTCCTGCTCCGTGGACACGAGATCCTGGAGCAGTCTTCCCTTGGGGCCCATCGCCCCGGGGTCGGCGGGGACGGAGCACCCAAAGTCGCCGGCAGTCCCCCAACAGAGGAGGCGGAAGAGAGCAGTCCGTCGCCGGACGAAGGCATCGTGGTGGCGCAAGACCGGACGGTCCTCGGCACCGGGGGCACCCAAGTGCTCGCCAAGTTCAGGGAGTTCCTCCTCTTTGGCCACAAAAAGGTGAGCACTCGTTCGGCACAGCGGTTGTTGTACCATTGTGTGACGCTAGGGCCCACGAGCGTTTTAAGGGAGGAGGTGGGGAATAAATATGAAATTTCTTATTTCTAGAGATATCTGAACGAAATTTACAGAATATGTTTATAGCACAGACATAAGAGTAACTGCAAAGTTTCATGGAGCTGTGCATATTATTTCTCAAGTTACAAATATTTATCAAAATCGTCCATATGCATTCCTTATCCCAGGTCTGGAGAATTTTAAAAAGGTAGTAGCGGCGTAAAATTTGTTATGATGACCCCTGGATAGGTTCCCCAGGGCATAACAGAGCCCTTTTTCTTAAATTTCCTTGTTGAAAATTTTTAACGCAACTTTGAATTTTGTGTAGTCAATGAAACCCACATTCACCAAATTTCATTTTTTTATTATAAATTTTTAGTACAGCTTTCTAAAGAAAAGGGCTCTGTTATGCCCTCACAAAGTTATTAGAGAACAGAATAAAAAAGACAGCACAAAAATCCATTCATCAGTTCCTGAGATATCGCTGGGACGAGCAGCCACGACAGTGAAAAAATTCATTCTGAGAAAACAGCACTTGAAAGTTGCACGCAGATTTTCAGCTTTAGAATGACCCTGCGGAATAGTCAGAAGTGTTCTTGCGCACTTTCTTCTTGTTCCGCCTTTCCAAATTCTCTTGATGTCGTTTGCTGGCCTTATGCAGACGTAGGGCATCTTTCTCGGCAGCTCGTTGGAGGGCTAGATGGGTCGGCTGAAGTCCCACTGCAACCGATATTTCTGCAGTTGCCTTGTAGCAGCCGGCATTGAACCTCAACACCGCTTCATGCAGTGCAGTTTGCTGGCATAGCTCCAAGTTCGGCTTGAGCAATATCACAATGTCTAGCTTCTGCTTCGATCTCCTCACGTGTCAGGAAATGCGTCCGCAGATGGGAGCTAGAAGACGCGCTCCTACTTGTCGCGGCAGGCGGAAGACGGGCGCTGGGACCCGCGATCTCGGGAGAAACCACAACGGTCGGCATGCTCGGTACTCCAGGCGTGAGCGGGGCGATGCGTTCTTCCTCGACGACAGCCGATGGCACAGAGAATCCATCACTGGAAGTGTTGACGCGATCATCATTGACGGCACGCCGTGCAGAAACTTCTAACTTCGCCTTCCGCGCGCCAAACGCGTGCACCGTCTTGTACTTCGAACCCCGCATCGTGTGCGACCACGAAACAGACGGGCACGCTACACGAAACTACTCAAAGAAAGTTCGGAAAACGATCGTAAAGATGGCGAAAAACGAAGTGGAGCTGACAAAGCAAGAGCGCGTGCAAGCAGACCACTACCAAAAGCAGACGACGCAAGCGGCAACAGCAGGAGAAACGGAGGAGGAAAGCGCTCCGCGCGCGGAGAAATCGCGTCCCAGCCAATAGCAGTCGCGCGCTCCCCCGCACGCTCCTCGAGCGCGCGCTCTGTCCAATCGCGTTCTTGCGATTGCGACATGGAAGAACGGCGACCACGCCGTAACCACGCGGCCGACGCCATTTTGGGAGCTGGCAAAAAAAAAAAAGAGAAAGAATTCACGTTCAAAACAAGACTAAGATGGCGGCCGTCGGCCCAACGCGTCGAAAATGGTGAGCGCGCAAAGTTGGGGTTGATTTTGACGTTTGACCGTCACTTGGATGCTATTCAGGCCTCGTAAATAATTGTTTTTAAATATTTCCCCGTTGTATTTGGTGCTGATAATTACAGAGAAGGTAGTTTATGAGATATACAACCGAAAAATAAGGTTTTCTAAAAATCGACTTTTTCGCGATTTTCTGGTTTTCAAAGCCCGCGTCCCCCCTTAAAGGAACTGTGGGGATCTGCACCAACAGCTCCCAGGCCGTGTTCTTAGATCTGCTCAATCTCTCGCCAGAGTGAAGGTTTCATACCTTGGCGTTCGTAAACCTACTGGCGTCCAGCATCGCTCTACGACGAACGAATTAAGCGTTGATTCTGAGAGCACTAGTTAGACAAAGTGAAAAGTCTTTCTTGGTTCCTTCGAACCAATTAAATGGTTGAGACGATTGCAAACTGTGCGCTTCCAGAAGGGGATGGACGTGACTTCTCTGGCATTTTCAGGATGCCCTGGACTGGGCGGTGAAGCAGTCTCTGTGGGGCCATGCCCTGTCCCTGGCGTCGAAGATGGACGCCCGTACTTACGCCAGCATCATGACCCGCTTCACCAACTCCCTGGCGGTCAACGACCCCCTCCAGACCCTCTACCAGCACATGTCGGGCAGGCAGCCGGCTGCAGTCACTGTGAGTTCGCAACGCTCGGCGCTCCGTTTTCTCTTCGAGCACCATTTCTCAGGTTCCACGAACAAGAGAGTGGCACGACGAGACCAATATAAAATATTGACGTCTCCCTGTTTGGGCACTCGAAACTCGCTGCACAACTGATCATATTTATTTGAAAACAGGTTGACCTTTTTATGAACAGATCCGTGTGCGTTCTTTCCCGCAGGACCCGCAGAAACCAATCATTAAGACTTACGAAAGGAGCCGGCGAACGGCGAAACAGAAATCACTTTTCGAATAAAAAAAAAAAAAAAAATCGCATTCCACACAGATCTTATTTCTGCGTTTCAAAATTATTGGTGCCTCGTCGTTCGCCGAGCCTCTTTTGTAAATTGCAATGATTGGCTCTTCTTGAGCGTTGCAGGTATATACACGCGCAGGTATCGATCATAAAGAGGTCGACCTATTTTCGAATAAATACGGTGAACCAAATTGTCATTTTATCATTCGTGTTTGGTGGTCGAGATTGTTAGTGTGTCGCAGCGCGGAGCGGTAAAGCGGTAAAGGATCCCGAGATTCCTGGATCCCGTTGCTTGTGCAACGGGATCCAGGAATCTCGGGATCAATCCCCACCCCTGCCCGTTTCGATCTGGATGAGCGTCGCACTGGTGTGCAGCCGTGTGTCGCTACTGTGTGATGCATGTGGAAGACCACAGGCTAGTGGTCTTACTGCACTGGACAAATTTCTTATTTACCATGTCTAGCGGCGGCGTCATACTGTGGCATACTGAGGACACGCTGTTCGAACACATATTGTCCGATTTCCTTTTGTACATTGTTTGTGAACTGTTTGATTTTCTTTTATATTTTTATGGGCAGTTAAAGCCAGCTACTCAGGATATTATTGATGCTGTTCTATTTTGATGCGCGATGGTTGCTGTGGGTCACCGGTGCCGGGTTTTCATTTGTAAATGGAGGTCTGACGAATCGCCATAGACCGCTTCAATGAAGGGCCTCTAGCCGATGCCACTTGCGGTGTTTGGGTGTATGCATGTGCGAGCATTCTTTCTAAAGTGACCAACACGCGCGTGCCGGGCTGTTTGCATTGAATGCCGAGCGGTGACCTCGTAGACATTGAAATAGCCTATATAGACTGCAGAATTTGCCTACAAAATCGGGCTTGTGTCTTTATTTCTGATATGGAGCTTTGTGCTCGCTTTCAAGTGAAACAGCCGAGGTTCCAGGTAACCAGAGGCCGTACGTACCCCACCCCCCTCTGGTTAACCCCTAAATCTATCTGTTTGTAAATTTCCAGTTCCATTAATCGATCCTTTACATAAATGTTTTCTAAACGATCAAGGAATCTAACGTAGGCCGAACTCTGGAAGCGGGCGACGCTAGCGTGTCACTGTTAGTTATGAACGGCTGTTTGCATCTGCTAACGTGTCTCGCCCTCGTGGTCCCGTGTACAGTGCATCGCCGACGAGAAGTGGGGCGACTGGCGGCCACACCTGGCCATGATCCTGTCGAACCCGTCCTCGCGGCCGGAGGTGGATGCCCGCAGCATCACCACTCTGGGAGACGTCCTGGGTAAGCACAATTCTGGTGGTCGGCGAGCTCGGAACCTTCGTATCCGTGCCCTCGATTTTTGTTTTGTCGACCAAAGGACGAACTCTCTCACTTTGGTTCACAAACGGTCTAGGGATTTTTGGATAGCCTAATACCTCGAAAAACAGCCCACCCGCACTGAGGGCAGGTGTGGTGGAAAAACCTACTGTTTGGTATGCAACGCACCCCACACAAAAAGTTGTGGTGGCTTAGCTCGGCTGTGCCAGGATACACGTAGCATGAGCTTATGCGCACAAAATGAGAGGCACTACCAAGCGGCTCCGGTGCAGCGTCAGACTTAACTACTGCACAACCGAGGCGCACAGCTGGGCACGCGGCGGCGCCGGTGCGTCTGCCGCTGCTATGACGTCACTCCTCTGGAATGCGCAGACCAACGAGGCAAACACGGCGGCAGCGGAGCGTGCGGCGGCGGCGGCTTCGACGTGCCAGCTGTGCGCCGTGTGACGTCACTGCTCCTCGCGCAGCACGGAGCACGGCTCATTATGCGAGCCGCGCGAAACTGCTCAACCTCGGCCAGTGTAACTCACGCTATAAAAGGAGTTAAGGAAAATGCTCTTCCGCTCATGCCTACACTAGCCGCCCCAACCCTGGTACAAGTATTATATTAGTATTCGGGTGACAAGGGAAGAACCGTTTACTCAGTCGTTTCCCAAGCTATCAAAGGAATGGATGCTATTAGTGTGGGAGCCTGTGCTTCCCACCCCATTGCAATATTCGCCGATCCCAAGTGGCACGATTTTCTTTTCAAGAAAACAAAATTGGACACTGAATAAAGGTAGGCTGTCACTCGGATTATCGTTACAGCAAGCAAATTTATTGTTTTGGAGCGACAGCTGCTAGTGAAAGCCTCCCAGGAGAAATCGCACAATCATTCTTCGCGAAAACTCGCGGTGACGTCGTCAATCGCACGATAGCTCCCAGCCACCGCTGCCGAGTTTATACAAAATCAAAATTGGCTACGACTCAAACCAGCAACCTACGGATGGCAACAACCGTTCCTTCTATAAACAATCGCTCTACCGACTGAGCTACCGACAGGACAAATTTCGGTAGATAGGGCTGTACACATTCCGTTTCTTTCCACCTTGCAGCGCAGCGCTTGGGCGTCTCGTGAGCTGCGAGCATGCACGCGATGCAAGAGGAGGGCAAAAGACATTGAGCACATGCTGGAGGCGTCCGAAAGAGACGCCCCTACATTGTCACTTTGTCGGTGACTAGGGCACGTTGCTATAGGGGGCAACATTTTTACAAGGTCCACGCAAGAGCGGTCCTTCTCTATTTGCTGCACGCGAGCAGTTAGGGGTAAATAGCATTCCCAGTGCCACTGCGCCGCTCCCGCAGGCAACGAGGAACGGCCGTTTTTGGATGGCGCTCTTTGTGCATAAACATTACGTTCATCGTAAAAACTGCTGTGGAATCGCTTTTAGTCGTGGGCAATGTGCACCCGAGGTTCCACTGGCGGCGTCGCTTCTTTCCCTGTGGGCTGGGCCAATAGCGCCGCGAGCGCCGCCAAAAGGACGCGCCTGCAAAGGCTCCGGACGTTCTAGGAAGCTTGTCATCACTCCGTTGTGCCTGCACGTGCGCGCGAGCATCCGAGCAGACGATACAGTTACGGTGTGCTGCGGAGGCTCGTTGCAGACGAGGGACAGATGAAGCATGAGAGCAAAAGCGAAATGGCACAAAAATCCTTACAACCATGCTTGAGAGGCGGTGCAGAAACGACAGTGGCACCACAACGATGGCGAATGATACAAATGCTGAGCTACTGTTGCTGCAATGGATGTTACGCGTTTACGTAAATGCACTCTTATATTTATTTGGTTGCGATGACTTTGTGTCGTTGCTTTATATATTTAAGTTTTGTACATAACTCAGCAAAATCTTGCTGCTTAACCCTATTGCATCAAGTCCCGCTGTGATGTCTCTGACTCTAAGTTTCGCTTGTTTAGGCTTTTGTTAAAACATTCGTAGTTGAATGTGAAGTGTGCGCCATTGCAAGTTCTCTGAAGCTTGTCCCTTGCATGTAAAAATAGACCAATCGATAAAAGGCACCCTTTCTCACCCACAATAAGTGAAAAAGTAATAGCGATAGCTGTAACACAATGGTGCAAAGTGGTCTTGTCGTGTGCCAACCCAAAGACGGAGGTGCAAAGTGGTTAATGCACATTGCCGTCGTGGTTGGCGTCGTGGATGCCACAGACAAGTGCCACGAGCTCTGGGTGATAGATGAAGTAGGTGGACGAGGCGAGACGCTGGATGCACGTGTCAACGTTCTTTGTAAGCATGAGGTCATCGGTGGTGCCGGCGCGCATTGTCTATGCGCGGACATCGAACACCGCGCAAAGACCCAGTTCCGCCACAACAAGGCGGTGGAACCACTCGCTCTTGCGGCCGCCAGGGTCGACGTTGAAGTCGCCGGTTACGATGAGTGGGACGTTGTTGCGGCACAGAGCTCGGAATCAGCGAAGCATGAGATCAGTGAAACGGGTGTTGAGGGTTGGCCACGTCGAAGGTATTTGCCACAGGGCCCGCTAAAGCCAGCTGTTCCCTCCGTGCTCCCTCCTAAAATGAAGTACACCCTCGGCGCGGCAGCGCCGTTAGGAAGAGCCTGCGGCAGTGACAGCAAAGGCGCAGGTTTCCTTGTTGTTCTTGAGCAATGAAGGGAGGGTGTAGTGTTGACGTTCAGCAATAAGTGAAGAGGAGGATGCATAACCTTTCCTCTTCGCACGGCGCAGCCGTGGTGCACGCAACCAATGTGAACACCCGATTTCCCTCCGCGCGCCATGGGGCGAGATTAAAAGGGTTTTTCCATCTCCGGTCTGACGACGGACAGCCACAAACACCGACTCTGAAATCCGCGCAATGTGTCACCCGAAAAGCTATCGCTTGAAGTGGAAATATATCCGCAGTGTGCCTAAACATCTGTGTTTTGATGTGCCTACGTCGGGTGGTGCAAGCATTTAGCCAGTATCTAAATAAAGCTACTCTGTAGTACTTTGGCACAAACTCGCTCGTATGCTGACTGTGTTTTGTAGCTGATCCAGCCGACAGAAATAACTGGAAGCAACCTTACATTTGACTTCTAAAACATAACATGGCTGTTCTGATATGGGCTTTGGTTGGATAAGCTTTGTATATTTTGCATCATCTTTAAGTATATTAAACTGAAGCATGTGCCAAGCCATTGTTTGATAGCGTGGTGATGTGGTCAGCCCAGACACTTGCGTCACCTGCATTGGTTGTATTGCCAGCATGTATGATTTACTGTAAACCTAAAGTCAGCCATGTGACAGTCAATCTTAAAAATAAATTAATTGACCATTGCATAAAGTGAAAGTATGCAAGCTAGCTGGTTATGGTTAGGAAAGATCATAATCTAAACATTGACGCACTGAGAAATGAAATGAATAAAATACAATCAAATCATCTTGTTCATCATTTTATTTTTCTGTGTCTCCGAGTTTAAATTAAGAATTGACCATGTTGCTTTTGGTTGCAATTGCAGATGTAGGGGAATGCGGGCTTTTACTTTGGATCGCTTATGCATATAGGAACAAGTCCTTACATCATTTGTCACATGGTGCATAGCATGCGGTTATCCCGGTGACTAGCTGTCATTTTAGTTACTGTCTGAACTTGTCTCTAGTTTCTTCACGTCGGTTGTATGGCATCTCTCCGAGCTTGTTTGACTCTGTTTGCCTCGAGGACGGCCGGAGGAACCGCTCGACGTTCAAGCTGGATGGACTCCAATGTGTGGCTTGTGTTGTCTGTGCAGCAAGCAAGGGGTGTCTGTCTGCCTCCCACTTCTGCTACCTCATGGCCCAAGTGGAGTTTGGCTCCTTTGCCTGCAAGTCGAGCAAGATGGTGCTTCTTGGATCCAGTCACATGTGAGGGCACCCCTCACTCCTTCCACAGCCCTGCTGACGATGATCCTTCCTACCTAATATCCTGAGAGATGCCCCTGCCCCAAAACATAGCCCACCCCTATTTTGGCTTGATTTGCTATTTATTTTGAATGCCGAAAGATAGCCCACTCCCAGTAATCGTAGTGTTTGGATCAATGATGACCTCGGCATAAGTGCGGCTAGTTAGCTATGGCAGTACAGAAGCGAGCTTTGCTGACTGGGAGTTAGTCATCTTTGCTTCATTGTCTCTCGCCGCAATAACAACTTTGGCAGGAAGACATGATCTAAAAGTACCCTAATATCCTGAGAGATAGCCCACCTAAAATCGGGAACAAAATTGAGTGCAACCAAGAAATGTTTAAAAATCTTATTTTTATACCATATGTTCCTATTGCGGCGAGCAGCGGCGAAACAATGCTAATGATACTTCCCAGTCAGCATTGTTCGCTTACCGTAAAATACCGAGCAAAGCGCCCACTCAAAATTTGAAGATAATTGCAAAAAAATAGTGGATGGGTGCATGTGAGGTCATCACTTTCACATATATATGTACCGTGCATATTTTTTTCAGATGTTTCAAATTTTGGGGGTGGGCACTTAGTGTGGAATTGGCGGATGCACGGTATTCTACAGTATACACGAACTCGTCTCTATTACATCACGGCGCGATGGTGGCGCGTCAAACGCACTTCCGGTCCGAGGCTGTGGGCGGAAGTGCCCATTTGAGACGTGCATACCTGCGTTGTTTTGAAAGGAACCAGACAAAAACCTGCCTTCTTGTCAAAATGCTGCGACTGGGCTGTAGCAAAAGGGTCGAGAAAGGTTTGAAGGTCAGTTTTCATGCGCTCGGTTCGTCCGAGAACATGGATATGTGCCGTGAAAAGGGAAAACCAGACGCCGTCGGACCACGATTGCTTGGGCGGGAAGCATTTTGGGTTGAATTCACGGATACTTATGGCCATCAGATTTATTTGTTTTGTTCCAAAATGAACGCCGGAAAACCGTCAAGTTGTACGGACCACCTGCAGACTACGTTCAGTGCGTCTTCAAGTTCGAACGGTCGCCTGATCGTTCGAACTGTCGTCTGCTCTTTCAAACGTTTCTGCTTGTCGTCTGCTCTTTTAGAGGACACCGGCCCATAGACCAAACGTGGGCCCGGTACTTGCGATAAGAAGTAAGTGCAGGCCTCAAAAGACTTAAGTTTGAAGGTTGGTAAGCAGGCTCGATGTAAACAGTAGATACAAGGAGATGTTAATCATTGTTACCAGTGGCCATCACCGACTTGTTATGCCGGATCCACTTGGTTAGATTCTGCTTGCGATTTTCAGTATCGACGTCGACCATCTCAGCTACGGTTCACGCTTTTGCAGTCCAAGCGACGTCGCTACTGAAAATTGCGAAGGAAATTTCATCATGTGAATCTTAGCGTACGTTCTGCGGCGTCCACGCGGAATGAATCGCTGCATGTCAGATTATTCACGCGAAGTTTTGCGGTGTAACGAGCCTCGTTAATTTCGCTGACGCCGCTCAAGTAGTCAGACATCGTTAGGAGGACGTAGAATCAACAATTGCAATGCGAAAAAGATAGCGGGGACTCACACCGACGCCGACAACATCGCATTTCAATGGTTTGATTATGGGCGACGGCGAGCTTCTTGCCCACACCCCCATCGCGCATACGCGGCGCCGGTGGCGTCCGCTAGGGGCACTCCGGGCGCTCCGGTTTGTTTGTAAACATGAGTTGGTGTATATCCCGCCATAGTTACTACCTGCATTTGTGCCAAGTTTATCATTGGTCTGAACACTATGATTATGTAGTGGTGGGTTATCTTTTAGGGGGGGGGGCCATCTGTCGGAATATGACGGTAGTTTGTTAGAGCGCAGCTCTTAGGGGCCCGTTCCCGGCTTGAGCGGCGTCGCCGTCGGCGTAACCAAGGTCATCTCAAGGTCACGTGACCCCTCGAGGTCACGTGACCCCTCCCAAGGTCATCTCAAGGTCACGTGACCCCAAGACCCCACGTGACCCTTTGAAGGTCACGTGACCCCCAAGTCACGTGACCCCTCTGAGGTCACGTGACCCCCGAGGTCACGTGGTCTCCTCCCCAAGGTCACGTGGCCCCCAAGGTCACGTGACCCCTCCCAAGGTCATCTCAAGGTCACGTGACCCCAAGGTGACCCCCACGTGACCCCTCTGAGGTCACGTGACCCCCCGAGGTCACGTGACCCCCCTCCCCGAAGTCACGTGACACCCCCCCCCCCCCCCCCGAGGTCACGTGACCGCCCCCCGGAGCATATTAAAGAATGAGGGGAGGAGGAGGGGTCTACCCTCCCCTCAGTACCCTTCACTCCTCCTCCTCAAGAGCTGCGCTCCAATTCGGCGTTACAGGGATTTGTAAACGGCTTTCATTTTTTTTAACGCAGAATATGTTTCGATGCTATAACCACTGAGCCTGCAAAGCACAGCTGCTCTGGAAGAGTATGTGATTTTATTTGCATGAAAACAAGCTGGCAAAAATGGCACGTTTTGATTAAAAATAATAAAACAATAATTAATCAAAATTAAAAAAAAGGATTATAATAAAAGAATGAAAAGTCTAGTTTAAGCAATAAATGGAGTATGGGATGTGCTCTTTAGTCTGTTAGCATAATCAAGCTTGTATATTTTTTTTCTTTTTTGTCCTGGACTTACATGCCAACAAAGCTGCTTCATGAACCAGGTTAACCTCTGTAGTTGTTTTTTTTCCGGATTCTTGTGCTTTGTGGTACAAAATTGCAAGTATATGACATTCCTACACAGCTGACTCTCGATAATTAAGTTTACAGAGACACCGAAACGTTTTGAATAAAGCTTACTTGAAACTTCATAAAAGAAAACAAAAACCTCTTTTTATTAGTATTTTCTTATGGGGAAAAGTTGTGGTTAGCCAGTCTCGTTGCATCGGGTGCAGCACGCTAAGAACGCTTTTAACATTGTCGCCCTCGTTGCCAAAATTAATTTAAACAACTGCCGATGCAACTTTTTCTATCCATGGCGCTTTCTGTGAGAGATTGACGACTCCATACTTTCTGCAATTTAAAGGGAAGCTACGGAGGTTCTTGAAAAAAAATGAGTTAGAAGTGAATTCTGGTGTATTTTTACCTTGTGTGTATTTTTACCTTGTGGACCCGAATATCCAAACCATTTGCTGCGCAAGTATTGTTAAATGTGAGAAAACGCAAAAGACATTTGCTGTACGTGACGTCATCGATGGATCTTTTGGCTGCCCAAGGCTAGGTAGGCGGGGCTTTAGCCCTATTTTGAGATTGCTCTTATGGCTCTCCGGCACGTTGCATTGAAATATAATTGTGATATCTGTTATTCTAACGGCCAAGTGAACACAATTCAATTGCTTTTTCTCAAATGCAGAACCGCGCCCCATCTTCCCTTTAACATTTCGGCATAAACGTGGACAATCAAAAGGCACAACTCTGTGTAACCAAGTTTGGAAGTGTAGCCTTTGAAATAATATGAAAAGGTTCTTTTCAACATCGTTGTTTGTGCAAGTGCCAAAATCACGTTCATACTTGAAACAAAATGGATAGGCTGCGTATACGACACGGCCGCAAGTTTTAGCCATGCCAACCTCTACATATCAAGTCTAGTGAAGTAAAATGCACATATCGAATGTAACAGATTTATTTTGATGTAATGGAAACAAGCGCAGATCAAAACGTGAGTCAAATTTGATCTTCGGAAACAAAACTTTTCAAAGCAGACAAAATCTGTCGTAGCATTTCAGCGCTGATGTGGCCTCTCACAGAGGCCTCGCTCCTCCCTGGGCGCCAACCGGCGGCTATTCCATCGCTCTTGGATTGGCTCTACAGTCGCGACTCTGCGACATCTCTCGACAGAAGAAAAAGGATAAAAAATGAAAGCCGTTTACCACTCTCTGTAACGCCGAATTGGAGTGCAGCTTTTGAGGAGGACGAGGGAAGGGTACTGAAGGGAAGGTATATCCTTCCTCCCTTCTCCTCACCTCCTCATCCCGCCTGCTACTCCTCCCTCCGAGCAGCGTCGGCATAACCGTGAGGTCACGTGACTCTCATGACCTCACAGGAGTCACATTACCTCACGGGGCTCACGTTACGTCACCGGGGTCACATGATCTCACGGGGGTCACATGACTTCACGGGGGTCACGTGACCTCACCGGGGTCACATGACCTCACGGGGGTCATATGACGTCACCGGGGTCACGTGACCCCCCTGAGGTGTCGTGACCATGGTGACAACCCCTGAGGTCACGCGACCCCCGTGACGTCACGTGACCCCGCGCAGACGTTTCAGTACGGTGCCGAAACGTCGCCGCGGTTACGCCGACGGCGACGCCGTTCAAGCCGGAAACGGCCGCTTGAGAGCTGCGCTCTTGCAGCATTTTGGAGATTGTTGCAGGTAAAGACTATTGAGAGTGCATATAACCAAAGGCACTTACATTAGCGAGAAGCGCCGTCAGTGTGACAGCGCATCAACGCAATCTTCAGGTCGCTCATTCAGAGGGGGTTCGAAATTCCGAGCCGGAAATGTGTCGAGCGGATTATCTATTTCCGTTGCACAAGTTTCTGTGCATACACCCCTTCAGGTGAGACGTTGTCACGCCAAAAGGTTTTAACAAAGTGGTTTCAAATTACCGTGAGTTTTCTTTATGTTAATGCTTGTACTAATTGCAGTCTGCATATTTTGTTACTGTCATGGTTATTATAAAATTTGTCAATAAAAGGATAAGGAGTGGAACGGTACCATCACTCCTTCCAGTGTGGGCTCGACAAGTTTATTGCAAAGACCATGCTTGAGTTTTAGCTTACATTTTGGCGTCGTAGAAGTACTTTCATAAAACGTTGCACTACTAAACATCACATGGAGAGCTAGGCCAGCGTTTGGTACGTGTCCCGGTCCTCCAGAGTGCCGTTCTGCATTTGTCATATGTGCGTCGTCCGCGTCTTTTCCAGGTTGCCTTTCGAAGAGTTTGCATCCAACGAAGCCATTCAGTGTACTGAGATCTACGAGTATTCCCAGTCGCTGGCCAACGCTGGCTACATGTTGCCTCACCTACAGGTAAAAGGCAATTCCTGATTCAGTGGCAGCGGGATAGCTATAACAAGCTCAGTCATTCGACTAGACGTGTTTGTTATATATAGAATGTGTATTTTCTGGTGTTTATTAATGAGAAAAATCGGATGTTTTTAGGTTTATTTATTTTTTTAAGCACCGGCGTATTTCCATTGGATGACTCGTGACGAGGCTAAAATCGGTGATTATCAGTGACAAAAATTGGGCTCTGTACAGCCTTAGTTAACGTGAATAAATGCTGCCACAGCGAGAATAAATGATGTTCATTATTTTGAGGGCACCCGATGTGCACGTCAAACGTTGGAGGCGTTTTTTTTTTGTTATAGTTGCAGCACTAATTGCAGTCTGTCTGCATATGTGTTTTTCCAAATTCCCAGAATTTACAAAAAGACGCGCTTCTACATCTGGTTTTTTAGTTCAGTTTTTGTCATTGAAACTTGAGAAAAGGTGCTCAGAATCTGCGTTTTACCAAGGAAGTGGCAAGATTTTCAGAGCACCTTCTGCGACTACAAGGTGGGCAAACCCTACACCCGCCAGTCCACCTACTCAAAAAAGTGGAACAGTTCCAGTGAAATTAAGACAGGGTGATATTAAACCAAACCCTTAGCCTGGAACCCCTTGAAAACTAAACAGATAACAATGAAGGCATCTCTGTTCCTCAGGCGAAGAGACACATTCTTCAAAGTCACTGGCCCTGGACCACACTGATGTTTGCAGTGTTTTCCAAGAACTACAGCGACCTCTGAATAGACACTTGAAGGGTGCAGGATCCACGAGATAACACATTTGACAAACCTCTACGGGGGAGGAGTTTAGAAAAGAAGTGCTTGCTAGGGCGGAAACATTTAACGACCAGTGTTTTTTGGTTTTAATCAGGCCGAAAATATTCAATCACCAATGTTTTTTTGGTTTTAACCGATCTTGTATTTCTGTCCCCGGCAGACGTTTATCGGTGTTGTTCGGTTAAAACCGGAAAGTGCCCAGCCTAGTTATATCTGAACCTCTGAATAGCTACTAGTGTAGCCTCAAGTGGTGTATTTTTTTTTAAGGTTGTCTGTTGTCCATTGTAAAGTCCTGTAATGAAAACAAGTTACCTTTTAAATATTACGAAATAGTACTAGTTGCAAGATCATTCAGTGGCTCATACCTACTCCTCTGGTGGCAAGCTGGGCCACTTGTCTGTTGCAAAAACATGGTCAGCTGTTTGAGTTACAGTATGATGCTTCAAAAAGCAACTGTTACGTGTGGACCCAACTTTCACGTGCAGTCTTTAAGTTGGGATTCCGGGTTTTGGGGGGTTAATTTGTCTTCGAATTTGGGGGTGTTCTTTCGGGATTCAGATTTTTCAACAGATTCAGCCTTTTTTAGTGTCAATTTTTCGTGTTGATCCGAAAGTCTGTCTACGGTTCTTGAAGAAAACGGGACAAACACACCCCAACCTCCAGGAAACATGGGCACGACCCAAATGCTTGGGAAAACATACCGGTACCGATGAGAGATGGAAAAGAGGGGTGTTGTTTCCAAAGTGAGAAGTTCAGTGTGGGCTGTGTTCTGCGTCAACATAAAACAGCTGTCGATGGAGGCTCCTTCTTCTGTAGCTTTGATTTTTCCTATTCATTTATAACTTCACCAAGTAGTTTTTTTGTTTTGTTTTCTCAGTTTTCCCTAATTTTGATTAATTCGGCTTGAGGGTTACTTTTTTGGGGTTTATCGGTTACCATCAAAAACAGCAAACCTTAGTTATGAGCAAGTTCAACCATATGCAATGTTTAGGTTTATTGGGTGTGGAAGAAATGCACACTCCACGAATGTGTCCTTTGGGTGTGGGGAGGATGCCACATTTTTATGCCCTGCGGGACACTATGGCTACTTTTAGTGTCAAGTCTTCGTTCGGGGTGATGTTTTTTCTGCTAGCGAATTTTGGGGACCACATACATTTTTTTGCTTGGTCTCTGTGTATGTACTGGAAAGACATTGATGGTGGACTTCCGTTTACGAAATTGAAACATTGGGAATTGCAGAGGTAAGGAACTCGAAAACAAAGGACGAAAGTCAAAACAGATGGAAGGAAAGTCGCATCATTTGTTTTGTCCCCTATGTCACTCTTTTGTTTGTATTTTTTTGTCACCAACACACTCAACTTCTCAAATCATAAAGAGCTTGTAGTTAAAGCGTTTTTGTCTTGGGCCCGGGCACCTAGTGAAGCCCTTTTTTCGCAAAACCAGCTCATTTGCCCAATGGTTCTGCGACGGTGATAGAGGATCTCTCTTTCTCTTTTCAGGTGTACAAATTCCATCATGCAACCAGATTGGCAGAATATGGCTTCGTCCAGGAGGTAAGCGTAGAATTGTCTTCTTCAAGCAGTCCGTTTTGCCACACATCTGCAGACACATCTTGGCCAGTCATAAATTGGGCGGACATTCGAGACCCGTCGCTGTTGTCAGTAGTGACACTTGTGAAAATGCATTCACTTGTGAATGCATTTTGTTACTTTATGCGCTTTAAGAGCGCTGGTGCAAAGTGTGAAATGCAATTTGTGGAGTCATATACGCCGATATATACAAAGTGCATGACAGTTATGTTGCCGCTTTTCTTGTTTTGGAAAAAAATCTAATTTTCATTTGCACCGACGCTCTTAAAGCGCATAAAGTAACAAAGCTGTCAGGGAGTCTATGTTTTTTTGCACTTCCTCTGGCAGAGCTTGTTGCTATGACGAAGCCATATCGCGACGGTATTGTCCACTGTCTTGAATTAGATCCCGTGCAGAGTTGTTTCCTGTTAGAATTAAACACAGTTTCTCCTTCAAGACATTTGCTTCACCATTGTTGCCAATGTCAGCGGTGGAATTCCATAGTCCTTCGCTTGCTTTTGACCACTTGCCTTTGACCGTTGTCCAGGCACTGAATGATTTTGAGCTTGTCTGATAGAGGCAACTGCTTCCGTTTCGTCGTACTCATTACGAAAGTGGGCGCACAAACTTGTCCTACCGTTGTTACCCAAAACTAAGATGGCCGAACGGAACCGATCACAAAGAAAAAACAGACACACCACGTGGTTTCTTTTTGTTTACCGCAACGCCGCTTTGCCTTGGCGGTGCCATAAATGCCTGCAATGATACGCCGCCACTGCAGAGGCAGCGGCGGCAGGGTGGCGGGCGTCGGCTACGCCAGCACTGCAGAGCACAAAACTTCGTTGAACTAATTCCAAAAAAAATTCTGGGTCCACCGATCAAGTTCATTGAACTGAAATATTTGCTATTCCGAAATTTGTTAATTCGTTTATAGGAAAACTGCCAGGGATTTCTTTAAAGTTTGTTTTTCCGAAATATTTGTTAAACCGATGTTCGCTGAACTGAGAGTTTACTGTAGTCGCTGACAAGGTGAGAACGCAGGGAGGAGATAGGGTTGTCCCACTTCCGGCGTGAGGTTTCTACCTTCAATAACTCTTGGGTGTCTAGTGCAGCCACAGCAGGACAGAAGCGTGCGCTCGAGGCGAGGCATGCGCTGCTGCTCTCACCCTGTCAGTGACTCTATGTTTTGTTGGCCCTCAAACAGCTCGTGGCTGGAGAGTGCACGTATGGGTAGCTACTGCATGGTTTCTCAAACCGAGTTCCTAAGAACCCGGGGTTTCCCATGAACCCTGGAATCTCGAAACTTTTTTGATCTCGAGGAACCCCTCTGGCCTCGGACATCGGTCAGGGTGCCACTCCTGCCGGTCTCGGCATCGGCACAATAAGGCAGTGCAAAACCCTACGGACCTCGTAAACAGTGATGCGTTAATGACAGTGTGTAGTAGACTGTCATTAATTTAAACTCCAGGAAGCCATGGAGTTTGTTTGAATTATCAGAAATTCATTTCTGATAATTCAAACAAACTGCAGTTAAGCAGAGAGTCTGCAGATTCTCTGCTTAAACTGCCTTAGATGTCACGTGAAAGGTTAAAAGAAGGATCCATCTTCCGTAATGCTTTATCATGAAAATGTGCTTCCTCGGGAGCTGAAACAGCTTCTTGGTGGCGAGGACGAGCGTTTTTTAAAATGTTTTCACGTTAATGCACAATCTGCTAAAAATAAAGAGCTTAGTTTAGAAGTTCTTTTTGCACAGTTTCAATTTTCATTTGATATAATAATGTTAACCGAAACGTGGTATGCAACAGAAACCGAAGCACTTCAAATGCCATTATATTCCACTTACTTCTTGAATCGCAAATCTCGTCGCGGGGGAGGTGTGTGTTTGCTTGTAAATAAATCAATAAAGTGTGAACTTTGGGCTGATTATTGCTGTATCACTCCAGACTATGAAGTGCTTTCTGTGAGAACAGGGAATACTGTTATAAGTGTACTTTATCGACCACCAGATGGCCGCAGTATTTTCTTCTTTCAATTCTGCGAGCGGTTTTTGCAGGTCGCAAATGATAACCATTACGATTTAATTTTGGGGGGAGACTTCAATATCGATATGTTGAAAGATAGCGCTTGTAAGCGTGAATTTAATATTTTAATCGAAACAAACGGATGTGTCAACGTTATTGAATCTCCCACTAGAGTCACAGTGCGTAGTGAAACAATGATCGATCTTTTTATTACAAACGCACAGCCTGATAAGATTACATCCGGAACGCTAGGTTATGATATTAGTGACCACCTTCCAATATTCCTATGCTTAAATACCAAACCATATAAAGAAGTTAGAGACACAGGAACATTTGTGTTTCAAGACATAACAAACGACAGATTAAATGCTTTTAAAGCAGATATCTCTCAAATTAATTGGAGCCCAATATACAACTGTGAGGATGTTAATCTTGCGTATAATACATTTTTGGAGAAAGTTACAACTATTTACAATCGTCATTTTCCTTGGAAAACCTTGAAAGTGTTTAAAAAGATTCGCAAGCCATGGATAACGCCTGAATTGTTGAAGAAAATTGAGAAAAAAAATATGCTATACCAGAAATTCCTTAAAACTAGAGAGCCGTCTCAGCTTTTAAGTTTTAAGGTGTATCGAAATCAATTAACAAAAATACTACGGAAAGCTAAGACGGTGTATCACACCAACTCTTTTCAGGCGCAATCTACACGTGCGGATGTTGTCTGGAGAAAATTGAACACCGTTTTAAATCGCGTTCCAAATCGGCAGCCTATAGATAGCATTGTCCATGAAGGGGTGTACTTGAATGGTAATTCTTTAGCTAATACTTTTAATGACTACTTTGCAGGCTTAGTTAGTGACAATACTACCACAGATGCGTTCCGCGGTTACTTAGAGTATAGAAATAACCATTCTATTTTTCTTGAACCCGTCACAAATTCTGAGGTTTGCTCCGTTTTTATGCAACTGAAAAATAGCAGTAGCTGTGACTGTGATAATTTGCAAATTCGACCTATTAAATACATACTTGACTTAGTAGCACCCTGTCTGTGTCACATTTTTAATCTGTCTTTAACAACGGGGTTATTTCCTGAAAAGATGCAGATGGCGAAAGTGGCAGTGTTGCATAAAAAGGGTGATAAAAATATACTCGGCAACTATCGACCCCTTTCTATCCTCCCGTTATTCTCCAAAGGCCTAGAAAAAATAATACATAGTCGTCTAGTTCAATTTTCTGATAAGCATAACCTGCTGACTCCCGCCCAATTTGGTTTTAGGAAAGGTCGATCGACCGAATTAGCATTACTAGAGCAAAAAGAATATATTTTAAAGAAATTCGAGGAAAAAAAGCAGGTTCTAGGTATATTCGTTGACTTCACGAAAGCCTTTGATTTTATCAACCATAACATCTTACTTAAAAAAATTGAGCTTTATGGTGTCCGCGGGTTGCCTTTAGAACTTCTACGTTCCTACTTGCAACACCGTTGCCAATATGTTTCTATTGGCCAATTTTCTTCTGACGTTAAACCTATTCACTCTGGCGTCCCACAGGGGAGCATTCTTGGACCGTTTCTTTTTAATATGTACATAAATGACATTGTAAACATAAGTCAGGCAAAATTTGTCATATATGCCGACGACAGTAGCTTATTCTTTTCTTCAGATAATAGCGATGATCTTGTCACAATCGCCAATGACAGTTTGTCCAAACTTGGGGTATGGGCAAAAGATAACTGCTTAAAAATTAATACTGATAAAACTAAAGCTATCATTTTTCGACCCAAAAATAAGTGCGTACATCTAACGAGAAGCATTGTGCTTGACTCTACGCCAATTGAAATTGTCAGTAATTTTAAAAGTCTAGGAGTCATATTTTCAGAACATATGTTGTGGGACAGTCACATTAACCACTTACTTGCAAAATTATCAACCATCATAGGTCTGACATTCCATAACGGCAAAACACTCCCAGTTAGTGTGAAGCTTCTAATTTACAATTCTTTATTCTATTCTCATCTCAGCTACTGCAACCTCGTCTGGGGTAACACCACATTCACAAACCTGCAAAAATTATTTTTACTGCAGAAAAAAATGGTTCGAATAATATGCAACGTGCCTTATGATTTCCATACCGGCAGTTTGTTTAGTAAGTTTAGCCTATTAAAAATTCATAGCCTTTATGAATATAGATTGATTCTGAGTTTAAAGTCAGAAAAAAGGAAACATTATAAATTGTTGTCAACTCTAGCGGCATTGACACCAAATGTACACGTTCACTTAACTAGACACATGGAGTATTGGAAGGTTGTTTACTGTTCTACAAACTATGGTAGGCAAATGTTACGATATACCGTACCAAAACTGTTAAATTTCCTTCTAGAAAAAGAAATTTGCGTTGACTCTATCTCCTTCAAGGCTTTGCGTTCTCTTTATATGTAGCAGTGATTTACCTCCCCCACTCAAATGATTCATTAATTTGTTTGTGCTATACAGAATGCACTGTTTTGTGTTTTTTTGGATTTCTGTTTGCAACAACTGTGCTTGCTATCTCTTTAGGTGACTAATGGCTGTTTTGTAATCTGGAGCACATAATATACATTTTTTTTTTTTTTTTTTTGCCGCAATGCCAATGTAGGGGGCCGAGGGCTGGTCAAGCCTCCTTTGAGGCTTTTACCCTTTGCTCCACCATGCTTCATGGAAATAAACTATTATTATTATTTAGATATGATGTAAATATGATGCAAGATAAAATTAAGATTTGCCCTATGAATGGCTACGCATACCAAGCAGATATTTGAGGGTTTCCTCTACATAGGCCTACTGATTATAAGCGGGTATGCCACACATGATGTACTATTTGTGAAATGTGTGACCTAGGTTTAGTTCAGTTATCCCTCAAAAACGTTGTTTATCGTGGACTGTTTCGACAGCAAGTGACAACTCGAAGCAAGATTATATTTGTTCATCGGTCCAACAAGTTGCCTAATGTGAACCTGCAGGCGACACGAGCGATGAAAACGGGATCCGCGTGGAAGTTTTCATAGAAACTTGCCCGGATGCTGTGACGTGGACCTGTGCCATGCTGGCACGTCACAGTGTCCGCACAAGTTGCTATCTAAATTTTCGCGTGGTGCCCGTTTTCATAGCTCGTGTGTGCCCGCTAGTGCGCTTTTCACCGAGCACCAGTGCGCCGCTGAAGAAGCTCCGCAAGTGTTGCTTCTTTGCAGTGCACCGGTGCTCGAAAAGAAGTGCACTCAAGAGGGTCGGAAGAGCAAAAAGTATGAATTCCACACAAACGCCGTTCTAATTAAGGGGCTTATGAATACATTAAAATCATAGCGGAACAACCAAAATTTAAAAATTCGTTTGAAGTAACCAGAAGTATGAAATTTTCGAGTTTGATTTATCGCGAGCCTACTGTAGTTGGGCATCGGTGGGTGGCTCGAATCTGCTCAAATAATGCTCGAACTGGAGGAACGTGCCAGTTGGGGGTGGGGATGGTTAAGGTAACCCTTGGAGGGTACTCTGGGAAGGATAAGAACCCAGTTGGAGAACCGATGCCCTAGAGTACTGATGCCCTAGAGTTACCCTCGGGGGCTCCTCGAAACTCCTTGTAGAGTACCTGCCCTCAATAAGAAGTGTTTTTCCGGTTTAAGAACTATTTCGGCAGATGTGAACCCCTTACTGATGCATAACTACGAGACAAACCCTCCCTTCTATGTGTATTATGGCTTACAAGGTCCATAAGCTTCTACGCCATTTTAATGCATTGCTGCTTTGCGCTCTGCTGCGCCGAACGTCTGCCGGCGCATTTGCCAACCCCGTCCCCTTTGTTCCCCGTCAGGCCCTGCACTACTGTGAAGTGGTGGCGGCGGCGATGGCAAAGGACCCCCCGTGCCTGCCTCTAGGGGTGGCCTCACGGGCCTACCAGCTGGCCCTGCGGCTCAAGTACCATGACCCCCACTTCAGCCAGGGGCAGGGGGAGCTCGAGGAGCTAGGTGACCCCCCGTGGCTGTCTGCCTTTGCCCTGCTGCTCCAGGCTTGCGGGGTGGGTGTCTCTCTCTCTGCCTTCCCTTTCGCCGCCGTAGGCCGTGCAATGCGGCGAGGTCAAAGAGGATGGCGGATGCCACCTGGTGGCATGGTGCTTTGCAGTGGTTGAGCCTCTTTAGAATGTTACGGGCATCCTCGTGCTTTGCCTGTGCCCTCGTTCGTTTTCGTTACCGCTAACATCCAGTGTCTGTGCTTATCGAGCGTTAAGACAAGGGAATTCTTTTGCAAGGCTCGGTCAATTTACCCGCACCTGCCTGCACCGGTGCAGAAACGTGTAGTGCAGTGCAGAGCAATGCACTTCTGGTTGTGCTTTCACCTAGACTACGCTTTTAACTCAAATACGGTGGTGTGCACCAAGTGCGCATCACCTGCTGTATTACACTCCACCAGAAGGTGCAGGTAAATCAAAATGAGCCCAGTGTCAGTTCTCTTTGTTTGTTTTTTTGTTTTTGTGTTGTGGAACACAAGGTGATGTCTGTAATACAGTCAAATTTGGATATATTGAATTCAAAGGGGACCATAAAATAGTTTGATATCTCGATAATTGGATATACAAAAATATGTTAACTTAAGCTCCAGTTGAAATGTTTGCGTGTCTCTGCTAATACTGAAGGCTGCGACAAATGGGACCTTGCCAAATAGAGCCTCTAAAATGCCGCTAAATACACTAGAGCTTAGTTGGTGAAGATCACAAACACAGCCCTCTTTTACGCTACGGTGTTTGTGATCGTTTACGCTTGGGTACGACCTCCACACAGCGCCAACAGCAAAACAAGAAAACAATTTTAAAAAAATGGGAGAAGGGAAAAAGTGAGCAGCATAAAAGAAAAAGGTCACGATGCATAGAATAAAGTTAAGCAAGCAACATCACTAAATTCAGGCAGCAAAAAAAAGAAAGGCAGAAAAGAAAAAAATGGGCAAAGTAAAAACGGCGAAAGAGAAAGGTAAACCAAGATAAGGCCTTCAAAGTGCGTCTGCTCAACTGTTGTCGACACACTCGACAAAGCCTTTTTTTTCGCTTTTTTTATTTTGTGGTTAAGGAGTCGCGCAGAGACAGCAATGTTCGGGTTTTCAAGGGGATGTTTGGACTGTTTGATATAAACTAATTCTAAATACCTGGGTGTGATATAAATGGACTCAACTGTGTCAGCATGATAATAGTGCATTGCCCACACCATTAATGCTCCACATGGCAGATAGAGTTTTTGACGTGTGTACGATGCTGGCTATAACACCAGCGAGCGGAATAAAATGAGGGTTCTTTTGCCCACACAACAATGTCTACCTTTTATTAGGAGGAAAGCAAAGGGGGGCACCAGTCTGTGTCTGTTATAATATTTTAGTAATACTGGTCTGGGGTGCACATGTTAGTAGTAACCTATGTTAAAGGTTTAATTAAAATACTAGGTTGACTGCTGGACACTTATCCGATCTGCAGGATGTTAGAGAGGCAACAACCAGGGCGGCGCTGGCTTTCACAATGAAAGCCTGCCGCATGTGAAGACCTCCTGTTTTGAGTGATGTCCCCAGTATTGTTATTGACCTGTCGTATTTGCCATGAGGGAACATAAAACACGGTGGATACCCAATACTGTCCTCGTAAAGAAGCTCCGAGCTCTCCAGGTTGCTTTAGAGAGCCTGCATTACAGAGAGTTTCCATCTGCTCTGTCGGGGTCACATCGTTTAGGGGCCTCGTTTGCCATGCAGGCTGCGAGGAGGCTACACAGGAAGCATCGACCGTCTGTAAACATCTCCCCCTTTTCATTTTCTTTTTTCCTTGCCACTCGATAATGCAGCGCATGTCAACTTGAAACCATCTCCGCAGGTGGCATTTGTCATTAATCTAGGCTCTCTAGTTTATCGCCACTTTAGTTAGTGCCATCTCTTGGCTTGGCATCGGGAACAAAAACCTGTTGCCACCTGATTCTTTCTATTTGTGCAGTGTCTAGTATCCACCCCTAGTGGAGAATTTGTTTAAATTACAGTAAGCAAGGAGTTGAAAAATTTACCTCTGTTGTAAGGTTCCGTCTTGTCATAGATTTTGCCACATTACACGAAAGCCCCTAGATGGGGATGCTGCATGTTCCGCGATGTCCTATCTTACCAGTGTCTTCCCTTTCGTGCTTATCCGAAGGATGGACAGGCCTTCCCTGGACAGGCTGGGTATGTTGGCTACGAGGCACCGCTGCATGAAGAGCCGATCGCAGAGACGGCTCACTACCAGGAGGACAACTCCAGTGCCTCAGGTGACAGCTTCAGTCTTCAAAGTTTTGCGCTATTGCCTTTCTTCTATGCTTGCTTTGATCTGGCTTTCTTTGATGCAAGTAGGATTTGCATTCACAGATCTGGAGCAGTGCTGCTAAGTGTGGGACATTTTTTTTTCTCAAGGAACTCTTGAAGACTTTTTTTTGTTTTTTTTTTGGCAGTTGGAGTTGGAATATTGACACTTTTGGATTTTCTTGGGTTTACCTGTCATTAAAATAATTGAATTTAAATTAGGGGACATGCAGATATTTAATGTTTTGGATGTGAATTGAGCATTTTATTTGTTCAATTTAAATAATAAAAATATTCTATTCATGTCTTAAATTTTATGCATTCGCACACCCTGAATATAAATTGGTGGATTCACTGCGTAATGATTAGGATTCTGCCAATAGTGGTTCGAATTGAATGGCGCTGCATCATTCATAACCTTCACAGTGCTACGGAAAACCACGACAACCAATTCTGTTAACAGTGTTAGTGCTTGGGATGACACTGCACTATTCAGTTCTTACCACGATTTGCACATCCGTAGTAGTGATATTTCTGTTAAAAATTGTTTCATTGAGCACAAAGCAAATATTTAAAAACTTGTGTTCCGATTTTTGTAAATTATCCAAGCGCTCGCACCTGTTTTCATGCACCTGTCATCTTGTCTATTGTTGGCGTCGGGATCGTTGTAAGCAAGTGCCCACCCCTGAATTCTGTCGTAGTTGGGAGGGCACTGGTCCGATATTGTACAGCGGGAATGTTCAGGGACAATTTTAAGCATCAAGCGGAGACACCTTAGCTGTCTTTAAATTAGCCGAGGAGCTAGAATGTTGAAAAAGAAACCGAAGTTCAAGTCTAGTTATTTTTTCAATGGGAAGCCTTATAAGTGGTGCTGTTGTCGTTCGAAAATGTGCAGTCTTTGCCGTTTGTCGGTCCTGGTGATTGGTGCCTCTCTTGGCCTGGCAATAGAACGTAGGGAGTAATTTATTTTGGTGCAAATTATTCCAGCTTTTATGGGAAACTTCAGGAGGCTTTCTTTTAGAGTTTATGAATCTCAAAATACAGTTTACGAAGTTTTAACTTCTAGGCCATGGCCCCATCATGTTTGTTTTATGCTACAAATCAGATGCTGCAATTCCAGGTGCCTACGGGGCAGCCTACCAGGGTTACGACACCTCGGCTGCACAGGCAAACTACAGCTCCTACCAGGACCCGCCCGCCTACGCCGAGAACACAAATGCGACAGACACCACCGCTGACCAGTGTAAATAAACCTCCAGACCCGTTCGCTTAATATACTCTTTTCAAAAGTGCATGCCATCTAGTGACCACTGAGCCAACTGTCTGGGTCTGCCCTCATCTGGGCACGTACCCCGATCGCTAGTGTTGTATGAATATTCTAATAATACGCTATTCAATATTTGCTTCGAGATGAACTCTGATATTCATATTTTTCAAAGTGTTGACCGCGGCAGGTCAGCTTGTTAGGCGTGCTTCTCACCGAGCACCGCTGCTCTGCAAAAAAGCGGTACCCACAGACCTCGCTTCCACGGGTGTTGCTTCTCCACAATGCACCGATGCTCGCTAAGAAGCGCATCCTTTGGGGCTTGCCCACCGCGATCAACACTTTGGGAACTACAAATTATTGCAGTCACATTCTTAAGAGGAAAGCCCACCTTCAAAGTGAGATGGTGCACGTGCGCGCCTGGTGTTTGTAAAAAGAAACAGAAAGATTGTGAATGCTGATATCTGCACTACAGCAAAATTTTTAAAATTACTCTGTGGCTATTATACTAGAGCATATGCCAGGCATAGATGTTCTGGCAACCTATGTTCATAATTCATGATTGTATTTATTTTCTGAAATTCTATATTTAACGAAGAATATTTGCATATAGCAAGACGACCTACAGTGGACTCCCATTAAACGAAACTCGCTTAAACGGAAAATTCGGATAAACGGAACTCTAAAGGTTGTTTCGGTTGGTTTCCTATGTATTTAATGATAAATTCTTCGGGTAATCGGAACCCCCCTTTTTGCTTACTTCGGTTAAACGGGACCGAAACCGAAACTACCCATGGCGACCGCGGACATCGGAAATAGCTACAGCAGTCTCACAACCATGGAGTACGCAATAGCCAAGACTGAGGACACTTTAAAGGAAAAGGGGTTGTGTTAGAACAAAATTTATACAAATATTATTATAAAAAAAAAAAGAAGTTGTTAGGCTAGGTGACGCGAGGTGCCGCTCGTTACAAAGGGTACGGTACAGCCATTCATTCATCCATCCATCCAAGCCATTATATTAAGGCAATCCAATCCAGTCTTTCTACCGCCATTAGGGTTAGCGCCTCGTCTGTTGCGCGTCACGTTTACCATCGAGTACACAAACCAGCGTCCGCTTGCCGTGTTGTGATGGAAGCGGTAAAAAAGCGGCCGCACCAAGCGATCTCGCTTGCTACGAAAATGAAGATCCGTCAAGAGCTGGATCGTGGTGACCTCTCGAAGACTGAGATCGCAAGGAAGTTCGATATCCCGAAGTCTACACTCTCAAGGATATCAAAGGACAAAGAAAAGATTCAAGACGCTGTAAAGCGCGGAAGCTTTGCCACCGACCGAAGGAGGATGCGAAAGACGCCTTTTGAGGAAATAGAGAACGTCCTTTTTCTCTGGTTTAAGCGCGCGCGAAGTGCTAATTTCCCGATCAGCGGCCCCATCCTCGAAGAAAAGGCTGGAGAGATTGCGTCTCAGTTGGGAATAGATAACTTCAAAATGAGCGACGGTTGGCTCAGCCGTTTTAAAAAGCGCCACGGCCTAGTCTTTAAGACTATTTCTGGGGAAGGTGCAGCAGTCAACAGAAACCTTTGTACCTCCAAGGCATGCACACCTACTTCGTCAAAAAGCGATTACAAAATGCAAAACAAACTACCATTACCTCTTTTTTCTAGTCAGCTACATTAGCTGGACATCATGCTTGTGAAATAAAGTCATATTTCACTCATTTTATGTGCTTTGCTTTAATGAAACTTCTGATAAACGGAACAAATTTTTCTGTCCCTTCGAGTTCCGTTTAAGAGGAGTCCACTGTATAAATCCCTTCGATTAGGTTTCGCTGGCCTGAATTTTAAGACAAATTCATAGTTTAATTGCCATTCCCATATAGAAAATGGACTTCCTGAGGTCACAGTTCATAAATATAGCTAGAGTAAAATTATCTTTACTTTGATATGGACAAGTAGAAGCTTGGGAACACCCATGACAAGTTCAAGTGGGTTTTCGTGTAGGCGTAATGCAGTAGTGAAAAACTTGGAGATATTTGATTCAAAAGTCATCGACCAAAACCAGTATTCGCTTCGAATTCGCTTCAAACTCAAAATTCACCATTCGCGCATGGCTACCAGTCGCACATCGGACATGTGGGCCACGTCGGCAATTGGCAGGGACGCACGTCTCGTATCCCAGAAATGGCGACCGCCGCCGATGGTAGCTGGACGGGGCTGTGAAAAAGGTCTATTTGCCGCTTTGTTTATTGCTGTCCAATTTTCAACCTCTAAATATCACTAGTTGACGGCCTCGTTCAGTCAGAAAAAACTAACGTGGGCAAACTTCCGTCTCCTACGTTTATCGATTTTTACCTTAGGGAAGGTTCTTCACCTTTTGATTTGCCTCATTTACAACATGACGCTGCATTTTTGTTATTACAGTCTGCGTATATCTCTTTTGCGGAGAAATCATGGGTGCAGCTTGCGAAAGGAGACCGGTGTTTTACGCTCCACAGATCGTATTTGGATTCCAGAGTATTGTCTACGTGTGGATTTTGTGTGCATCAATAAGTTTAGAATCCAAGTATGGATTGCATTCTAATGTAGAGCTGTTACCTCCCGCTGTTCTCTTCTTCGCAGACTCTGTGGGGAAAGGTCGACGGGCAGACTTTGTTTGTTGAAGTTTCCTGAAATTGAGCGAATAGGGTATAGTAATGTCGCAAAAAGATAGCTTACCCCCACAGACACCAGATGTGTTGGGAAAGGGGGAGGGGCTAATCAGCCTTCTGCGTGTGACAATACAAAGAAAAGAAAAAGCTGAAAAACAAATGCTGGACCTGGTTTCTCTTCAGCTTGTTCCTGCATCAGTTGCCTTGGACCAGACAGCAAGTATATTATTTTAAAGACAAAAGAGGAGTGTTGTGCATGCTGCTAAAGTTAGCTTGGACTTTTTCTATTAGTATCAAAACTAATAATTTCTTCTCGTTGCACAAATGACCTGAATCCAGATATTAGGATTTTTAAGGGTGGGCCATCTTTTGGGGGTGGGCCATTTCTTTGGATATCACGGCAAGCTTTTTCCCACAGCTCGACGACTCTGACTTGCCTCTTGGTGTGTCTAGATTACACAGGGTTTCCAACTGCTCGATCGGTGTCGCACGGCTTGTGGGCCGAATTTGCAGTGAGAGCTACGAGGAAATGACGAAAGCATTGATCATCTGTAAACATTACCAGCTCTCCGCTTGCTTTACTCCTTGCCACGCGACTACGCAACGCATGCTCGCTCACCATCAATCTGCGCAGGAGGTGTCTGCCATTAAATTGCGAACGCTTTTCATGGTTTGAGTTGTTCCCTCTCTTGAGTCTATGCTCTCTGTCGCCTTGCAGATGCCTTGTCCCAGCGTCAGCAGCAGCAGCAGACGACATTTAGCACGCAGGGCGCACCGCCCACGTCCAGCTGGAATTTGGGAGGCATGCCCCAGGTTGGGACAGACTATGGCTACGGGAGTGGCGGCACGGCCTCCGGCGTGCACCAGCAGCCCCTGATGAACGGAACGGCGTCGCAGTTTGCCGAAGCGCCCGGCTCGCCCGCGTCTGCAACGGGCACCACTTCCTTCGACTACTACCAAGCCAGCATGCACTCCGTGAGTGGACCGTGCTCGAGCGGACTTTCCAGGCACCGTTCCGGCGCCAGTCACCCGAACGAAAAATGCCGAGTCACAGCGCCGTGAACACCCGGCATTCTTCAGAAATTAGCTACTGCACACAATCAGAAGACGCGCCCCACAGCCCAGTTAACTGAGACGGCAGCGCGCAGGAGGCGATTATTTGAACGGTCGATACCCCGTCTGCCAGTAAGCTGACATTACAGTGGAAGTCAGACTAAGAGACCTGTCGGTTGGCAAGCTCCCCGGAAGAGCGGTGTTCAAAAATAATTCTTCTCTGTTGCCTGAGCAAGCTTAGGTGGATAGCATTCCTAGCACCACTATCGGCTATGCTCCACCTGGAACACACAAAAGTTGTTTTCGAATGATGCTCTTTTGGCATACCGTATTTTCCGGTGTATAAGACACATTGTTGTATAGACACACCCCCCCCCTTTTCGCAAGTTTGTAAGTAAAAATTACTATACAAGACTCAACTGTGTATAAGACGCACCTATATTCACAGACTTGCCGCAAAGAAACTTAATGACGTGTGGTTGTGCAGATATCGTGAAATGCTGTACTTACCAATTAACGGCTCAAAGCGCTAGTCTCTAAGAAAACTTAGGAAGCTCCAAATTTGCGGGGGAAAAAATGGCAGTCACGCTTTAAGAAACATCCTGCATGCAATATAATAGTTAAAAAAAGACTACCCTAATTAGCATTGACAGGAGTTCCTTCAGAGTTTGCCAAAAAGGAAAAAAAAATATGCATAGAAGATGCAGTGTTGAAAATTTTGGAAAAAGGGTGTGTCTTATACACCGTAAAATACGTTAATCTTTATGTTCACCAAAAAAAAAAATGCGATGGAACCACTTTCTACCGTGGGCAGTGTGCATCCAAAGTCCCGCTAATCCGTCGATTCCGTCCATAGGGTTGGCCAATGGTGTAACGTGCACCACAGAGGGGCGCCACGAAAAGCCTCTAGGCATTCTAGGAGCTTGACAATTGACAACCTAGTAATGTTGGTGGAAGCTATGTGCTCGCTGGGCAGTTCGGTCGCCTGATCCAGGCACGTAGCTTCCACCACCCCGTTTGGCTAGTGGCGATTGAAGTACGGCTCCTCTCTTGGGGGTGGGCGAAAATCTTGAAGTAGACCTCGCTCAGGGACGGCATGCCCATCTTCGATAGATCCGAATGTGGTGGACGCACGTGAGGCAGTCGACGAGCTGGAACGTGCGTGGCTAGGCTCACGGGGGACGACTAGCCGGAATTCGTGGGATCTCGGCTTTGTCGGCGCGTTTCGTGTTTGTCGTCGTCTAAGGTTTGCGGTGCTTCCAAAAAAAGCGAAGGAGTTTCGGAAGGAGCGTGTACCCCTTTCCAGTGCTTACCACCTGGGCGAAAAACGCCGAGTCACTGGGCTTTGGTGGCATGGGCAGTGTATGATATTCTGCAGAAGAGAGCAATTGTGCACACTTAGAATATGTTCCACGGCCCACTAGACAAAGATAGTTGCTTGCAGAAGGTGATTGTTAAAAGCGTCTGTAGGGGGATCCTAAAGGTGCGATACTTGGCAAACGTTTGGCAGGAGGAGTGCCCTGGTTGTAGTGGTTGTCACTGCAATTGTGATAGGCAAAATAGAATTTTCACCATTCTGGACACGGATTTTTTAACGTTGGGTACAAGTAAAGTGGGTCCTTTATATGTGTACATAGTGTTTGGCATAGTAAAAATAGCAATTTTTAAGGGAAGAGTCTTATGGAGCTCGTTGTACGCAGTGTTAAACATTTAAAGCACTGACCTCGCAAAAAAACTTTTTTTAAAAGTGCTCTTACGGTATACGGAAGTTCTTTTGTACATTGCCCCAGTGGTATTATAACCGCGTTTTATGCGCTCACACCTCTTGTTGCCCTCATCTCCACGACTCATTGTAAGTATGCGGAAGAACGGCCTGACAAAGGGAGCGGCACTTATTTTTTGCTTTGCTCGCACTGTTTCCACCGCTTGCACAGTTTATGTTGCTTTAAGACGAGGCACGAAATGCATAGCTTAGCTTCCCCGATGGAGGGAAATTCTGGTGCATACAATCGTTTTAAAAGCCTCGAGTCGGAGTCACACTGCTGCTACGTCGTACAAAAGACGGTCTGCAGACGCTGTTCGAGGCATGTGTTTTCCTTGTACGACGGTCGTGCAAAAACTGTCGGCGGACCCGTTCGAAGCGTGCCAATGTCGGAAGCAAATACGCTTCGACCGTCGAACTCCTCGTATTTTGTACGACGTGCGACTGCGGACTTGCGGTCACCCCGCTATAGACACGGTGTCTCAAGGGTCGTGGACCATTTTGCGAACGGGTCTCGCGTAGCCTACAGTTTGGTCACTTTGGTTTCGAGGAACTCAAATTTTCTTTCGAGTTTTAAGGGCTCCTTCAAAGCAGGGGTACACATTGGCAGAGTTAGTCGTCAACTCGTGTATGATTGCTACGACAGTCCACAAAAATCACAAAACGAATCTCGAAGAGTGACGCGCCCCGGCAATCCAGAAAGGTGAGAAATCTAGGTCATGCGGGGCGGGGCGGCCGCACCACGCCCCTTTGACGAAGGACGAAACCGGAGCACGAGGGCGAGAGGTAGACGTGAAATATTAATCCGGCTAATAGGTGGGGAAGCCTCCTCGTTTGCTCCCCCCCCCCCCCCTTCCCGACCATATCCGTGCATATTGATTTTTGCATGGCAACCGCAACCTCCTCACTCTCCGGGCGGGGGGGATGCCGGTCGGCCTAGCCGCCGCTCCCCCAAACACGTGCCGCGCTTCGTTTGTTTGTTTTAGCGATGGGATCCTGCAGTAATCCCCAATTGCCTGCGACGGAGACGTTAAACTTAAAAACCTTTGACGCCGTCTTTGCAAGCCATTCGGGTCGTCGCGGTCGACCCGCGGCTGGGTTGTGCGAAGGGTTTGTGGGGTTCGCCTCTATGCTGCTCTTTAGGGGAAGTTCGACACACCTCCCTTCCCCTTGCCTTGCACTTTTTTGTCGCATTTTTCCCAGTCCAAGTATGTTTTTATTTCGCTGTCGTTTCTTTTTTACCTGCGCGGGGGTCCTAGCCCTTTGTTTCAGGCGCACGTGCTCCTGCGACAACGCGATTGCAGAAGCTCGTTAAGAGTTGCCCTTTTTTTTTTTCTTTTCTTTTGGTTTCGTCTGGATTCCTTTTTTCTTTTTTGTGCGTGCACTTTTTCTTTTTTGGCTCGTTTGCTGTGGCTCCTGCGTTTCACGGGCCAGCACTTTTCCCTGCGGCGAGGGTGAAGCGACGCAAGACTGGTCTCCGCGATGAAGGGCATTCGGCCGAGCGCAAACTGCGACGTTGTTTTGCTGCAGTCGCTGGCGCCTCCTCGTCTCGACCTGTCGGTAGGTGGCACCTTTGTTGTTTGTGTTGCTTACGCTTCTCCCGGCCTTCTTCCTCCTCTTTTGGTTTTGTGCCGTCTTTCCTCGCTTTCCGCCCCCTGGCCAATCGCACGAGTCGTTACGAAAAGCCACTATTTGGCTGCGTTGACTTGTCGCCTGTTCGGGACGGCAGTGTTTCTACGAGACATTAGGTCTCCTGGTTTCAACTGCATCGAAAAAGTTGCGCCGCGCAGGCAGAGAAGTTTCATGTGTTTCATCCACATAACTACCGTAAAATACCGAGCATCCGCCCATGCCAGAATAAGCTCCCACTCTAAATTTTCAAACATTGTTAAAATACACGAATGCCATACCTTTACATATTGTTGACCTAAGGAGCGCCCATCCCCCAATTTTACGTGACGATCTCCAAATTTCGAGTGGGCGCTTGCTCACGATTTTACGGTAGTTTTTTCTGCTCGATTTGTATTGTACAGCAAAACCTCGTTATAACGAAGTTGAAGGAGCGGTCGTAATCATTTCGTGAATTACTGGCATGAATATTAAACCAGCTTGATGCTTTTCCCTCGAATGACAGGCTTGTTCATGTTCAACGGCATTGCAGAGACTGGTTTAGCACGACTACAGTGCAATCCACTTAAAGCGATACCACATACAGTACAATCTACTTATAACGATACCACATATAACGATGTACTGCTTATAACAATCAGTTTGTAGAGTTTCTAGACTAGAAACAATCATTTTCTATTCCAGGTACAACGATGAACGGATAACGATTGGATTTTCGGGTTTTCTCATTATCGTTATAAATGGATTGCACTGCACAACAGTGTTAAGGATGCTGTACTAGTACTTAGGTCTAAGGTACTAGAATCGAATGACAAGTCGAATTGAGTGCTGTTTAATTTGTACCAAGTACCATGTTTTCCGGGCTATAGTCCAAACAGTTTAGGCCGAAAAAATAAGTTTTTGCTTAGATAGTTTGTACATCGCCCGCACACCGTGCATAGTCTGCCCCCGGTGCTTAGTCAACATGAAAATCTTCTCGCATACGGCACACCTTGACAAATGTCTGCTTTCTTAGCTCATAAAGAAGCTTGTATTATACATAAATCATCATTAACATACTCTTCCATTCACAAAATCCGTCATATCTCGTGATAGTGAACAATCTTGAAAAACAAAAAAGCCTGAGATACACCTAAGCACTTCTTATGAGTTGTGAATGCAAAAACACGCACGCCGCTCTTCGCTCCCTTTCGTCTGCGGCATGCGGCATGCTGACCTTGGGCGTGGAACGGTGGAGCCGCTGCCTTGCGGACAAGCAGCACCATTGGGTGAGCGATCACTGAAACTGACGCGCAGCGGCCAATGGGAGCCTCGTTGAGGCGCGCCAGCCAATGGGAACCAAAGCCGAAAATTCATCAGCTTTACTTCGCTCCTTTGGGATCGGGGAAACTACATGCCGTGTCTTGGCTTTTCGCGTGGTTTCATAGCTGGGAGCTGGCTACACTTGGAGAAAGGATTTAAGGTGCCGTTTTCACACTTCAAACTGATGGCGTCTGCTCGCTCCTAAGACAGTTAATGCTTTCGCATTAAAATTCATGTATAGTGCACATGCGTGGGTAGTCCGCACAGCCTAAAATTTCAACTTTTAAACATCTATAGTCCGCAAACTATAGCCCGGAAAATACAGTACTCGTCATATTGAGTATGAAACTTGAAACAGAAGCATGAAGCTTGTCTCTTTGCAAACTCCATTCCTAGATTTTTCTCAGCTTAGCTTTCAAATTGCTCATCCAATCTTGCTGCCTATGTGGCATTCTAAGCTGAAATTGTTGGTAGAATGCATTACCCTTTGGAAGTAACAGAAGTGTCAGCTACTTGTTTCAAAAGCCTTGCTCAAAGCAGAATGGAGCTTTAGGTCTTTTGCAACACTAGTTTATTTGGGAATGGTTAACTTTCTTTGCATTGAAGCTTCGCTTGTGTGTCAGTTAACGAGATTCAGAGTAATCAAAGCAATGTCTTCGTGCCCGACCCATCTTTGGGACAGCTTCTTTGAAATTTCAATGCACATTTGAAATCTAAAGAGAAAAATGATTGCAGCGAAGGCCAGGGGAAGATATCCTTTTTCCGCACCGAAGAAAAATATTGTAGCGCAGTCGCTTGTCACCGTGAAGACTGGACGTGCCAAATCGGTCTCATCTTCTTTGCCTCCCCTCTCAACAGGCCGGCAGCGTTTCCAAAAGCAACCGTTCGTCGCCAGCCTCTTCGACGGAAGGCGCCGCCACCTCAGCCACCGCCAACGACCCCAACCCAAACTCTGCGGCCGACGAAGAGAACGCGACAGCCGCGCCATCTTCCGCCGGCTCGAGCATCGTCTCCCCGTTCGAAGACCTCCGGGCGCCGCTCCTGGTTGCCTCGCCCTCCGCCTCCCCGCGGCGCAAGAGCTTCGCGACGCGCCTCCGACGCCTGGGCAGGCTCTCCTTCTCGGGCGGCTCGACGGAGGGCTCCTCCCCCGAGAAGGCGGCGAGCGGTGTGGCCACTACCAGCAGCGGCGCCACCCCGCCGAGGCCGTCGAAGGGCATCCTGAGGCGGCGCAAAGTGCACTGCTCCAAGCGCGAGCCCGCCGCCTCGTTCGGCACGGAGAGCAGTACGGAGGAAGGCTCGCCCGAGCGGAGGCGGGGCGGCCGCTTCTGCAAGCGGGCCCTCGGACGGGTCTTCCGGCTCGGCTCCGCCGGTCCGCGCCGGCATGACGGTGAAGACGCAACGGAAGGGGAAGGGGATGTGGAGGAAGAGAGGAGGGTGCCCAAGTCCGTGAGCATCGAGGAGCCTGAGAAGTCGCCGTCGCGGCGCCAGGAAGGGGCCCGGCGGAGCGACGCGTGGAAGAGGAAGCGGGTGAAGAAGCCACCACTCGTGTTCGGGGGCACCTTTCCGATTGACGAGCCCGTGGCGACGGCGCCGAGGTCGGCCGTCGGCAGAGCGGCAGTCGAGAGCCTCAGCGTCGCCACGTTTCCCGTGGACGCGTTCTGCTGCGCAATGCCCAACCTGTGCGAGGGACACGCTCGGAGGGCGACGGCGGGCCGCGCGTTGGAGCGCCGGGCCACAGTGGGGGCATCGGCCAGCGAGTCGGAGGATCCGGAAGGGAGGGGGTACGTCGCAAGTGTCGCCAGGCCCGCCTCTGCGGGCGGGGGGGAGGCGCCGGCACCCAAGGATGCCGCCGGGACTCGGAGGCGGAAAGGCCCGGCGTGGCTGCGGCTGTTCGGCAACGACACGAAGGTTCACGAGTGTTAAAAAGAGGAGTTTGCCGAGGCACGCGCATTTGCGTCGCATCGTTGCTCATTGCAGTCCCCGGCGGGACGACAGCGGCAGTTATTTTCCCACCTTGGGCACGAGCTTCCTACCTTTGATAACGCCTCGATGTCTCGCGAGCTTCAGGCAAGCAAACGTGTGGCCCAAATGCAGTCGAAGGCAGCAGCATTTGGTGAAACCTCTGCATTTTCGCTTCAAACTCGTTTCCTTGGGAACTATCTGCGGTTGTCTCTCTGGTCCCTCGAGTTTGCGAGTTTTGGAAGGGCACCGATGATTCTGACGCAACTAGAACTGTGTCGATTGTATTTATCAGTTTCTAAATTTCTCGGAATCCAGGATCCCGTCAAAGTGGACGGCTTCACGGCCCTGTGTTGCAGCACTGGTACCGCAGCTTGGAGGATGCGGTCGTAGTTGGAATCAGTCTGGGCTTTTCCACGCGTCGCATTTTTATCTGCATATAAGCGCGCGCTATGCTGCTCAATGCCCTGAATATATTGCCGTATGAGACATGTCCCACAGCGTGGCATTTCTAATCTAGGTGCTAACCTAGGCGCAACAAATGAGCCTGCCTTAATTTCAATAGCTCTCTTGCACTCTTTCCCATTTTGCCAGTGAATAAGTCCCGACATGCTTCTCACCAAAATACTTTGTAAGTGTTTGGACACACAGACAAAAACCAAGCAAACAATAGGATCTGCCCCATATTGTGCATTTACACGGTACCATGCTGCATTGTAACGAAGCATTTCTTAGTCCAATGTGCAAGAGTGACTCTGCACATGCTAGTTTGCATACCTACTGTTTGGTTTGAAATTGAAACCACGACTAACTTCTTTCCTTTATTTCCGTGTCCAATATTTCTTAGTGCACAACCCATTCGACATGAGGTGTTAGGAATAAGCGTACTTACACTGTTTCCTACATGAAGTCTTCAAATATTATTCTAGTATACTCTTGTATTTGAGCCTGTGCTTAGAATTGTGTGTTAATGCTGGCATGCCCAGATAACAACAAACTGTTTTAACACTGCTAGAGCCACAAAACTTTGATGCTGTGGCCTATAGTGGGTTTTGGGTATGCTGCAACTCTTGGTCCGCTTCACGCATAATAGTGTCGGTCAAGGCTATTGAGCATCCTTGCTGTTTAAGAGAATTGTGATGCCCTTTGTCAACACCACTGCTTGTTTCTCTCTTTCAGTGCAAAAGTGCATTTTATCGAGTATGAAAGCCAATGTTGTGCACTTCTCCAGAGAAAATAGTACACCTGTGTTTCGATTTTGAGTTAAATACAATTATAAAAAGTTAGTTGGGAGCCCCAGGCAACAATGTGCCACATCTAGCAGAAAAGTAGCTACAGCCAGAGTTTTAGCCAAAACGTTGCCCACTAATGGAACAATTTTAGCTGAGCCTTTACACTGAAATGCTCTAATGCCCAATTTGTCCGGGCCCACGTCGCACCGCTGCGGTGCGGTTCGTGGTACAGGCAAGGATAGAGGGGAGAGGGGAGCTTCCTTCCCTACCCACCAGCCTTCTGTGTACTAAAGTTGAAAGAGTTTACTGCACTGCATAAGTGTGGTGTGCTCCAGACGAATAGGCTAAGTAGTGCGCTCGTGGTATGCTCTGTTCGCAGACAACCTAGAGAGAAAATCGGCCCATGTTTGCACTATTTATTGCCTTCGTATTTGGTGCTCTTCTGCTCGCACAGCCTTTTTGCTGGCACAACTCGTCTGTGCATTACAAACATCTGTCTGACCTGGATGCCTTCGACGCTTGTTATGGTGCTATCGGCGTCAAACTGTTTTATATTCAGGTTGCTTTGGCTCCCGCTGCTTCTGGGAGACCCAGAACGTCGTTGCCTGTCATTCTTTGTTCTTGCTTCATGTTTGCTTCAGTTTTATTGTAGAGCTAGTCAAAGGTTTATTAATGTTGAGTAATAGTTTTGAGAGTGTGTTGTGGCTATTGCTAGGTAGACTGCATCACCTTGCACTTTTTTTCTTTAAAGTACTGAAAGCTTTTGACATAGAATACATTTAGGGGAAGCTATTTAGGAAAAGACTGACAAAAAAAAATATGGAAGTGACGTCACCAACGTCACGTCACCATGCGATGTGGCCACAGAGGTTACCTGACTGCGTCCACCAAATTTGCAGCGATTCCATTCACTTGGTACATCCCGAACTTGGGTGGCCATTGCAGTAGTGTCACCACCACAGCAGGTATATGCCTCGCAGGTGATGCCTCCCTCCCATTGGCTGGCATAAGTGATCACGACGCCCATTGGCTGGCATAAGTGATCAATCATGTCACAATAGTTACAACTGTGGCATTCTCGACAGGGGTGTGGTACGAGTCACGGTACATACGAAAGGATTGCACCAAGATGAACCATCCCAAAAACATATTTTATGTATGACGATTTTGTCAGGTGTGGGCCAGAGTACTGCCACAAATTTTCAGCTGAGACTCCGGCTTTTTCTTGTCATTAGACCCCTTATTGCCGACATCAGCAAATAAAAGTACTATATTGATGTTGATGGGTTGCTCGTTGTTTCCTGAACCTCTGGGTTTCTGCTTGTTTTGTGTGGGATTTAGTTTAATTGGAAGGCATTTGTTTCACAAAAAAATTGCTTTTACTACTACTATCTATGTGTTCTGCTGCAAATGTACACTGGTGCATTTGTACTACCTACTTGTACAAACAGTTTCTGTAGTACAATTGCACCAGTGTTACTGGTTGACGGATGTGAAAAAAAACTTTAAGCAGACTCGGAAACTGTATTTTAGTTTGCATATGAGGACGTTTTTTTTGTGAAATTTTATTTAAATTTTAAACAGTATGTGCAGAAACATTTTTATATTTTTAAATTACGAAATTCAAAATATATGAAAAAACAAATTGGGTTTTTAAAGCTGTCTGCAGTTGCATCAAGTATTTACAGGGCAAGAAAATGTTTGAAGTAACAGAATTAGTAAAGGTCAAAACATACAAGCGAGTTTCACTTCGTAAATTTTTATTTATTTTGTTTGATAAAAACTATGACATTTAAACCTTTTTTTTTTCTTTTTTTTCTTTTTTTTTTTTTTTTTTAAGGTGTAGAGACTTTTTTTCTAATAGCAACCAAGCAACAGGTTTGTAAGTAGGATGTATTCAAGTTAAAATGACTCAAAACGAGAATCCAGAAGTTGTGCCAAATTCAGGATGGCTGTTGTGTGCCCTCAGACATTCTAGCCAAAATTGCTGTCTACGTTAAAGCCATAATATCATCTTTCCAGGGGACATCAAAGGTGCATTCTGAAGGTTTGGGCTTTCCGTATTTCCCAGACTGTAGTCCGTGGACATGTTTAATTTTCCGCCGTGCGAACAATCTACAGGCACTGATAAGGACTTGGTCTTTCTAGATTGTTCAGTCTGACAAGACGTGATGTACCACGACTAATAAAGCAGGCATTTGTCAAGGCGTGTTGTGTGCAATGTCTTTTTACATTACCTAAAGGAAATTTTTTTTTTTTTCAGCCACGATTTGCTTTTGCAGGTTGTAGACCATTTCACTAAATGCTTTCAGAGGGGCACCATTTTTGTTGCATCCGAGCATTTCAACGAATTTGGCGGGGTAAAAGGAGGAGAGGGCACGTGCCCGATCTTGATTGCAGTCAAGCTCCATGTTTGGGCAGTACCCATGGGCTGAACCGCACATCTAGCACACGCTTTGTGCTGCCTCATGAAAATTTACGATTTTGTTTTGTCTGCACCGACCAGTCACCAAGAATATAAAAGTACAGAGAGAACAGAAACATGGTCTTATCACAATAGAACATTTATGGCTACTCAAGGAGCTGTCTATTGTGCTGTGATGTCTTATTTCAATAAGCAATCGGCTAATGTACCTTTTTTCGGTTACTCCGATTACAATGGCATTTGCCGGTAGTACTACCCTCAACCATTGTGTCTATTGCATCGGCAGAAAATAGAATCCTAATTGTATAAATCGGAGTTTGAAAAAGCTTTCTTTGTTTTTCTGAAACACTATGCAAACATAAGATTTTTATTACTCCCGAGTCAGAAACATTAAAACCCAGATGATAATGCAATTTAATGCAAAGGTGCTAGCGAGCTGGACAAGAATGACGAAAATAATCTCTGGAGAAGGGGAACAAGGGGGACAAAAGACATACAAATCTCCAAACTCTATCTCTTTTTGGAGATTTGAGTTTGTCCGTTGTTCCCCTTCTCCAAGGAATGTTTTTGTTAAACCCCTGAGTGGTTTTCCTTACACGTTCCTAGCCATATGTATAATGGAATTTCGTTAGCCAATGAAGCACCGTGACGTCAATCTTAGCTGCTTTACTTTTATTTTTTATAAATTACAATAAATAACCTTGCACAACCCCGCTGTCGGCCTACCTGCATTGCTTGGTTTTCAACGGTGCATTTAAGTCAATTGCGCACTCATTAGTCACTTTCCAAGTAGCACCTACGTGTAAACATCACAAAAAGTTATTTTGGTAACAAAGACCACTACAGACATCTGCAATAATGGAAGCCCTATAAGGTACTCATATCCAAGGCTAACAGGCAATGAAGTATGTGCAAACTTGTTGTTTGTTAAAAAAAAAAAAAAATTGCACTGTTGTTGTTTTGTACTTGAACACACTTTTCTTTCCTTTTTTCTTGTTTTATCCTAGACTTCCAACACAATTGCTAAAGGAAGGCCTAAATCATTAGGAACAATATCTTGCAAAACGCTGCTGCAACTGCATTAACTTTTGGCCGGAGGCGACAGCCCAGTTGCAATGCAGCAGGTCACAGCAGGATTGTGCCTGGTTAGTCTCTTTGCCGGCTAGTCCGCCTCCGTGGCACTGAGGGTCTGTTTCGGACTCCGGAGCGCAAAGTTGAGGGTTCAATCCCTTGGCGGTCCCATCCTCAAGAAGTACTTGGGGTGTCGCTCATAGTTGTTGTTGCTTTGCAACGTAAAACCCCAATTTTTTTTTTCTTCATAACTTACATTAACCTGCACTTCTAAATTCACGCATTTGGCCCTAGTATTGCCGAAATGACGCGATTTTCAACCGTCTTCGCACGTCAACCAAACGTTTGGTACCGCCCAGTCTTTGGAGCAGATGACGCACCAGGGTGAGAGGAGATAGGGCACCTCCCTTTCCGCCCGTTTTAGTGGAATGGTCTATACACTGGGCGAGGAACAGTCCTGATATTATGGTAATCCGATGAAAACCAACTCGGGGAAATCTTCCTCGATGGTTCGCAGTCCTCCGCCCTGTGGCGTCGCCTAATTGCCTTGGTCAATGAATGGCGGGGGAGATATTTTGATGCGTTACCCTATATGACATGCTTTCACAAGTGCCTCTCATTGTTCCGAGTGGACCCTGTACCCTTTGGCAGGTTAGGAAAAGCAGGACGTGCTTCTTACGCAAAGCCCTCTACTTTAGCGAGCAAACGCTGGAGAGGAGGCAAGCGAGAGACTCCTTCTTTCCAGCTTTAGCTCTTCTAAAGGGGGAGGAGAGGAGCATGTCCTACCTCTAACCTCCCACAGGGTATAGTATGGAGAGCCAGCGTTGTCATAGAGGACCGGAAAACAAAGCTATTGTAAGTAGTAATCATTGCGACTAAAATTTGACCGCAAATCCCAAACAGCCTATTGGCCTTTTTTTTTCTTTCTTTAGAAAACTGTTGGTTTTTCGAAACTAAGGCCTCTTTAAAACTTTGTTTCCTGATGTAAAGGGAATGACATTCTGGGTAGTAAATGCGTTAAAATCGAAACAGTGTTTTTGTTACAGAAAGCTTCAGTTCTGGCCAGGACACGTTTATTTTGCACCAGAAAAGAAAAGAACTGACTAGCACAACAAAAAGAGCAAAAATCTGTTAAACCGAAACGCATGAGTGACGGTGACTCTTGACAGTTGGGAAGAGTGGACAACCTCCGTCGCATTTTGTTCCCACTTCTCGAATTCAGAATCAATATTTCTAAAGATGCAACTCGTACCATAAGAATAAGCGAAGCTAGTAAATTATGATTTTAACATTTCTTAAAGTTTAAATATTCTGTAAGGTCATCTGTCCCATAGCTGTTTCCTGTAAGTTTACCTAGGAATGTGTGTTAAGAATATAATATGCAGTCATGGGATCGCATGCAATGGTGTTTAAATCCAATCGATAACATCCTAACCTAGACATCCTGAAAGGAGGAACATACACCTGCTCATACAACTTTATTTTTCATTTTTACTGATGGTTCCTGCGGAGGTAGACCAAAGAATATTCCAGGAGTACCACAATCCATGGTATCCGCTTGCTTGGAAGAATCAAGCTAATTGAGTTATCTGATTGACTCATGTCAGCCATGTTGATGCAGTACTGAGATGGTTGATTGCAGTGCTGCAGCACTGTTTGGAAGTGAAAGCATGGGAGTTTCAGTGCTACTCTAGAAACAATCACTGGCTGTAGGTTTATCCAAACTAAGTCCTGAAGGACGCCACTCACCCATGATTTTCAAGTCGTGCGGATCAGGCAGTCGTGGGCCCTTCTCACTGAGATGGAGCTTCCTCACTTGCCTCACTCTCCCAACATCGGAAAATGGGGTGCTGCTCGGCTACAAAAGCCCATGAGGGTATCACCGCAGACCATTCTTTGCTTCCTCGAGAAGTGAACTTGATCACAGCAATGCAACTTAGAATAAAAGCAATGTAGACTCTAATTCACTTTTTATCCTTTGAGAGGGCGATAGGCGGTTGTCTAAAAGCCTGCCATTCCACACAGGAGCTTGTGCGCTTCTGTATCTTTTGTCTCATAAAATCTGGTACACCAAAGATATTCCAAACCGTTAGCTTGGGTCATGTTTGCAAAATATTGAGTTCACAAAAAATAAAGTTCATTACAGTACTACTAACTAATTTTGAACATCAAATAATAAAAATTTCTGTATTAGCTTTTTACCAGTTCTTTTAAATAATATTTGCCACACACTACTAGTCAGACTTTTTGCCGTAAAAACGCTGATAACAGAAAGCCCTGTAATGTACTGTTCCTAATGTCATCCCTTGGTTCCTGTCCCCGCCCGTGTTCAGGAGGCCCAGCAGCAGGCACGGCGGACATCGCGAGAACGGCTCAGCAGCATCAGCAGTGCCGCCGACCCCCGGGATTCCCGGCGCGACAGTGTCGACAGCAGTGGGTTCATGGGACGTCCCAGGGTGCCCTCGGGGCCCAGGGGCTCCCTCCAGACCGAGACCTCGGGCTCAGACTCCGAGAGAACACGGAGCGCTGGCAACAAGCCTAAGCCCCCGGTAGGTCGTCGCCGCCATGCGAAAGCCTCAAGGCGGCGGGCGTCGCCGGCAGAATCACGTGCATAGAGCGTTTTTGGGAAAAGGGCCGCCTCTCTCTTATGGATGACCTCGAAATGTCTCGAGCATTGTGGGGTAGCTTACCTTTGATTGAGATCTGGTGAAAGGCCCGATGCATGTTTGCCCGTACGTTCGTGGGAAGAGCAAACAGGCCTTTTCCCCACACGTGAACAAACCGGGATGTGTTGCAAAGAGCTGATGCTGTCCGAATGTGTCGCTCTACCTTGTTTCACTTTACGGTGGACAGTCTACAACAGTATGAGAGACCCGTTAGGCGAGGCAGTTTCAAGTGGCTGTGTTGGATTTGCTCTAGCCAGGCCCACATGGATTGCGATAAGGAGATAAGTTAAACTTCAATCTGTTGACTCTCTAAAATGAAGGTTCCTCTGGCCAAAGTGCGCTTAACGCCGCCGCGTCGCCTGCATGGGCGAATGGGTCGTTCGTATTGTGCGAGTCTGTACCGCAACAGAGTGCCATCGTCTTCAAAATATTAGGATAATGAAAACTAAGGGAGGCAAGAGTAAAAGAGTTGGGCATGTTTCGTGTTTAACCAAAACTGAAGCTCAGTTTACCCGGCTTTCTCTATGATGAAGAGTTGAAGCGACTCTTCATCTTTCATTTTCAAGCTAGTTTTGTCTACCTTTTTGTCTTCATTCATTTTTGTGCCTCGCATAAGATTGCTTAGCTTGTTTTGTTTACGTTTTTGATAGTGTGTAATTCGGCTTTTGTTTCTGAAAAGCCATTTTGGATCAAAAGTAGAGTTTGAGGCATGGGAAGTGAAGTCCTTTTTGGAGACTAGACTAATGTTTAATGAAAGAGTATGTCATCATAAAATGGCTTACGAGTAGGTAAGTGCATTTTGTATCAGTCAAGTTGAATGGGAAAAAACGGCGTCCTCATAGACATGTTTGAAAATATGGATCAAGCAGCAAAAGAGGCTTTATTAGATGACAAACAGTTTAGACTTCCCTTATGTACCAGGGGTGAAAAGAGCAAAACTAGTCAGAAACCCAGGAAGGCGCTGGGTTTCTCACCAGCTTATTTTACTACTATGTCATCTGTATAAAAGTGTTCAACTGTGGCTGCTTGTGGTTTAAAATGTACACCCTCAGATGCCTCTATGCTGCCCTCCGTGCCATTTCTGGTTCAGTGTTTCGGGCATGTGGCAGTTTCTATTGTGCTACTACCATCTAGAACTTGTGGGCTTCTCTTTATTGTTATTACTGAACAGTATTAACTCTATAGACCAGTGTCTCCCGTTTGGTGGGCGCCGCCGTGTTTGTTTATGCTGACGCCATGGCACAGTAGGGGAGCTGTGCTCTTTACAAGACATGTTCGTTTTAGAAATGTTTGACATATCGTAGTGCAAGAACGTCAGAAATGCATATTCACGAAGGTCCAAGATCAACACCGATGTCAAGAGTGCTGTAAAAAACAAAAATCTTTTTTTATGCGCAGCCCCTCTCTTTACAAGAGCCTGCGTTCGAGATTATTTTTCATTTTCATCACTGGGTGCTAAGATTTCGGACACTGGTCTATAGCTAATGCATTTTAAACCATCGCAGCCACGAATCTTTCCTTGCTGCTTTATAAACTTATTGCCACAAGAGTAATCACTTCATGTCATTCGCAAATTACAGCTTGTGATCGAAGCGACGTCTCATAGACCAAAATGAGTTGCTGGGCGAGTTGGTTAGTCGTATTGACTTAAACAGTGCAAATAAGGTAAGGAACAAATCCTTGCTTACCTTATTTGCGCTGTTTAAGTCAATACATCTCATAGAGACACATAACTGGCCCTTGATATATAAATGGGGCAATTGATTAGTGTGGACATTTACTTTGGTCATTTTGCTCAAAAATGTATACTCTGCTTCGTACTTGGTGTACAACGCTGTCCAAGCGCCTGATTTGCAGGGGAGCAAGGCCCTACATGAAGCCTATATCACTCCTGCCAGCGGCTTTAACAGCATTGTACACTAACTATGAAACAGAGTGCTATGTTGCTTGACAAAAATGATTTTGGAGCATGCTTGCATTGTAGGGGCATTGACTGCTGTGTGTTTGAGTGAAGACCTACCAGAATGAAACAAGGCTTGGCCAGGGGGACTCCTTTGGTTTCTCTGTGTAAACCTGTGTCCGTGCACATTTGCCATTTTGCCACAGGTGGCTGGGAAAAGCTGGCTAGGGGGAATCTTTGGGAAGCTGCTTCCCAAAGCGTCGAATCAGATGATTCTCCCAGATGATAAGGACCCAGATGTACGTGGCTCGTTTCTCCTCGGGGCATGCATGCACTGTCCACACTGGTGGCTGGCTTTTTCTTCCTTTTTTTTTTTTCTTTCTTTTTCTTTTGTTACTTTGGTGTTTGGGTCTAGAAAAGTGGTTTGGTGGTAGGAAAGCCTGCTCCCTGAGCCCTTCGAAGGTATGTGGGACATGTTTTCCCACAACTCTAGAAAGGTTTATTGTTGCGGTTTAGTGAATACGAGGTCCACATGCGATCATCGGCAATAATTTTTTGGAAGTTAAAGCAGGTCGATACAATCAGTGGGAAAAAAACTTCTCGCCACGATGTTCACTTTGGCATATCAATAGAGTGCTTTAAAGTTGTGGCGAGCACGAGTCCTACGTACCTAAAGGGCTGCAAGCCAGTCTTGAAAGAGGTGGGAAACAGGATTTAACTTGAGCTTAGTAGTGTAGTACAGAAATCAGTCTAAAGCAGCTAGGCCTTGTGCTTCTAAGACAATGTGTCGAAGTCCTGTTGTTTTTTTGTGGTTTTTTTTGCAGCTGTGGTACAGTTGAACGTTCTTATGGAGCAGTGACCCTCCTTTTTAGGGCCATACAGGGAAAATATTTGATGAGGGAGATGTGGGGAAAGGTGTAGTAAATAAATCGCTAAACATTAGGACTGGGTAATCACGTACGATTTTAAAGTCAGGTGCGAATCACTTGTACTTATCCAGGAAGAATTAAGTTTAAGCTGTACGGTTAGGACTTCTAGTTTGTGTGGCTTGGAATGCATGAGAGTTTGTCAACCTAGTGCAGCTTGCATGCAGCCGACCTCAGGCTTCTAGCATACTATCCCAGTTGAAAATTTCCATTAGACTTCATCTAGAATTTCCCATTGGTGCCAGTTAGGTTTTCGGACAACCAATTGGTCACCGACAATGAGCGCCAATGGGAACCAACAAGAACCATTTGGAACCCATTCAGGTTCCAACTGGAAAGACTATTTGACTTGGTGAGACCCATTGGCCAGTGTGCTTTTAATTGGAACCTGCTAAAACCGATTGGTTCCAATGAAAACCGGTTAGAATTCCAATTGGATCTAATGGGAATTTTTAGCTGGGATACCGCATCCTAATAAAACCAAGAATACCCAAGTTACTTGTTGATTGTCAAGAACATTAAACAATAGGATAGCTCGACGGACAGACAAGAACACGAAGAAGATTGGACAAGTGTTACGCTCATAGCTTACATTTATATGCAATCACAAGGGAGAGGAGGAAAAAGTTATGGTAGTTATAATCAAAAAGATAATAAGGATGAAAGCAAAACAAGGAAATGGTTTGCACAGGATTCATTAAAGCAATTTAGTGATAAAATGACCATAAATAAAGGAAGAGTTTCGGTACTCCGTTCTGATGACTCTGACAACGACATGCTATATACTCCGCCACTGCCTTTGCGCATGCATCGCATCGCTATCCGACCGATCTACGAAAACTATAACATTTCAGTTCATCTCTCAAGTTGCACGCAGTGTCAGGAGGGCCACGGGTGCAAGCACGCATCTTTTTAAAGTGCACTGTTTTCTCAAAAGCTCCTGCAGTGTTAACTATTTTCTGAGGTTATACAGTCATCTTCCTATTGCACACAACTTGAGATAGTAGAAGTGTAGAGAACACTATTGGGTGCCCCTTTTTGGTGGCATTGATTAACACTTTGCAGCACAAACCAGCGTCGGTGAAGCAACATGTCCCTGTTTCTGTTTCGCTTTCTCCAGATTGTGTGGGACGACCAGAAGAAGTGCTGGGTGGACAAAAACGCTGGTCCGGGCGAAGCGGAGAACAAGATGATGGCGCCACCGTCCGACGATGCCTTGGGGGGTAAGTGCCATCCCCCCTAATGACTGTTTTGAATTCAATTTCCTGCCCAGAGCAGTCAAAGAGTGGAAAGCTTTACCCAATAAAGCTGTGTCATGAACATCTCCAAGTGAATTTTCCAAATGCATTGGAAAGTATTGTTTGAGATGCCCACCACATATCGCGATTTGGCTGTGACATTTTCTTTTTGTGTCCATGAAAATAAATATGCCTTAATTTTTTTTTTTTCTTCTTTGGTATTCTTTTTGGTCCATGCTTTGATTATTCATGGCAAGATGCTGGCTTTTCTTATTGGGTGACTGGTTCAGTTTGTGTATCATTTCTGTTAAAGTGTGTGTTTTGGTTTTAATGCTGTGATTTCCACTCCTGTAATAGCCCTCATGGGCTCGCAGTATTAATAAATGGAAGGAATTAATTAAAGTGTTCTCGCACCCTGCGATACCACCTCATTGCATTTGATAAAATGTCTAAATCCGGCGATTCTTTTCCGTGTTCTTTTTTTGTGAGGCACGCGATTGTTGCTGTTTCTCGTTGCTTGAAGTTGAAAGACGTTCTCTCCGGGTGAACAGGGAAAGCAGCCCCGATGGTCGGCAAGCCTGGCCAGAACCGGTTCCAGATGAACAAGCAGCGCGGTGAGTTTCTCCACTTGGCTCTGTGCCGTTTAGACGCGCTCGTGGCATTGGTCATGGGTTTTGTGTTGCATCGCTTGGTTGTCTTTGTGTAATAGCCAGCAAAACTGTTTGGGAGTCTTGGCAAGGTTTCTGTGGTTGTCCGTGGTGATAGATTGATTTCGCCGATACTTTTCGTGCGGACGTGGCACCATTGCCAACCTCTGGCCTGTTTGCTGTCTCAGTGGTTTGCAAGGTTTTGTAAAATGGTCTTCTATAATCTTCTCAAGATTTCTGAAAATACTTACGTCTTACTTTTTTCAAGGAGACCAAATGTTTAATGTCAAATATGTGTGCCTTGCCACTCCAGCTATATAACCGAGGATACTATTGGTGCTTTTAAGGTTGGATTTTATGGGGGTAGGGCAGCTGAATGTCTTCTACTGTATTTGTTCTCATCTCCATCCAAATGCTAGTAGACTTTGATGAATGAAAACTAAACCAGTGCCTAAAATGACGGCGACAAAGTTGAAGTGGACAGAACAGGTGCTGTTTCATCCACTTGTTTAAATTTTTGCTGTTATTTTTGGTGGTGTTTTAATCTTTATTCACTCACAAACCAACTCATCAAAATTTTTTTTATTATAGTAGTGGATTTCAGGGAGGACTGTTTATACATATTTGAACCATCCGCATCTCGCATCGCCCATACTTATTTAAGAAGCCTAGGCAAAGTGGCGTTTTAACCTCAAATCACTCTGCACTGCAGAATGTTTGTTCTTTGTATTTTCAGTCTGCTGAATAAAGCGAGCCGTAAGTCCAATGAATTTCGTTAGAAAGAATAAAACATAGGGGACAAGAGGTTTCTCCCTTTGCAGTTCTCCCCGTGTTTTGTTGTTTCCAAGCAAAGTTATCTCTTCCGTCCTGTTGAGTTTGTACGGAGCAAGATGGCATGTTTGTAGCACAGCGGTGGCTCGCTCATAGCCCTCATTTGGTGGACTGCAGTTTTCAGGAACAATTATGTGGACATCCTGAACCCTGGGGGAGGAGCGAAGACGACCAAGGAGGCGACGTTCCCGGCTCCCGTGGCCCCTGCGTTGCCTGAATCGGCGGTGGGCCAGGGCCCTCCCCCGCAGTTCTTCATACCTCAACCACCCTGTGAGCATTGCAGCATGAAGTGGCGTAACGTACTCGTACAAAAGTTTTACGTGCTAAAGTGTGAATTAACCGTTTTTAGTTTTGGGGAGTTTCTGACCCTAAACTGCTTAATTGTTGTCTCCAAAATTACATTTGTTGCCTTCAAAATGGGAGCAAAGTTGTAAAAAATTCAACATTGCCATTTGTTGGGAGAGCTTCAAGCTAAGCCACGAGCGAGCCTGGTTCGTCCAAAACGGTCTAGTGCGGGAACTGGGAAAAGCAGACAAGCCATGCTCCTCCCGAACGGTATTACTCTGAACTCAAAAGCTGTCAACAGCTGTCTAGTTTACGTTATTTTTTGTTTGTGCTCTTTTTCTCTGTCACTTTGCCCCTTTTTTTTTACCTTTTTCTTTCATACACGTTCGCTAAATAAAATTTTAGCGTAGTAGAGGTTCCTGACAAAATATATTGAATAATGAAAGTATGTGTCGGGGCATTTTGCACCTAGTACATATTATTTGAGGTGCCATATTTCATTTCCTTTAACAACTCGCCGTCAAACTGGGCCACACCTCTACATCGGAAGGGCGACTCGGAAAGCCCAAAATGAAGTCGAGTAGACGTATAGTTTGTGCACAAACTAAACCAAACTTTTGGTTTTTCGTTTGCGGATTTGTACCTCGAGGAACAAATTGATGCAGCCTGGCCGAGGTTCTACAGATTCTTTTGACTTAGTTTGCTTAGTGCAAGTAGTCAGTTTCACTTTATGTGCGAGCAGAGCCGAAGCTACGAGCACGAGCACGTTACTCCCATCGACGCTCGCGCCTCATGGGCCCGCCGCTCGGCTGAGACACCGAAAGCCCGGAGCTTGCTTTTTTGGCTTCCGTCACGCTCGCACTCCATGTGAAGCGGAGTTATACGAACCTCGTGCACAGTGTCTGAATCCCACTCCTCCCTGTCTGCAGCCGACGGAGACGGCACCACTTCGCAGGGCTTTGATTTCGTTTCGCCGGCAGCGCCCAGCTTGTCGGACAATAGCCTGGGGCCCCCGGCCCCCCCTCCCGAGAGCAACGCACCCTACGTGAGTGTCCTTCCTTTCTCCCTCTCATGTCTCCTTGACCTCCTCATCCGGCAGTACTCCACGCCGTGTGGCGACGTTGCAACAATGAATCAATAGGCCTTTTCTGCGCTTGTTCCGCGCCATCTCTCGGCTGACCAAAAACTGTTTTCGATGGCCTTCCGAAAATTACGCAAGCCTAATCGTGCCGACGAAGACTGGTAAGCACAGAATGTGCAATAGGCCTTGCAGGGAAGAAAAGGGCGTCGGAATCGCACCACCTACCGAAGGTTAGCTCCCATTTCTGACACGCGCCGTGAGATGGTGCAGCACGACAGAATAGGCCGCGAAACGCGCAACCGCTCTCTCGCGCGCCGCACTTGATCCGACTATTGGCCCCGGATAGCTTGGTCGGCCAAGCGCTTGGCTGGCAATCTCAAGGTGCCGAGTTCGAGTCCTGCCGGGGACTGAAGTATTTTTATAAGATTCCCCATGAGTGCAACGCTTTTCGATGTCAGTTTTTCGTTACGGCCAAACGTTACAGGACTCGAAAATCAACCGATAAACATACTCTGTAGCATGACTCCTAACCGGCAATTATGCCTGTAGCGTTTGTTGCAGCCAAAAGCGAAACACGAATAAGGCGCGTTGCAGTTGAATTGCTGGGCTACCATCGGTACCTCGTTGTTATGCTAAGTGTGCCAATACCAATACACAAGCGCCACCGAAAATGGCAAACAGCCACGTCTGCTATCGCTAGGCAACCCTGGAAAAGACCCGTTGCATATACTCAAACCCCGTAAGAATGATTTTCGCAAGAACCCGTAGGTAAGAGGAACCAACTAAACCAACTTGATTTTCACCCAGTTTTGGCTTTTGTAAATTTGTCCCACCAGCCTTTGGACAAGTTCCACCCTACAACGGACCGCAGCAGGTTCTACGCACCGTCGGAGCCAATCCAATGCCGTGCAAGCGTCGCTTGACCTTCGGGTGCGGCTCGGCAATGTGCGGGGTGCGCATTGTCACGCGATACGTTCACAGCACTGGATGGGCGGGGATGGCTCGTAGGGTCTGCCGCAGTGTGTCGTAAGCTCAAACAAGGAATATCTGTGATTTTGGTAGTAGCTCTTACTTCTACTAAAATTCCACAGGAGGTAATAACGGAGATGTAGGTAGCAAGGTAAATCTATCGTCCGAGAGCCATTTACGATTCGGCACTGGCTAGGGGTGGTTTTCTCTTTCAGTTTCCTTCGCAATTCTTGATATGCTGGCAGATAGCTCGGAGACTTCACCTAGATCAGTAACCTATACTCTAGGGTTTTTAACAAAGGTAGACATCCAAGCACTGCAAATGTTGCAGTGCTTGTATACGCAAAACAATTCCAGAAATCTCGAGAGATGCAAAATAATTAACGAACGTCTACGGCATCATGGGCACCTATTTTGAGAGCACGGTAAAGGTCCTTGGTGGTCCAAGCTAATCGTCAGTCCTCCTCTGGGATGTCTTGCACGGCCTTCATTGGTTTGAGAGTGTGTTGTGAACTGCAGAAATCTCATTTTGGAATTCTTTTGTTTTTGCGACTTCCAGGGATCAGCGAAGCAGCCCGTATCGACCCCGATGATGTTCGACCCGGCTGAGTTTGCCTCTCGGTCGTCGGACAGCGGCACAGGCCACCATGTCGGAGGCCTGGGACGGAGAAAAGCCTATCCAGCGTAGCCTTTCGCCTTCATTTTCAACCACTCGATAGTTCTTTCTTTTATTTTTTTACTCCCTCGAAAACTTCTGTTATATGAAGTTGCATGAAGTTTCGTAATTTTTGTCTATGTGTGCAATTTTTTGTTCCTTTTTTTTTCCCTTTTATAGCATGTTGATTGCGTTTACGTAAACTTCTCCGCGAAGGTTTATAGAGAAACAAATTTTATTTTTGGTATTGTGACGACTGTTTTAGTGGCGTCAAAAAGAATAGGGTGCAGAATGAAAAAAAAAACGAAATTATCCTGGCAATTCAGGTGAGCTGTGTCGTTATGGCTTTGTTTTTTTGTTGTTTTTTTTCATCAAAGATTGCAGCACTGGATTAAGGTGGACTGAGGACATCTTGCACAGGAAAAGCGATTTAGGACTGCGTCTTTCATTTTGCTCTAGAGTTGCAAGCTCAAATAGAGGTGTCAAGGTGAAGCATGTTTAGGGTGTAGGGCTCCCTTTTTCTTCCTAGGTGGGGCTTTCTCCTTGTTCTGTATATTTCTGCGAGAGAAGGCAGATGTACACACTTTAGGAGTATTCCAATTTCTGCGACCGGTTTACCGTTAGGTTCGGCGAGTCATAATTGCGGCGTCTGCAAACAGTCGTCGAGCCTGCAAGTGCTTTGTGCTTGTCTTTCACAACCAGTGGGGGTCAAGTTGCTGTATAGACGGTGCACTGTGAGGCTGGGCAAGCTTTTTCGGACTGGATGCGGGGTGAAGTGTGTATGAAGAGAGCACAATTGAATAAAAAAAGATGTTGCTATTCGACATCTGGGCCAGTCATTGCACTAGTTGCGCACGAGGAATGTTTACCCTGCTGGCGAAACTCCACTAAAAGGTGAGATACAGTATGCGGAGCTCTAGTTCGTCTGCTTCTTGAGCAGGGGTTGCGATGACGTTGGAACGCCGAACTTCGATTGGAAGGATAGTGGGTAGAACTCGAGGCAGCTGGATCGAGGTGTACCTGAAGTCCCTCGATGGGTCTACCCACTATCCCTTTATCGGAGCCAATCGGAGCTCGGCATTCTGATGTCAGTCCAACCCTTGCAGACGAACTTGCGCTCCACATTGTTCAAGATAAGGTCACGGTCCTCTGCCAAAGGAAGACACAAACCTCGCTAAAACTTTTTTCAGCAAATTGCTTTCACCTTTTGGAAGATGCTGCTTTGAGTTGCATACAGTGGCGGACTGGAAAAAGGAGTCCGGATGTTCTGATTCCCCTCTTGAATTCTGCATGTGTAAAAGTTCAGGACGGGAAAACGGGAGGGGTCTCAAACATGATACGCTTATCCCTCCCCACCTCCTCCTCTGGAAATACCTGCGTCCGCCCCTGGTCGCATATATACTTCCCTGCTTCTGCGGTGCAGTTAATTTATAGTGATAAACAAATGGTAAATATTGCTTACAAATAACTGCTAGGCTAAACATGCATGACATGATTTCACTAATTCATTAGTTGTAATCTTGGTTCCTCCAACTCGTCATTAAATCTTCCACTGGACACTTGTAGCTAGAAATAATGAAACCCCCGAGATATCAAGAAGACCTAAGGGCAGTAACTCTTGATTGCATCTTTATTGGATGATGCCTGTCTGCTTTGCTTAGTTCATTTCCTCGGTCAGCTTTTGAGCTCGCGCTATAGCATGTCTTTTTGCAAACTTCTGTAATCTGGAATATGCCTCAGTAGGTTTAAGATCAAATATAAATGCATAAAAAAACAGTTGCGTTTGTTTACGAAGAGCTCTGAAATACCAAGCTCTAATAATTTCATTATTTTTTTTTAATAGAAAACAAAATGGGTGGGTCATTACATTTTGGGAAATTTATCTTGTCCTTCAAACAGCTTCCTTCGCCTGCTTTCAAGACGATGGGATAGTAAAGAAAAGAAAACTGACACGTTCATCACATTGCATATGCGTGCGAACTGCAACGAAGTGTGCATTCTGCCAGCAGTCTGGAAAGGGGTGCATGAGTGCAGCTGTATCGGCTGTGGTACAAATCGGTGGCGTAGCCGTAAAAGCCAAGAATTTTTTTCGAGGGGTAGGGATTGAGGCTGAGGTGGTCGAGATGTTCATCAAGGTTCATGACATGGGGTGCGGACGGGGGGAGGCGGCGTCAAAATGCAGGGACGGGGGGGAGGGAAAGCCCCATAAACCTTTACCCTGGCCGCCCTGGCTACGCCGCTGCCAGAGGTCCGCCCCAGAACTTCCCACATAACTTTGCACACTCACCACAAGCTCGGGGCAGTCGCAGCTTCCTCACGAGCCAGTGGGACCGCGGATGGCCGAAAACCTTGCATCGCTGCCGCTCTTGCGAGCGCTGGGCATGTCTCCCATGTAAACGACACTGGAGTCCTCAACGTGACTACGGAGCACCGCGTAAATGTGGGCGCCCGTGGCGTCGTTAGTCCATTCCTCCAGCTTGGTTTCGGGCACCAGTCTGACGGCCTGTTTGCACGTGATAGCGTACCAGCAAAACAGCGGACGTCCCAGCGCCTTCTGTTGAAGGTAGAAGTCTCTGAGCAGTACCTTGGCGGTGTTCGCGTGAAGGCTCCAGCGACGGGACACCCACTTGTACGTGACTACCTCGTTTTCGTCGAAGACCATCTCCTCCAGTCTGTCGGGAATCGAGCCCAGAAACACTTTGGGAGAGAGGCACTCTGAAAGCACCGTAACTTGTGGTCGTTCCATACGCAGAAAGTTCTAGCTTCGCCGACTTCACGCCTCCCCGCTTCGCTTCGTGTTGACTTGGCTAGCTTTAGGCCGACAGCCAACTGAGAAAAACAAAACAAAGTGATTAGAAATATAAGTGACAAAATGTCACTACAAATTCAAGCCCGGCTAGCTCAGTCGGTAGAGCATGAGACTCTTAATCTCAGGGTCGTGGGTTCGAGCCCCACGTTGGGCGATATTTTTTTTTTTTTTTTTTCCTGCTTTTTAGAATTAGATTTTATATGGCATGACCGCAGTTTTCTCGGAAGACTTGCTAATGTTTCTTCTTAGGCATACAATTTTAACTATTATATCCCTACAACGCGTACAAAACAAAAAGACAGGCAAGCTGGCGAGCGAGCTTTTAGTAACGTGGGAAATCCCCAGCTCGCATGTGTTTCCGTGCCACTGTGTCACTATAACCACACATTTGCGACTTTTAGGTAATTTTAGCTTCGGGGCGTCTGAAAGAACGCTTTAATAACTATCACTAGATGCGGCGCCGCGGGCCTCCATGGTACGGGCCTTTCTGCGGTGCCGCGGCGCTCCTGAGTGAATAAAGATGATTATTATTATTATTGTTACTATTATTATTATTATTTAAAACCAAGGTGTCCCACGACAACGTAGAAACGGCTCTAGCTTTCACAGCCGCACTCACGGTATACAACGATATCCAGAGATTCTGTGACAAGTGAAACATGCGACAGAGGGGCTTTACACGCGACCTGTGCAACATGCGACCAAGGAAAACAGCCCCCCTGTCGCATGTTTCATTTGTCACAGAATTTCTGGATATCGTTGTACACCGTGAGTGCGGCTGTGAAAGCTAGAGCCGTTTCTACGTTGTCACGTTGTCGTGGGACACCTTTGTTTTTAATAATAATAATAATAATAATAATAATAATCATAATAATAATAGGAGAGGGCATGACCAATCCACAAGCCACGCTCCCTCGACTCTTTCTCATTTTCCTCCTCACTCCCCTCGCTTACCAGGCCAACGTGACCACATCACGTGACCGTAGCTAGCCTTCGTCTAGCTATGGCAAGGAGGTTACGTTGCAATATTGGTGAAGCCTAGTCATAAAAAGTTTAAACGATTTTGTGCCCAGCGTGACCACAGATCTCTCTGGTGATTGGTGCGCGTGACATGTCACGTGCGAGATGGACGGTTGATTGTAAGAGGATTCCTTGCAGGCTTGCGCGCACTCCGTCCGGTAGGTTTTATCAGATAGAAGGCTAGATTGTGGTGTATTCTAGTACACCATAGCTAGACGAAGGCTAGCTACGGTCACGTGATGTGGTCACGTTGGCGTAATAAGTGGGGAGAGTAAGGAGGAAAATGAGAAAGAGGTGAGGCGTCAAGGGAGTATGGCTTGTGGAGACTACGCGGCTGACATCATGTCCTCTCCCACCCTTCTATTCTCCATGAGCTATGGGGTGCTAGAATACACCATAATGTAGAAAACCCGAGACTGTGGTAAAAGTAAGGAAACGGAGTCGAAGAATAAAGACAGGGGAAAAGAACATCTCTTGGTAAAACTTTGAGACGTTCTTTTCCCCTGTCTTTATACTTCGACTCTGTTTCCTTACTTTTACCACAGTCTCGGGTTTTCTACATTCCACCAGCTCGCCTGCGCACTCACAGTTTTTTCATAGAATACACCACGGTCTAGACTTCGATCTGATAAAAACTACCGCGCAAACCTGCAAGGAGTCCTTCTACAATCAACCATCCATCTCACACGTGACATGTCACGCGCACCAATTGCCAGAGAGATCCACGGTCACATTGGCCACAACATCGTTTAAACTTTTTATGACTAGGCTTCACCAATATTGCAACGTGCCCCCTCCTAGTACTTCTAACTAGGGGTGTCGCGAACTTTTGTCGAACCAGATTTTTTGGTCGAACTTCCGGGGTTCGACTGAGTCGAACCGGTTCGACGAACCTTCGAACTTTTCACCAGATTCGACCGGTTCGACTTTATGGACAGTGTGGCCAGACCTTAATACAAGCATGTCACGGTTTGGAGAATTTTTTTTTTATGCATGGGGTTATTTTATTTTGTGAACAGCTGCAATTAAAAGAAACTAATTCTGATCACTGAAGAAGTTAATAACTTAATTTTTAGTACTGTATTGACTGAAATAGCCAATCAGCGCTGCACTTAAATCATCTGTTAGCCATTACCATCCAATCCGAAGCCAACTGGCCAGCCTGTCGCGCATGCGCACACGAGTCGAACCTCAATACAAGGTTCGTCGAACTTTCCACTAAAAGGTCGAAAAAGTCGAACCTGGTCGAACTCGAACCACGACCGGTTCGCGACACCCCTACTTCTAACATCCTTGCATGCCACCCACCATGCAACACATGCGACCCTGGAGCAGGGTGTAAGATAGACAGGTGGGGAAACGAGAGCCAAATGAGCGACCGGATTGTGTCCCCCTCGGTGTTCTCTTTTTTTGTGGCGCCATCTATGTGGAGCACCGCGAACTCTCACTCCGGGTGGCCCGGGTGGGCGACCGGTGGCGACCGGCTAAACTGACGGAGATAATTTCTCGTGGATTTTCAATGAAGGAAAGTCGTGTTCTCGGTCTATTTTCCGCACTTTCCCATAAAGTTCCATGCAAATCCGATTCTGATTTTTTTTCTTCTCGCCGCAGCGCCATCTGTCGCAAAAAGGTGGCACCCGCAAGCAGACGAGTACACAATCCGGTCACGGCGCTGCGGTAGGGTTCTATGGGCCGTTTCCCCACCTGTCTATCTTACACCCTGCCCTGGAGTGCCTTCATCAATGCCTTCATACACACGATACACAGGCGCGCTTTTGCTTCGTGTAGCAAAAGCGCGCGAACTGATGCGAACCATGCGAACCTCGTATGCGACGTATGCGACACCCAGAGTGTTGGCGTCCTCCCTCGGCATTAAGTTCAACTACGGCGACCACCTTGATAAAGTTTTACCATCTCACTGCAGATGTCGCTGCTCTAGCAGCGGCTCGTGGTGTTGTCAGTGTTGTGATAAGTTGTTCTTTTAGAGTTTTCACATTTAACGGCCGTTCCCCTGCTATCCTCGAGATGAACATCGCGCTTGAAGTGAGACCGCTGCTCAAAGTTTGCAAAATCAAACTGACGGTGCGAGTCAACAAGGATGAAGAGGCCCCCCGCCTGCAAGTAGAATGCACCGCTTCGTCCCTGACCGCAACACTCGAGAAGCCGAACCGCGAAGTTCAAGAGAGCACCGAACTGATACTGCCCACTCACCTCAAGTTCAAGCCGGACACTCGCTCACCGCTGAAAAACACACGGATCCCTCGTAGCGACAATCCGGTGCAAGGAACAAGCGAGTATCGCGAAGTGACTTTCAGCATCCACGTGAAAGAAGACGAAGCTGGAAGTTGTTCTCTCGAACCGCTTGAATCGTCTGATGGGCCAGTTAGGACGACTGACATTGCGAAGCCCGTAGCGGGCTGTCCTTACGCTATCCTGTGCAGAAAGTGCAAGAACGAGTTGGTCCCTAAGGATACCGTGTTTCGGAGGGTATTACCGCTTCCTTCCGCCGACTGGAAAGAGATGGCAGCCGAGTGGTTTTGCCACAAGCACGAGTCCGAGAAAGAGTTGCCGACGAAGTTGGCGCCCAAGCCAGACGAAATGTTCACGTCGGTGTCGTACCTGCATCTTCACGGATCGTTGGTCGGCGGTGTCGTGGACGGGGGAGACGCAGGCGACTGGATTCGTTGCGGCAAGTGTGACAGTGTGGTGGCGAAGCGCGAAGAGGAAGGTGTCGTGGCTGTTCTGCAGATGCGGGTGGACATTGTCTCGTGGAAAGAAGACGAACCCAAACTCGTGCTGAGAACGGATGCGGCTTCGTTGATGCGTGGATTGATGAAGGAGCAGATGGCGCTGAGTATGTCCTGCAGGATACTCCTCGAGACGGTGAGCTTTGGCATCCAATGAACCAAAGGGAACGTACGAAGAACAAAGGAACAAGCCAAGGGAGGTAGTCCCTTGGCATGTCGTTCTTAGGTGCTGCACTGGCAGAAGGAACTCGAGTATTATCGGACGACACTACACTGGCAGAACGTACTCGAGCATTATAAGATAACACCATAAAAAACGACGACGACAAAAAAATAATAAATCGAAAACATCAACGAAATTTACATTTTTTTATTTACTAAATACATAAAACAAAATTTTAAAAAAAAATCTCCCCGTCGGGGAATCGAACCCCGGTCTCCCGCGTGACAGGCGGGGATACTGACCACTATACTAACGAGGATGAGTTTCTCGGCGGAAAAGATCGCTTATGAAGGAACGGTCGGGCTTTGTTGAATGGGTGTGGATATTTCGCCGGCAGGCCAGCAGGATCATGTGGGGAAAAAAAAAGATGCCGGCAGCTGTTTCCTATTGGGTCTCGTATAAAACAAATACTATCTAAAGCTGTAGTGTTGCTCTGTGGAAAGTTGTCTGTTTCACATGCAGCAGACCCAGGTTCGATCCAGAGTCGGTTTCTTTTTTACAATTATCACTGAAAAAGGACAAATGATTTGGACAAGACGTTGCTGATCTAAATGGTATGCGACTCCCTTCCGGGGGTGCAATGGGCAATGTTATTATATTCAGAGGTCGGCATTTTAGGTCGCCCTCCCTCACCCTCACAGCCACACTCACCTGAGCCCCTCACTCACCCTCACCCTCACAGCCACACTCACCTAAGCCCCTCACTCACCCTCACCCTCACAGCTACACTCACCTTCAGCCCCTCACTCACCCTCACAGTCACACTCACCTTCAGCACTTCACTCACCCTCACTGAACCTCACGGCCCTCAGGCACTCACCGCCCTCGCGGCCCTCATGCCCCTCACGGCCCTCACGCCCCTCACCGCCCCTCACCGCTCACGCCCCTCACTCACTCGTGGCCCTCACGCCACTCACTGCCCTCACGCCACTCACCGCCCTCACCGCCCTCACGCACTCATAGCCCTCATCGTCCTCACGGCCCTCGCGGCCCTCACACACTCATAGTCCTCACGCCAATCACCGCCCTCACGGCCCTCACCACCCTCACGGCCCTCACCGCCCTCACCGCCCTCACCGCCCTCACCGCCCTCACGGCCCTCGCGCCACTCACCGCCCTCACGCTACTCACCGCCCTCACGCCACTCATTGCCCTCACGCACTCATGGCCCTCACGCCACTCAGGCCAGCTTCTAATGGGGCAATTTCGCCCAGAAACTTTACGTCGCAACACCAGCAACACGCGCTGCCCGCGATCACACGCAACAACCAATTGCTGCAATTTGCCATCGTCATCATAAAATTTTATTTTTCTTGCACTATTTAGACACAATTACGCGTTATAAACATATTTTTATGCATTTAAATCTCGTTAAGAATACTAATGCACCTTCCTGAAACAGTTTATTTCCAAAAAACGATTGATTTCAAACGAGAACCAAGTCTTTCGGTGTCATCATCACCGGCACGAGGTATCACGTGAAAATTTTGCGTCCCTGATTAGATGCAACCGCTTCAAACGTATTCGAATTGCTCCGAGTTGCTTGCTTATTTCGAGCCGGACTCGATCTCAGCCATTCGTGTCGATCTAGGGAAAGCTAGAGAACAACCCGCCATTAACACCAAAATTGCTGAGAAAGATGCTCGATCTGAAGGGGGCCTCACGCACTCACCGCCCTCACGGCCCTCACACCACCTCATGCACTCACCGCCCTCACGGCCCTCACGCCTCTCATGCCACTCACTGCCCTCACGCACTCATGGCCCTCACACCTTTCACGCACTCACTGCCCTCACACCACTCACGCACTCATGGCCCTCACGCCACTCACCGCCCTCACGCCCCTCACGCACTCATGGCCCTCATACCCCTTACCGCCCTCACCGCCCTCAGGGCCCTCATGGCCCTCACCGCCCTCACGGCCCTCACCGCCCTCGCCGCCCTCACCGCCCTCACGGCCCTCCCCGCCCTCACAGCCCTCACCGCCCTCACGGCCCTCACGGCCCTCACTCACCCTCACACTCATGAATTTTCCTGGTTCAAAAACTCACTCACCCTCACCTCACCTGTGAAGATGAGGGTGCGTGAGGGTGAGTGAGGGCCCTCATGAGTGAGGTTTGCCGAGGTATGATATTAGCTAAGTAACGGAACTGCTCATAGACGCTGCATGCACGAGCAGTACCTGTACCCCCCTCAATCACCACTAGGGGTCAGGGACTCGGGGTTGCCACTGGGTTTGGAGTCAAAGTAGCCAAATCACGTGCAGAAAGTAGCCAAAAGTAGCCATTCTATTCGAGATTTCGCCAAAAAAGTCACCACACCAAATATGTACAATAAAACTGTATTAAAAAAAAGAAGTAGCGAACACTATATTAAAGGTTAATAACTAGGAATCTTGAGTTTACTACACACACGTGCCGTAAGCGTGAGGGTGAAGCACTTCAAACTCATATCAAACACTGCAGCAAAGTGCTAGTAGATGCTGCTGGCCCCAGAATGATTTGCAGTCATTTTCTGGAGCATTTTATCTGGGATCATGTATGTAGATGATGTTTTCTGCTGCAGTCGGTGGCCACACTTAATTCTTAGGATGGACTCCAGAAGTTAAAGCTTCATCTCATTGCGAAGTTCTGTTTTAGTCGGCGCTACGTGGGAGAATACTCTTTCTGCTTCGGCATTTGAGACTGGAAGCGTCAGAATCTTTACGGCGCCTGCGGTTACTCCTGGGAAAGGGCATATAGCGGCAGCATCCCTGGAAACCACTGCTTGGTACCAAAAGCTTAACACAGGACTCGTCTCGTTCGTGGCAAAAGCAGACCACAGTCGGATCACCGCTTCCAGCTCATTCCTAAAGGTGCTGAAAAGGTGAGAAGGCAAACTGAAAATTTCCCAGCAAGCATTGGGCCCCATTTCAACCTCCGGACTGATTGCTTGAAGCCTGCAGAGTGCAGATGCGCGTTTGCAGTTTGGGGGGGGGGGGGGGGGGGGGAGGGGAGGGGAGGGGAGGGGAGGGGAGGAGGAGGAGGAGGAGGAGGAGGAGGAGGAGGAGGGACTAGCCATTTTATTTAAAACCAAAGCATCGTTTCCGAATGCGAAGTTACTCTTGGGCAGGCAGTCCGCTAGTAGCAACAATTCTGAAAATGCTTCCCCAAGGTCAGCTTGTGCAGAATACAGGTAAATGCTCCATGTTTCTTTATTACTTCCGTCAGCCTGCCCGTTTCCAGCGTTTAAAATTTGCAGGACGAGCTTGCTTTGGCCTGGAAACGTGTCTGTGCGATAGTGCTGAGAGCCGCAACGAGCCGCCAAAAGTAGCCGAAAATTCGCCAGATCGCCAAGCGTAATTTTTGGTAGCCAAGCGCCCTCAAAAGTAGCCAATTTGGCGAAAAGTGGCCACCAGTGGCAACCCTGCTAGGGGTGTCGCGAAGTTTCGTCGAACCGCATTTTTAGGTCGAACTTTCGGGGTTCGACGAACCCTCGTACTTTTGGGTCGCGAACCGGTAGAGGTTCGAGTGCGACCTTTTCGAACGTCTTGGGAAAAGTTTGACTCAGGTTCGACTGCTATGCGCATGCGCGATAGACTGGCCAGTTGGCTTCGGATTAGATATAATGGGCGCGTTAAGTTAGTGAGCTCCAGACTCCGGACATCTGCGCTCGAGCGCGCGGGTTCGGAGCGTAGCTTAACGGCGCACTTTAGTACCGAGGCGCCATCTGACGCCTATTTTTTTAACGTTTCCGGTTCCGGCTTTCTGGCGCGCGTAAACATGGCTCCCGTATTGTCGAAACTGCAGTATATCGAAACGTCGAAAAAGTGTTTCTTCGACGACGAGTTCGATGAAATAAGTGCGCGGAGACGGCGGCAACAGCAAGAGCTTGTATTTGTGCTGCACGCTGTTGGTGCGGCGATTAAAGGTACGCCGAACGCCCCCTGAATTCCCAAAAGCCTTAAAGAACGACGGCTGAATGGCCGAATTCATTGGCTCGCCTGATCGTGAAATTGCGGTAAGGTACATGAAGAACTTCGACAAGCATTTGAAGGATGTATGCATACCTTTCTACACCAGCACCATGCTTTTTTTTTTTTTTATTTTCCACGATGACGGAACGATTGCACGAGCTGCCAAGCGATCGCCGTCGAAGTATCCACGCATCCAAGCAGGCGCGGCTTCCGCGTCCGAGGGAGTCCCTAAAGGCTTCGGCGCAAGCACGAACGACGCCGAGAGCTCCGAGCACTGCATGGCAGCGCAGAACGAGCAGCTCCTGCCCACGACCGAGCCTACCTCGGTGCCGTTCCTGGCTAGGCCGGAACCTTTGGGCCGCGGGGTTCAGTTGGTGCGGTCGCGGTCGGCGAGGTTCGGCGAGGCGAGCGCGGTGGCATCCTCGGAGCGTTCGGAAGCGAACTCGCTCGCCAAGGATTGCGCACACCCTACGCCTCTGGTCCAGAGTGTCCCGGCGGCCCGGCCCGGAGCCCAAAACGCTTGGGGTTTTGATGTTTCTTCCGTCTCGAGCGAGACCACCGCGTGAAAACCACCTCGAGTAACCGCGAGACTGGCCGCGAGAGCGGAAACGTCGTCATTACACCGGAAACCAACCTGTCCGAGCTCTCGCGCACCATCTCCGACGACGGAGCTCGCGGAGCGCGCTCCGTCACCGTGCACCGGAAGTGAGACGATGTCGTTTAGTTTAGCTCGAGTGCACTCTGACCGCTGGAGCGCGCTCGAGCGAATTAACTTAACGCGCCCAATGGCTAAGGGATGAATTAAGGGCAGCACCAACGAACGTTGGGCAGCACTGATTGGTTATTTTTATGCTCAGAGCCTAAACAGTTACTCTAGTTATTTCAATTAATATAGAACAAAAAATTAAGTTATTAACTTCTTTAGTGATTGGGGTGGGGGGGGGGGGGGGGGGGGTAA